TTCTATTTTCCGATCATCACAATCAAATTAGCAAATTTTCATTCACCTTCACATCTTAACTTTCAACCTTTTTGGATTTACAACTGAATGTCCATCTTGTTTATACAATTAATTTGGGTGACAAAGGATGAAGATGACCAACTGAATGAATCATATTAACCCATCATGTTGTCAATAAAAATGATTAACATTTGTAATTAGATTTACAATTGAACAAAAAAAAATTAGATTAACCATAGAAAATTATTAGCTAGTTAATTACAATTAACCAACTGGCTAAGGCTAAAAGGTAATCAAAAAGGGATAATAATTAATGAACTTACGATCTTGTAATCATATTGTTTGATTAATATTTCAGTTCAAGATGAATGAGCTAATGATTGAATTTAAATATCAACTAGATTATTAATGACCCACAATCTGACAAAGTACAACAATTAATCAATCCGACAGCTCACAGAATGTCAATTGTTTGTCATCCTTTTGTTTTCCAATGAATCATTTCAATAATCGACAAAGATCATGATAATTAGTCTCATTTAAACATTCCTACCTTTAGAAAGGAGTTATGAGGTTACTCAATTGAACCACAACATAAAGATGATAAGGATGATGAGGATGATAAAGGTAAATGAATAGCTGTTTGAGATTCTGAACGGAATGAAACTGAACTTGCTCAGAATGGAAATTGTTACATGAAAAAAAACAAATTGGTTTTTGATCAACAGGTAATATCAAAATCGATAACGTATTGGAAGTTAATTTAATGTCAACAGTTGATTATCATTATCAAAGTCAATATATAATTGGTGAGGTTATTTTTTACCTTAATCAACTTTGACCCGACTGATTAATGGTCATCAATGAATTTGATGACCAATCATTTGGCTTCCTTATGAATCTAATGAATGAAATTGAAGCTTTTTTTTTGAAAAACTCACTAATTGTTAATCATTTACCTTGATAATTGGTAATTAGATTTGGACAAGGTGACTGATGATGATGACAATAATGATCAGGTAATTCATGTTAACTGATTAATTGTATTATGCAATACAATCAGTTGATGTTGTTGGTTAATGAAAATTTCAATCAAATGTAATTGTTGGACTTTTTCACTTTGGTTTACCTCTAATAACTAATTGTCATTGCATCAGTTAATTCAATTAGTTAATTGTTTACCTCAATCTCACATTACACAAGCCTCATCATAATCAAAGTGATCAAAATCTAGTTGATCTTATGATTGTAACAATTAAAGGTAAAATCACTTGTTAAATTGAGATTAATTATTTTGATACTTATAACTTGCGATGATAATTAACCTTTGATTTACATTGATTTAAATGTGATTTATTATTATTGTAATCGTATAAAGTTAATCAGGCAACACCATTTGAATCATAGCCAATGATGTTGATCAGTAAATTGTTATAATATTATTATCATTATTAATAAATTGCTCTCAATCAAATGTTATCCTTAGTTAATGGTGTCTCCTTTTCATCCAAAGTTACATCAGAAGTGACAATCAACCAGGAATCTCAGTTATTATTATATTAAGTTTTGTTATCTTCAATGTTGTTTTCATGATGATGACGATGGTGATGGTGATGATGATAAGGATGAGGATGAGGATGAAGATGAAGATGAGTATGAAAAGGAGAGAAACAAAGATCAATATGGTTATATTCATCCTCCTTCTTAAGATAACTTTTATTGCTCCGGGATGAGCTTCATTCAGCATCACTTATTATTATCATCATCATCTTAATCATCATTGGATGCCAAGTGCTATCCAACAATATATATATTTATTTATATTACCATGATGAGGCTAATAATTTTCATCATCATCTTCATCATTCAGATGAGGTAAACGTTTGATAAACAAATGCATCTATAGCCAAAAGTATTCATTGATTGAAGATGAATATGAATTGATGATGAAAACCAAAAGAAATCAAATTTAATGATCAAGAGGAAAAGGATGAGGATAATGATTAGATAAAGGATACCTTTTGACATCATCTTATTATTATTACTTCCTTGTTCAAGTATCATTTTCTCAATTTCTGATGATTAAAGTTAATCAATTCGTTATAATTAAAAATCTTAATTGCAGTTGAAAAACGACAAATCTCATTCCCAATTTTCCCTCCAAGTCCCAATTCACTTTCCATTTTACTTTCACTTGAGAAAATATCAATTCCATCTCATCTCGTATCATCCTTCCATCTTCCTAACTTATCTTCATTGTCCTTTTCTCGTCCCATTCAGAAAATGATATCAACCCATTTTTTGAAAACGCGTGCTAACAAATATCCTGATCCTCTTATTTCCCAATAGTCTAAATCATCCTCATCTTCATCTTCATAGGAATTGAACTGAATATCTTTTCACGGTCAACCAGGCAAATGTTATAATATCATAAAAGTTGATCAACTTGATTACAGAATAACAATCAAGATGATAATATATCTTTGTCACTGAATCAGTTGAATCAACATCTTTTACCATTGTAAATGATTTACCACAATTTATTCAAATTCAGATTAAATCTCATGAGATATGATAACTTTTCACTTTCCTTTTCTTCCTCCTCTTTTCTGAATCAATTTAATAATTGACAATAAGATTTAATTGTTGATATTGGGACACAATCAACATCATCGCATCTTCACACACAATAATAGTTATCATGATATTTGATTGAAAAAATAAATTATATCCTAATCATTAGAATACAGGATTTAAATTAAGGGAGTATATTTAACAATTTGAATCGCCATCCAGTCCATTAGTTTAATAAATTACAATTTACTTGATTGTAATCTATTAGTATCATCAGTGTCTCACCAATTCAGTTCAATATATTTAATCATTTTTAAGGTTTTTTTTTTCATCGTGATTAAATTAAATTTAACTTAAATAACTTGGGTTTCCTTTTGCAGAGTGGAAACAATTGAACAAGTAAATTGAATGATTGATAAAAAAGAGGCAAAGATGAGAAGAGGAAGAGGAAGATGAAGATGAGGATGAGGATGAGGATGAAGATGAAGTTATGGGAAGAGTGAGTGAGAGAGTGAAAGAGGTGGGAGATTGGAGGCAAAATAACCAGAGGCGAAATGAAAGTGACACAAGATGCTATCTTTGTGTCTTCCTTGTTCAACTTTCTAATAGTTTTGATCCACAAAATTGTTTAGTTTGCTTCTGGACAAGAGAAATGATGAGGATGAAAAGATGAGAATGAGAAGATGAGGTGAACATGGAAGATCAATGAGAGAGAAAAGATTGAGTCTTTTTCCTCTGATGAATCTAATGGAATCTGACATCGATCGAAAATGAACCTTGGAAAAGTTTCTCCTCTTCAACTTTTTTATTCTTTTCCTCATCATCCTTCTAGTTATTTAATTGGATTGGAATCCTATGGTTGACTGTTTTTCCGTTTCCGGTTTTCGTTGTTTCAATAATCTTCAATAACCATCACATTCTGGACCCAAAGTTAATATGATTTTACTTCATTCAGATCAATATTTCGTGCTCAACTCATCTTAATCAACAGGAATAGCAAAAATAACCATAGACACAAAATCCTAGTACATTTATCATCTTTATCTTGATGATGAATAAGCTCATAATGTTGTTGGTCCATTAGATGAACTTTCTTGACCATGAAATAATTGTTGATTTACCTTCATCATCATCATCATATTTTAATCTCTAACATCCTAAGATGATTAACTAATGAGAGTCTGAGTCGAAACCATTATTTAACCTCCTTTTTAAGGTCTCATCATTTCCGGTTCCCTTTGCATTTTCATCTTTCTTCATCCAACCTCATCTTTGCCTTTACTTTTTTGACTTGCAATTTATTTCCGGTTTCATCTTGTTGATGGGTCAATCCCTTGTGGTCAATCGGCTTCAATCATTACCATTATCATCTCACCATCCAAAGTGATGATCAGAATTCAGTAATTTTTCCCCATGTTGATTAATCATTGAAAAGAGATAAACTCTGTTGATAATGAAGATAATTATTGACCAGTGAGATAATTATGTTGATCACGATGAAGATAAGGATAAATTGACTCATGATTAACTGACCTTTATCTTTTTCTTCATCAATCCATCTTTCAAGTTGATCTCTTTTCAATTGACCATCATCATCATCATCTAATTGACCAACCATAAGTCCTAAAGGGAATCAGGCAAAATTTGCAAAAACTTATCATCATCACATTAATCTGACCATTATCATCAATCCTCATGTGGAGAGGGAGAGTTAATATAATCAATCGAATGGTTAATCACCTGAAATCTATTATCATTGGAAAATAATAATCATCATTTTCCAACAATCAACAAGTTGAAATTCAAATAACATGAATTTTCAATTTTCACCATGATTAAAAAAAAAGATAATTTTATCTTCACCATAATTGTCATATTGAAGATTTAAGTTCTCATCCATCAACCATTAATATTGTTGAATTAAAACATCATAAGAATTGTGAACAATTTGCAATTGCCTTCATGTTGCCAAAAGAAAAGTTGTCAACAGTTGATGAGATTTTCATCGAAGAAAAAAGTTCACCAATTCTCATTTGCAAAAAGAATAAAAATAAGTACTCTCGGCGGGACTCGAACCCGCAATCCCCGGTTTAGGAGACCGATGCCTTATCCATTAGGCCACGAGAGTATCAAAAATTAAATCGCTTATTTTCATGCCCATTGGTAAGCCTAGAAGACTACGAGAGTAATTAACTTAAGTCGATTGTGTTGATTTATCCGAACAAGTAGATTAATCATTATTTTCTGATCTTTTTATATAAGATTAAGGTACTTTCATTAAACCCAAATGAAAATTGAAATTGCATTTGGAGATAAATCAGTTAATGATTCAAAATCTATTGACAATAAATGTTAATGTATTGATGTTGATTTGCTTTTATAATCCTATGATTTAATCTAATCATTGATTCTTATTGATTTTTCAGGGTAATTTGACTAATTCTGTTGATGGTAAATCGGATGAAACTGTTTATAAGAAAGTAGCTGTGGTTGAAAACTTTTACAATATAATTTATAATGTTCATGTTGAAATGGATGGACGATCGGGTAAACATGCTGGACAAAAGCGGACATATCGAGCGGTGAGTAGTTTGATACAATCAGATGATTACGAATCTATTTTCTTAAGACTTCGGTTTGAAAGGATGAGGGAGAGAGTTGAAGATGAGGATGAGGATGTTCATCGAAAAAAAAAGGAAATAGAAACGAAAGAAAAGAGAAAAATAAGATGAGAAGGATAAGAAGAACAGAAAATGTGAAATAGAATTCTAGTAAAGAATTCAACTCGAACTACCTTGTATATATCGAAAAGGATTTTTGTCGATTGTGAAGATCCTCGAGATAGAGAATTAGGAAGCAAAAGAAAAGACTTGATCCAGGTTACAGATTCTTTTGGTTCTTTGGGACACAAAAGTGGAAGATAATAAGAAGTAAGAAGATGAAGATGAAGATGGAAAAGATAGCAAAGGAGATGAAGAAAGGGAGGGAGGAAGATGGAGAAAGTTAGAGTAAGATGATAATGGCGGGGGTGGAACTGGATAGAGAGGAAGAGGAGAACTGGAGAGAAAGTGATGTGAATGAGGAAGCAAGAAGATGCCATTAAGGTTTTCGTAATGAAGAATAGAGATTGGTGAGAGAGAAGAAGATGAAAAAGTAAGAGATGCAAAGGGAAGAGAATATGATCAAGATCGGGAGATGTCCTAAAAGGAAAGTAAAGCTCCCGGTGAGACCAATAACACAGGTCAGTAATGAGAGAAGAAGAGATGAAATCATTGATGGAAAATCAAGTAATGGATATGAAAGAGAAAAGACTTTGCATCGTTTAAGTCTAAGGTGGTTTTCTTGTTCTTCTCAATCTCCTGGAGATGAAAAGATGATATTCTGGATTGACCATGTGGAGCCTTCATGTTTGGTTGCTGCTGTTACATGGTCAGTGAGAGAGCAGAATATGATTAGATGATGGAAGAAGAAAGAGGAAATCGAAAGTTTTCTGTCTACAAACATAAAGTGTAATATAAATGGTCAATTTGAATAACAACTCGAGATTCTCTTTGAAAGTCCGAAAAGTAAAAAGGAACAAATATTTTCCTCAGATTTTAACAGTTTCATTCATGTTGAACATTTGAGGGAATTCAGTTGATGTGATGATATTGAAGTGTATCTCAGTATTTCTAGTTTTATGTTTCAACATCTATTTGTTTGGATGGTTCAAATTTTCAGATTAGTTGAACAAAATATCATCATAATAATAAAATAATATCAAGAGTGAGAGAGATTGAAAGAGGAACATGAAAAGTTTAAATTATTTATCCTTACGTATAAATGATATCGAAGGAGCTGCTTTGGACCATCAAAGGTTATTGATAATTTATAATCCATCTTCAGTTGAGCTGTTACAATATGGTGAAGATGATGAGGATAAGGATGAGGATGAGGATGAGGATGAAGCAAAGAAGGTAGATGAAAGAGAGAAAACCTATAGAGAGAGAGAGAGAGAGAGAGAGAGAGAGAGAGAGAGAGAGAGAGAGAGAGAGAGAGTTGAAGATGAAGATGAGAGAAAGCACAGATCAGAATTGATGTGTAGGAGGAAAAGAAGGAGGAAATAAAAAGATGATGGAAGAGGATGAAGAGAAGGATGAAAAGGAAGGAGAAATGATGAAGCTGTTGCAATGTTATTTTTGCTATAGGATGATGATAATGATGATAACCTTCATCGGGATGCCAAAACAAGAGTGGGATTTATAACTCCAAATGCATAAAAATTGCCTCCAAGAGAGATGATGAGATGAGGAGGATGATGATGATGAGGTGGGTGAAAGAAAGAGGAGGGAGAAGGATAAAATAAATAAACTTTGATATTATTACTTTTCATCTTATCATCATCTTAATAATGTATAAATATCTTTTTATCCGAATCGTAAAAAAAGGTCGCCGAGATGTTTGCATTTCTACCACGTGAAGCTGTGACCCGATTCCTCATGTCGTGTTCAGATTGTCAGAAACGGATGCACCTTCAGGGCATTAACACCTCGTCTACCGGTAATCATCAGCATCAGAATCATTTATCATCATCCTCATCACCATTATCATCATCTAATTCCTATCAAAAGAAAAGGTAAATATCCAATATTAACATTGATACAAGTAAAAGTTATAATAGGAACAGTTTATAGATATAATTTATTATAATCAACTAATTGTAATCATTTGTTGTTAATTTGATACAACATAAACAGTTATATCAACAAATGTAATTCCAATCACCAATCAAACTAATCAAATCTTTCAGGTTTTGTGCTCCAATCAGAAAGATAAATGTTACAGTTAATCAATTATAGTTAGAATTGATCATTTTCTGATTGCAGCAATTATTTATTAATCCAGTTTCTATTCTGAGAGACTCGAAATTGAAATATTTATGTCAAAAGTTTAGAATTGAATCAGAAATCATTTGTTAATTGTATCAGATTGTTAACTGTTCCAAACACAATCAATTATTAAATCAGTTTCATTTTCCACTGATTCAGTTTTTCGGAATTGAAACTTTTCATGAAAATTTCTCACTTCCGGTACCGACAATTTTAAATGGGTGACATTTTTTGCTGACGATTTATATAAATTGTCAGTAGTAAACATAATCAATGTTTACTTACTTGTTGAAAATGTTGATACAATTAACTGATCTCATTGTATAACATTATGTTAATCTTGATATTTCCTTTTTTCTAAATTGTTGTTATCATTATTAATCCAGTTCTCGGCGATCAACTAATTCGATAACAAGTCTTAAGCCAATAAGGAAATCAGATGGAAACAGTAATCGTAATCATAATCAGAATGAGATGGATTTTAGTTTACCAATTACAGCGACTTATTTGAAAAGGATGAAATCACTTGGTTATAATGATTTAAATAATAATCATATCGAACATGGTATTTTTCCTTATATCGTTAATTGTGATCAACCGACGCCATTTAATCATCACCAGAATTTATCGTCGACTTCATTGAGTCCAATTCAAAATGTTCAAATGAATGGAGCTACAGATGAGGTGAGTTAATTGCTTTTCAATTGGAAATAATCAACATTTCGGACGCAAGAAAAAAAAAATGATTACAATTCGCTTGATTGTCAACATTTTCAAGGGAAATTTGAATTAATGAAAGACAGAAAATTTGACTGATCAAAAATGAATGTTAATTTGGGTGGAAATCTATGAGTTGATTGTTCAGGGAGGGAATGAGTTGGTTTCATCTCGATTTTGTGATTGTTTTTCCTGATTAATGAACTCACGCAATTATTGTTAACAATCAACGTGAACACTATTGTTGATTCACTTGCAAGAGGATAAGTAAAGTTGGTTAATTTTTTTGTTCTCATATAGTGAAAGATGAAACATATTCCTGTAAGTACAGTTAATCCAATAAGTTTTTGTTTTTTAATTGTTCAACAATAATGAAGGTTAAAATGATTGAATAGATTGTTGGTTGATTATAAGAGTGGGATGTTCAGAGTGTCAGAGAGCAGGTTAGTTTGGGTGATGGTTTTTGCTCAATAATCAACAAACCATCAAAATCTAGTGTGTTAATTTACCTTGATTTTGATCAACTTAATCTACAACAAGAAAGAGACGATGATGATGAGGAGGAGTTAAGAAAGATAATGATGATGATGATAATGTTGAAAAGAAGATAAAATAACAAGGGATGAAAGAGAAAAGTGAACAAAAAAGAATAGAACAAAAGCAACAGTTCGAAGTATAATGATGATGATGAGGGAAAAGAAGAAGATGCTGATGATGATGATGACATGGAGTTTTACTGATTAGTAACCTGGTTGACCAGAGGCCAAAAGCTGAAGCTTTGGCTTTGGATCATCAGCTTACCAAATTATTTTTTCTTCGAGTTTTATATTACAAAGGGAAGGGAAGATTCTGTTGAGTGAAACTCCTCTTACCTAAAGGGTATTTGGTGCTTCTCATCTGACACAGTTCGAGGCTTTTCTCCTCCTCTGTTTTCTGTATCTTCTTCTTCAACAATTCCATCTCGTAGCTCATGTTGGATAATTTGTTCTGCCTTAGAACTTTTCTTCTAAACCTTCATCAGGGTTCGATGGAGACAAAGATTAACCTGACGGCTTTAAATCGCCTTCATGTTACATCTTCTTAGCTCTTCTCATTTTCCTGCTTTCATCTTTTCTCTTTTCTTCCAATTTAACTATTACATTAAATGGTTTTTTCTCTCTTTTTTTCTTTCTTCTCTTGTTCCTCTCGAGAGAAATTGTTGCTTTTGAATATTCCATTTCTTCTGAGGTTATTTCGCTTTCTTTTATGTATTCCTTTTTTTTCGTTTGTTTTCCTCTTCCATTGAAAACAAATTAGATGAATGAACAAATTGATTGATCTACTGAATTTAGTTCTTTCCTTTCTTCCTTCCTCATTTGATCTTCATCTTCTTATTTATCTCTTCTCTTAACTAACTTTTTCTCTGTCATCATGATCTTTTCCTTAAAAGTTGATTAAATTTACTTCGTACACTCTGTATGTGTTTCAACTTCTCCATCTCCATGAATGTCCACCATCAGGTTAGACCACAAACTTCAACTTGAGTTCTTTTAATAGAGAGAAACTTTTTCCCTCTCTTATCCTTTCTCATTTCACTGGCTTATAACGTCAACCATCAAAGTCTAGATTTGAATGTAAATCTTGTTTCTGCTTATTGTTGATGACAGAATCATGGAAGGTTTCATGGGGCGAACCATCATTTATGTTATAAAATAATACATAGAATTCGGTTCTTTGCTCTCTCTCTCTCTCTCTCTCTCTTTCTCCCTCATTCTTTTTTTCTTGTTAATCAACAGAATTGTTCAAGGGAAGAGGTGGACTTTACATTTACTCTCCTTCCATACTTTGTACTTTTCCTCCTCTTTGCATGCACTTCTTTCTGGGTTACTGTTCTTGCTTTGTCTTCAGGCCATTTTCATGGTTCGAGTAACGTAAAATCAATATCATGAGTAACACTCGAACTTGAGAAACTGGGGTGGATCTAAAAGAAGAAAAAAAGTGAAGAGAACTGGAACAACAAGAAGGAAAATGGAGTTAAAAAAGGTTGTACAATGATGATAAAGATGAAGATAAGTGTGGGGGTAAAAGTTGTATCTTTGATTGTGGTGGCGGTTGACATTCCCTGTGAGCAAATATAAATATTCACAGAATCCAAGTTTCTGGTTATTCTGTTCAGGTTGATGCCTTTGATTCTCAAGCTCATGGGCATCCATTTAATCAGGTAACACTTATTGTCAAAATGACAATATATCAATGTAGGTTTTTTCTCTTCTTCTCTTTTATCATCTTCTTCTCATTCCTCATCTCATAGATAATCCAATGTGTCAACTGTAGTGAAAGCGTCATAGATGTTTTTTTATCTTCACAAAGTTTATCATCTTGGTCTTTTATCTTTAACTATCATCTTTACACTTACAGTTCTCTGTTTTTTTCCATGATGATAATGATGATGATGTCCACCGTTGATAGATTTCACTGATTGACTGTGACATTAACTTTTTCCTTTTCTATCATCATCATTATCATTCGAGTTTCTTGATTTCTAATCAAATGATGATCCATATGAATTCTCGTTCAAAGTGATGGTTAATGATCATTCAATGTTTCTCCAATTCCATGGTGATCAATAGATTCAAGAATCGTCCTTGCAAACCATCATGGTCATTGGTAATTAGCTAAATAACAATCCACAAACAAGATTGACCAAGAAATAAGTGAAAAGTGAAAGGGAGACAGAGAAGTTAATAGTTGTAAAATAAATGGAGTAACAATCAACTCATTTCTAATCACCTTTAGCCTAAACATAAAAAGGTAATAGCGAAAACCATTGGGGGCTAATGGTTAATCCGATGAGCCAAACAAAGACAATAATACATGTATATGATGAAAAGAAATCAATCTCATCGTAATATCAGCAATTGATTTCCCTCTCAATTTTCACAACAATCTCCTTAATTTACTGTTACCAAAATCTTAAATTACTCGGACATCATTCAACTTCCGGGTTAACCAATAGACTGTAGTGAAAAGAGTTCGAAAGGTGCAAAACTTTAGATGAATACTATTAGTATAATAAGAAGATGAAAATGAGCATTGAAGGAATTGGAATAAATTTCGACTTCTAGTGTATATTGAAGACAGAATTCAGGCCATTTCTATCCTTTTTTATCTTCCATTTTATTCCAGTCTCAGCATCTTGTCCATCACTTATTATTTTATATCGAATATTCTGAAAGAAAAGAAAAAGAAAAGTTTAGATTGATGGTTTAGTTTCTGATTGTTTCTCTCTCACATCACAATTAATTGTGACTGAGGTTTGAACAATTGAAGAGTAACGTTTATCTTGGTTGTAAAAAGTGAATTGAAATTGTTTGAACAAAGAAAATGGCGAAAGAAGATGAGGTGATGATGATGAGAGAAAAAGGGAAACAATAGATTGTCATCTTTCATTCGTTCTACAACTTTTCTCTATTCATTTTCATCAATTCTTTCACTCTTTTCATTAACTTTTTCTCTCATCATCACCATCATCATCTCTCTTAACCAAAACTGGCACTTTGAGTATAAGTTTGTTGCCTTCATCATTATCATCCCATCTCCGAGTGAATCTAATCTTAATTAGACTGACAATTAGCTTTCTATCAACTCGGTGGAGTATAATGTAGTTGAGATGATAAAATTATATGAAAAGTAGAGATAGCATGTTATTAATACAATAACACGACAAAGATTTGGACCATTGGACCTTCATTTTCAATTGTCTTTACCTGATAACCGGAAACTAAGGTGAATTACCGGTTCATTGTTACGGGTTAACATTCAGGGAGACAAAATCGATTCATCTATCAACTGTTGCAATTACACAATGTCTTCTGCCTTTTACAAATATAACTGTAGTTGAGGCATATACATGATATGCTATCAGGGAACTAGTTTATAATGATTAACTCAAATAGACTCGTGAACCGGAAATGAAATGTTGACACTTTTGTTTGCCACGAGAAGATTAACATCAAATTACTTTGATTGCTATCTTTCTGATCTTGACTCTCATTAATTCATTGTTTTTCCTTTTTAACCTTGTCCTTAAATGGTCTCTTTTCAACCACCGAAATTCATGATCACTTTAAACAGCCAATTTCGGGCTCTGAGTATAATTCAGAGATATCTGTTGATTCAAATGATGCCGTTAATGGGACTTGTAGGTTGGATGTAGATGATAGTCAAGTTGAAGGATCTCGAGAAGAATCAAACCAAAAAAGTTACAACAATGACCAGTTAATTGTTGCAAATTGTAAGTATTTTTGTGTCTTGTCTTGTAAATTGATCCACAACTATAAGAAATTAAAAAAGTAACAATAGAGAGAAAGAGAAATTGATGGTTAAAAAAACTTCTTTGTTACTCAAAATACTAAACGAGAAAACAAATTTATATTTTCTTTGGATACTCACAATCATTATTTGGATACATTTACCTTTTCTTTGTAGTTTCTCTTGAGGCAAAGTTACTTTTAATTACAATCATCTTCAGTCTGTTTAATCCAATATATTTTCTCCTCTCAATGTGTGTATAATTTCCAGGTAAATCACCTTCATCTTTAACAACAGTTACCATGGGGGAAGTCGATCCCATAGAAACACATGATCCATCGGGTCCACTAGATATGTCTAAGATGTCAAGAAGATCCTCTTCGCCTGAACCTTCGCCCAATTATTCTGCTTTGACCGCAAGCGATTCACCACCACAAACTATTCCACCGACAATTAAATCATCACCTTCTCTTCTGGTCATCAAATCTCGTTCTCCACTACCAAAAGGAAATTCTATTAAGCGAAAGGCCTCCGTTTCACCTAAAGGTTTATCTTCTTCTAAGGATTCAACCGATTCATCTCGTCCAGAGAAAATGGCTGCTCTCAGTAATGGAATAGATGAAATGACACCAACCAGTGACTATACCTTGAAGGAAGAAGAGGAAGATGAAGATGATGATGAAGAGGTTGACATCAAAATGGATGAAAAAACCGATACCAATAATTTTGATCCCGAGCGCCTCAAGGCTTTTAACGTAAGTTTAACTTGTTACAATACAAATGAAAACCAATTTCTCTTACCTTCTTATATTATCTAAGAGATTTCACCAATGAAATATGAATTAATCTACTAATCAGTTCTATTGATGAGTAATTTTGGTCTAGAAAATTCCAGAAAAAAACATCACGTACCAATAATCGACTCACCTTTTCTTGGCGAAATTAATTAGCCGCTGTGACAAAAAGAGATACTGGTCAGGGAAACTGATTGAGAATTTGATGAAATTAGTCTGACCAATTGAGTTTAGTTGTAATTAACTCGCTGATTGTATCGATTAATTCAAGAATTGATTAGTTAAATTGGATCAACTCAACCGAAAGAAAAAAATTAATCTTTAAATCCGAAAATGTGTTGGAAATGTAATAGATGGCGACAGATTAGAATCTTTTCCTAATCAATTAATCATCTGTTTCTAGATTTTAATTTGATTCTGTTGAAATCGGACAATTTAATTGTTTGTTATTCTGTTGCTTGTTTCCAATTATTTTTCAATTTCATGAGTCTTAGTTTATTCTTTCCATGATTATCTCATAATCTTGTTTCAAATCTTTTCTTTTTCCTGGAAAATGTTTTTCTCTTCATGTTATTGTTTCTTTGACGTTACCTGATTTTTTCTGTTCTTGGGCCTTGGTTGATGTTCAATTAAAGGTCAATGTCGGTTAAGTGGTTCAGTTATTTGAGTTTCGAGCTTTTCTCATGAACTAAAATCTGGAAAATGAAGTTACCTTTGAATTTGATGGTGGTAAGGATTAAATCGTGGATCAATCGGATGAACAAATTGATTGTTTAGCTTTTAGTCTTCTATTGATTATCAATTCTTTTGTTTTTTTATACGAATTGATTGGTTACCTCATTTTATGTTCTTTCGGAAGATTTTATCGTATTAATTTTAACCCTTAACTTCTTGATCGATGTTCTTTTATTGCTCATAATTTGGATTAACTGTTTCTTCTCAAGACGAAGCTCTTTTCAATGGATTAATTTCTTTTTCTTTTAATTTTTCTCTAGATGTTTGTTCGTCTTTTTGTGGACGAGAATCTTGACAGAATGGTTCCCATATCTCGCCAACCAAAGGATAAAATCCAAGCCATAATCGAAAGCTGCATGAGGCAGTTTCCAGAATTCTCGGACAGAGCTCGCAAACGAATCCGAACTTATCTAAAAAGTTGTAGACGAACTCGTCGTCACAAAACTCCAACAGTTTCCACACAATCGCCAACTAATTCCCTTGTCAGTGGAAATTCTAAAGATGGTTCAAATTCTAATGGTAGCAGAATGAATTCTACGATAACCTCGATATCTTCTTCACCCACATCTTCCGTTTATCATTTGACCTCACCTATTGCGGAACAAATTCTCGCCTCCGCTTGTGCCAATGAAAGTTACAACGCCAAACGAATGCGAGCTGGACTTAAGCCTCTACCAGGTCGATCTATTTCACCTTCTAATAGGGATTCATCTCGCGATCAATTTGTCACTTATCCAGAGGTTTGTAGATAAATTTACAATTTGTTTCCATCACGATTTGTATCCAAAACCGAAGATTAATCTTAATTTCTTTCTATTTGCAGACTCAAACCTTCAATGACAACTTGGGATCAATTTTACCTTCGACCACTTCACCTTCGTCTGAATCTGCGGTCCAAGTCCTTAAACCAAACGCAAGCTCAAGCCTTAATTCAACCCTTTTAGCTGCATTAACTGGTCATCCCAAGAATGAATCAGGTAATTGCACTTCTACTAATTCACATTGTTACACAAACAATTCTTGTGTCTGCCAACATGAGAAACTTTTCCCAGTCAAGAATATATCGAATCTGAGCACGTATTAGATGGTCTTCTAAATTAGTTTCCACTATCATCATTTTCATTGTTCTTTCCTCAAAATGAAGAAATTTATGAGTTACAATAGAGAAAGAAAGAGAAAAAGTTGCAATAAAAGGTTGAGAATAGATTGCGAGTGAGAAGAGAATCAAGAATTAACAACTGTTACTGATGGAACATGGATAGACCTCGAACTCGCCATTATCTTTGATGGGACTTGCGTGACCTCTCCTACCTTAACTTATGTTTCCTCTGTAGTTGGTTAATCATTTTTACTCCAATCAAATCTCAACAAAATTTTCCATTCTTTCCTTGGGCTCATGGAATTTGTGATCTAAATAAAGCTGAACCTAAATCATAACTAATCGAATCTGATTTGGAAGAGCGTGATCACATCAGAACTATTTCATCACTACTACAGACATTTCTCATGTACAAGATACGAATTTGGAAATTCTCATTTCAAGACGTTGATTCCTCAGAAAAAATTAGAGTTTCAATGAAAATCTACTGTCTTGCTGAATTTGATTGAACTATTGAATTGAATTCTCTTTACTAATTGACTTTTTATTATTATTTTACAGGAGATAACAATCGATCGGATTGTTTGGAACCTCTAATGTTACTGAACAAGAAAGAAGCAAATCTCTCGAGATGTGATGAGTTTGAAAATGTTAGTAGACAAGTAAATCAATCAAATTCAATTGTCAATGGAAATGGACCAGTATCTCACACACCACCCACATCTATGGTACCATTATCTTCATCTTCTCAATCTTTTTCCTCTTCATCACCTGGATCTGGTTCTATCATTAATGGAATCTCCAATAATATGAGTAACAGTGCTGGTGGACCATCTCATCATCAGTCATCAAGCCAACACCAAGGAGGGAATTCAAGTTATCTGCCTTACACTTATTTACTTAGTCCTGGTGAAACTGCTGCAATTAAAACTCTGATTGCTGGTTACAGGGAATCAGCAGCATTTCTACTTCGATCTGCCAATGAACTAGAACACCTTTTACTCCAGCAAACTTAATTACCGATGGAAAATAACAGGAGACTGTATCGGGATAATTGTTATCTAGTCAATTATGATCATGATAAATCAACACACTCACCCACCCAATCCCATAGCTGAAATAATTAACTTTGTAACATCCAACAATTGTAGTATCCTTGATAATCCAAACTCCCAATTACCATTAATTTAATTTGATTTTCTGTTAATTGTCATTCCACTTAACCTGTAATCCTTTTGTTTTGATTTGAAAAAATTGAGATTAATAATATATTTCTCATCCTTATTATGTAAAATATTAATACTTGTGAATTTGATTTTCTTTAATCAAATGCCTACCACAAGAAAACAGGCTGATTCAGTGCAATTGAAACATTAACTTCGACAATTGGAAACATAATCATCATTATTCTAATCATAATCAACATATTCAAGTGCCCAAACACCATGGAGCTTATTATTTACCATGAATTAATCCTGAACCAAAAAGAATCATCAACATGACATCTCACCGATTATCATCTTACCTAAAAGGGTCCAAGATGCTTCCAGCATTTATTTGATTACTACCTGCCTTTACCTGAGCTTTTGCTAAATTGTCCATGATAATTATTAATCGTCAAGGCTACTTAGTCAATCTGCCTACCACAATTAAACAAAATACCATTGAATTAACTAGAAGCACATCAACAATATGGAGAAAAATTCACCAAAAGAAAATTTTATCACCTGTATCATCATGATATCAACAACTGATTAATTCTCAATTACTGTCAACGTTCCCAACAATTACAATTAACCACGTCAATATAATTGATTCCGCATCATTAACTAATTAACATTGGTGATCAGCTCGACGCACTAACAAGTGTATTTTTGTTTAATCTTCATCATTATTCAACAATTAAGTCCATTGAAAGACTTGATGAATTCAATGATTTTCAAGTGGAAAAAAAATCATTAAATTAAACAGAAAATCAAATTAACTGAGATGAAAATCGAAATCTAATCAATTTAATTTGATTGTGATTTACATTAACTCCTATTAGATTCATTCAGAAGGAACAATTAACCAACACATCAATACATATCTTCAATTTTTAATTGAAACCCAAGAGTTAATTTTCTCAGTTTAATTAATCATTCCAACCATTAATTACCATGAAAATCTTCTAGTCTCCTAATCAACTTGTTGATTGTAATTCAATTAATTGAAAATACTATTAATTTGAGTGTCATCATATTAATTTCTTAATCATTCTAATCTAACCAAATCTAATTTCATTCATGTGAATCTCATTAAAACAATCAATTTAAATGTCTAAACATAAGAAACAAAATTAAGAACCAAAATTTATATTAATCAATGTACGTATTTACATTCCAAGTGTTTTAATTGTGATTAAATAACATGTTAATTGTCTCAGTGAAATGAATACAAAATTAATATTTTGTACTTTATGAAGAAAAATAAACAACTATTAATAAACTTAACAAAATTAAGTTAATTACAATTAACAAAAATAAATAGAAACAAAAACATTGAAATTTGTTCCAATCATAATTACCTATTATTTGATTGTCCATTTAATTTACACAATTTAATCTAAATTATAATGAAACTATAATGTATTAGGAGAGGAAATAATTTAGTTGGAAACATTTACATTGGTAAGACAATTAAGAAAACAATCAACGGAAGTTGAATCGATTGATTAATCCAATCTTTATGTCTTCATAAATTGTTGACAATTTAAGTTGATGATTAACGATAATGGTGATGGAGGATAAATAAAGTATATAAAATCAGGTGAAGGTCAAATTGTTATTAGTTTACAGATTAATTAAACGTTAATTAGTGTTAAGATTTCAAAGTTGAGGTCAACAATCAGTAGTTTCATACCTTTGACGATAATAAGAGAAGTTAATTGTTACAATTTAATCTTTATTGTGTTCCTGATTTGCTTTGATTGCATCGAAAACAGTTTCATAGAGACGGACATTCAAAACAATTTGATTTAAAGTTGTAACATGGGAAAGGCTTGTAAGGTAATCGATGATTGAATGGCCAAGCGGGGATTTGACCTTATTCTTGTCCATCTCGTAGAGGCTGATTCGTAACGGGAAATCATTGGCTGCCACTTCGACACAATCAACAGGCTCGTTGAATTTAATGAATGAACCTTTTCGAGATTTAATCAACGGAGTTTCCATAACGGGAACTGCACTTTTAGGCTGAGATTGGGAATTTCCCCCGTCCGAGTCTGTTGATGTTGATCGACTCCATTTACCACTCGCTCCAGGGCCAATTGAACTACAGGTAGATGAGTGTCGAGAAATAATTGAACCGTTTTTTATATCCGATAAACAATAAATTCGAGCAATGATTCCAAGAGGTAAGAAACCACTGGACAGACCACGAGCACGAACTACCCTTCGAAAAGTTGACTCTTTCGGTTCAATTGAACGTTTCAAGTGATCACATTTAATCAAGGTCACCTTAATCATATTAGATTCCGAACTGATTGACATTGAGATGGTCAATTGTGGTTTCTTTTCATCTTTACCAATACTTGATGTCGTTGCCACTGAATGTCCAGGAGGTTTACATGATGATTGGTATGGAAAACCTCTTGAAGCACTTGAAGATACCGACGAAGTTGAACTTCGACCTGAACCTTCCCGAGCTAATGGTTGAACAGGAAACGCTCGAACTGTCCCCTTAGGTCCAACAGTTAATTCGTGGGTCATTGATATCTGACTTTTCCTCCTTCCTTCAGGAAATTCCTCTTCCGATGACGAATCACTTGTTAACGAGGCATAAGAAGATGATCTAAATCAAATAGAATCAAATTACATCAGTAATCATCTTAATTCAATTTCGGTTATCTAATTAGTGATTAGTTTCTTCAACTTTTCTTATATAATCAACTAATCAACTTGTACTAATATCTAATAATCTAATAACCATTGGTGATATAAGTTAATCAATGATATTTATCAGACCAACTTTCAAACTATCAAATAATTTATTTTACAAATAACAAGAAATCAATTGAAACAATTAATCCAAATTAATCACAATCAATCACAGTGCAAACTTTGCGATGAAAAATCAAATGATTACTATTCCAATCAATCAAATCAACTTTATTATTTTCCTTAGAATCAACTAATAACCTTTATATCCATTACAACAATTAAGTCTTGGAAACAACTGAATTAAAATTCAATTTATCAAAATGATTATCGATGTTACTTAATTTGAATCATTATTAAATCATTCAAATTTAATACAGAAATGAATTAATTGAATCAATTGAATCGTTACCATCAAATGATTTATTTTAAATTGTCTCATATTGATTAAAAACAATTTCTATTCATGATAAATGTTGTTATTGATATTTTAATGATTACGAGCTATTAATAAATTGTGTATTTGATTGATACCATTTTCATTACCAAGTTTACTAGATTAAATCTAATTACAATCATTATGTTAATCATTCAACCTCATGAACCTTGAAACCCTCATAAGGGTTTTCATGATAATTTCAAGTTCAGGATTAATTGATGAATCTTTATAATCAGTTGATCATTAAGATTCACTGAACAATCAAAGGTGTAAACTATTTGATCAAAGTTGATTAAATTGTTTAATTAATTGTGAACTACTCATTTGACCCAAGACTATTTAATTTGATAGACGTAGATGTTATCTCCAACTGAATCAACAGATTGATTGTTGACTGGATAAAGTTAATTGTTCCAATGATTATGAGGTAAATTGTTGATGGTTAACAAAAAGGTGCCTTTTACATGTCAATTTGATTGTTTATTGCTGTTCCTGTTATTATGATTACTATTATCTGTTGGTTGATTAATTATTGTTTCCAACTACTATTAACCAGGTACAGTTAACTAATCATTTGTAATTAGTTATAAATGTTTCAACTTAAATTGTTGTTTTTGTTGATTATTACAAGATAATATTAGTGATTATATTGTCGTTAGTATATTATTGATTATAAGAAGTTAATTCTCCGAGTGAGTGAGTTAATTAATTACTTACACTTTGATTCGCCGAGTGACCGGTGCACAATTAGCGATGTTAATTAAATTAGGTGGAGTTGTTTCACCCGAATAACCAGATTCTTGACCATTACAATTAGTTGATTTAGTTGTTCCAATTCCCTCCAATGGGTTAAGATTTTTATTTCGTCGTTGTCGTGATTTATAAACCAATAGGATACTGACCATGGTCACAATTAGGCCGAAAATGATGAGCATTGTCCAAACAATTAGAATACCTTAATAATAATTATCATACAAATTAATAGAACCATAAAGAAGGCTAATTAATGAGGGAGAAAACTATTGATTACCTGAAGTCATGAATAACTGACCAGTTAAATAACCAGAACTGTCCAAAGATCTCATGTTAATAGACGAAGGTGCTGATTCGTGGATTGATTGGATTGAATTCGATGGATCCATTAATCGTGATCCATCCATACCAAAAGTTAATCCAATTGAGAAACAATTAATCAACACAATTTAATTCCATTTCTAATAAAGGTTTTACATCCACAAAATCAATCGATGATTAAGATTATCACAGAAAAACAATCAATCCAAACTCTGATCAAGAGCTAAATGATTTGGTACTTTACGATTTGAGTATTAAAATTAAACTTGATTGATGAGAAATGTTTTTCGTAATTAGAACTTGAAGAAAATGAACTAATTGTGATAATTAATTGTTCACAATCAAATCGAGTTTAAAACTATGAGAAAAATAGTAACAAGATAAGTTAATGTGTTACGAGAGGAAAATAAAATAAACTCTGTTGATTCTTGTTCCATGGTTTCTATGGAAACCATCATCTTTTCGTCATCATTTATCCTCCATTATTATCATTAGTTTGTCAGATAATTGTGATTAACTTGCGATCATCATCATCATCTACTCACGCAGTTTCATTCATCAATCAGTCTTCATCTTCCTCTTTATCCTTTCGTTAATATCAACCTCACCCTTCCCCTTTTATCATCATCAAGAGATGTCGTTTAATCAAATTAAAAACAATTTGTTTTATCACCTGGATCATGATTAGTTTGATCAACATGATTAAAGGAAAATTTTCTAATTGTCAAGTGTAAAAAGCAATTTTATTGGTTGATTTGAAACTTTCTTAAAATCTAACAAAGGTCAGCATGATGAGAGAGTTAAGAGCAAATCCACTTAATCCAAATTGATTTTATTCTTAATTTGTGACTAATCCTTGACAGTTTTTGAAACTTCATCTTATTGTTTTTTAATTATCTTTTCTTGTTGATTGTTTTGAGCAAACGTTTGACTTTTCCGTGGTTAAAATGGTTGATTATGATGATACACTTTCCAATGCTGGTTAGTCAAGCGATTTGGAGCTGGAATTCCTGATGGATGTTCAGTTCCACTGAGTTTAAAGATTCAGGAAGAAAAAGAGTCTCAACAACGACCCCAAAGAAAATTATCAGTCCACCAACAAATCCAAGAGGAAATCGTTCGTCGTTCACATGGTGAATGGTCTCGAAGATCGATTATCGCTCCATGGATCTATCAAGAGGCCGATTTATTTAACTCGGAGATCATTCAGAAAGCGAAACGTGAACACGAAAGAAAATGGAACAAAGGAGACAGAGAAGAGTGAAGGAACAAATCGCTCGAATCAAGAGATTCATGAACGCTGCTTATGCTTATGATACTCGAATTACGAAGTTCAAAGTGAACGAAGAAAAAACCCAGAAAAAGAATAAATTTGGCTTTTAGTCAAATCGAAAAAAGTTTTTGGACCATTACAATTAATCTGATTGTTTTTTATTGCACTCACTATTTATTCAATCATTAAACATTTTCTCATCAATTTGCATTAACAATCATCTCTATCAATTATTTTCTTTGATTATTATTACATATTTTCAGATATTAAACAGTTGAAAGCTTAATTTTAGCTGATTGTTTACCAACAATTGGATGTTGAACCTTGACACTTGCTTCCAGTAATCCTGGTCCATTCAGTTTACCTTTGTTAGCGGCAGCCAATTGGGTCAGTTTGGCCTGACCAACAGCAGCGGCTTTGGCGATGAGCTTTTTAGGGATCTCGCTATTGAATTTGTAAGGAATTGGGTCCACACGTTCTTTCACTGCGACCACTGGAATTTCCTCAACTATCTCGACATCTTCGCTTTTTCCAGACCATTTTTTGAATGGATTTCCTGGTAAAATTGACTTGAATTTAGAGGTTCCAGTTGAGAAAGAAGAACTGATTTTCTTGAATGAAGGAAACAGATGATCGGTCATCGAGAATTCTTTCAAATAAGTCGGTGAATTGGCGATAGAAACTTCCTCGGTGTCAACAACAGAAGGTAATTGAACATCTAATGGAAGTTCTTGAAACTGTGGCTCAACAAGAACTGGTGTTGAACCTACTGGCGAATTGACAATCGGAGTTTGAACAACGGAAGCAGTTTGGGCAACTGGAGACACGATGATGGGCGATTGTTGGACATCGAGAGATGAAGCTACAATAGCAAGAGAAAGTAAACAAAACGATGAAAGAAGAGAAAACATTTCGAGAGAATGAGTTGGATTGAGAAGTTAAGGTGACAAAGATCAACAACAAGAGAAACAAAAACTTAAACTGACCTTCCAATGAATTAGCGACCATGTTTTATACCAAGAAGATGAGATTCCAATCGACGAGTTGAACCAATCACAGGCGATGGGCCAGTCATGGTCACCGATAATAGAAGATTAACTTTGAATAAGTCAAAAGATCAATTTAATCCTTAAATCCACATCAATAGGCCTTCGAGCAAAATTCAAATACGAAAGATTTCAATTGTTGTCTTTTTGAAAAAAGAAAACAATTCCTGGAAACCACGTGACTTTTCCCATGTGTTTTTTTTGTTTACGTTTTGAGATGAAATAATTTTCGTTTACTTTGATTGTGATTTAATTGGATTTAAAATTGTTAATTCTGCAAAATGAGTGTAAGTGTAATTAGAGACAATATTTTCGAAGGTTCTAATTGTTTTCGGATTAGAATAATGTTGTCTATTCTTTCCGGTCAACCGATCATGATTGAGAAAATCCGATCTCGAGAAGAGGAACCTGGACTTAAGGATTTTGAAGTATCTTTTCTTAAATTGATCGTCAAATTAACTAATGGAAGTACTTTTTTGATCGATGAAACTGGTACCAAATTGACCTTCAAACCTGGACTGTTGTTCGGTGGACCAGTTGAACATGATTGTGGCCTTGGTCGATCCATTACTTATTATCTTCAGCCATTAATCACTCTCGCTCCATTTTGTAAACAACCAATTGAATGTACCTTGAATGGAATCACTAATGATCAATTAGATGTTTCAGTTGATGCACTTCGTCAATCAACAATTCCTCTTGTTTCTAAATTAATCAACGTCTGGGGTAAGTAATCAATTATCAGTTTCTAACAATTCATCTTACTTCAATTCTCTGTGTTTAACCTTTGATTTGCCTTTTTTGCAGAAAAATCTGATATTGAATTGACTGTTGTTTCCAGGGGAATGCCGCCTAATGGAGGAGGACAAATCAAATTCAAATGTCCGATTCGAAACACAATTAAACCAATTAATCTACTCAAACCTGGTAAAATTAAACGTATTCGTGGTATTGCTTTGGCTACACGGGTTTCGCCAAATATTGCAAATCGTATCATCGATAAATCCAAAGGTTTACTTTTGAAATTTATTCCCGATGTTTATATTCATTCTGATCATTTGAAGGGTAAAAACAGTGGAGCATCTCCTGGATTCGGACTTTGCTTAGTTGCCGAAACAACTGAAGGGATTACATATACTGGTGAAGCCTATTCTAACCCCTCTGGAAGTTCAAAAGGTCCATCTATGCCCGAAGACGTTGCTCAAGAAGCTGTGTACTGTTTATTTGAGGAAATTTATCGCGGTGGTTGTGTCAGTTCAATTAACCAAAGTCTCGTTTGTTTGTACATGGCTTTGGGTCAACCCGATATTTCAAAAGTTGAATTCGGTCCATTGTCTCCCTTTACTGTGCAATTGTTGAAACACATGAAACAAATACTACAAATCACATTCAAATTAGAAGTGAACAGAAAAGAAGACGAAGAAGATGATCGAGATGCAGCCTTGAAAAAAGGTTCGGAGAAAATTAAGGCCACTTGTCTTGGAATAGGATTTTCGAATTTAAGCAAAACAATCATCTAATTGTTACCATTTAGATGAAACTGTAAACATTTACCTCGATTTGACAATAAATTGTTTTGAATAAAACTCTAAACATTTTTATTTCGCTTTTATAATAATTTCATCAAGTTTTCGTTTTAGGCCATTTCGGTTCTAACGGATAAGATCATACATGTAATGTCAAATTCTGTATAATTTGTAGCAATATCGAACTGAGTGGATTCGAAGACGACCCGATGAAAGGTACATTTCATGGTCTGTTTTAATTGGATCAAAATGACCCGAAAAAATGACAATTGAGAAAATACATCGACGAAAACTTGGTCTGTCGAAGTTGTTCAAATGTTCAATCGAAGCAGTTAATCTGTTTCTAGAACTATTAATAGTTGGAAACATTGATTGGGGTAATTGTTTATCATGATTCTATTAATCACTCAGCAGAAAATGATCACAATCAAATTACCTGACTAAAGTTTTTGATTACGATTTTATCAATTTTCAATTGAATCAACTCTTCAATAATAAATGGCCTTTGAAACTGCTGAACATTAATTAACTGCCTGTTATTAAGGCTCTTTGATTGTAGCAATCAAGTTATTAAACTTTTGTTAATGAATCACAGAGAGTGAAAAGCCAAAATATTGAATTGTACAATTAGTAATCACCAATATGAATTTGTAACAATTAAGACAATCTGAGTGGCAATTAAATGTTGCATAAATCAAGGATAACAAAATTAAGAAAGATTTGTTAACAAGGGAAGGGTTTCTATTAATTAAATTAACTGAAGATAAAAGTTAAATCCAACTAATTACAAGCAATTTATTTTAAGAAACTGAATTAAACCTTGAATTAATACCATTAACTAGATGAAAGATAATTTTAATTACAATTAGGTTTCTGGTTGCAAATTAGCATGAGATTTGGCTATAATTAACTACTAGTTCCAGGGCCTGAGTTTATTTTAGTTAATTTAACTAAAAAACTATGATTAGTTGAATTGTAGAGCAATTAACTAATAGTAATTCAATTTGATTGTTGTCTTGAAAACTATTTTTAACTTTGCATGTCAATTAATTGATTAGTTGCATGGTCTTTGTTTCTTATATTAAAATAGATTTCGTTGATTGTGTTTCATTACCTGATTGCCGATAACTAATTGTTGTGTCTCGTTGACAATTAAAACTTATGCAATGGTCAATCATTGATCACTTGTGTCAACTTTGGGTTCAATGATTTAGTTGATTGCTTTTTCAATTGAAATTTGAAGTTGTTGATTTAACAATTAACTGATCACTTACTCTGTTTCTTTTGAAAAATTAAATCGCCATCGGCGACTGACCTTGGCCAGCAACTGACCATCGAAGGACTTTCATAATATTTGTTAGACTTGTGATTAGATTTAATTGTAGCGCTTTATCATTTGATTGTCTGTTGATTGTCGGTTGATTGTAACTCATTAACATTACATGTTTTCCATAGAAAGCTGGCTAAATTACATTCTCACGATTACATTTTAATTATGGACAATTAATGGATAACAATTTACTCAAATAGCTGTGGAGTAATCAATTAATACCAATAAATCAAATCGGATTTCACTTATTGCCCGAAATCATAATTATTAATAAGAATTTGGAATTTAAATTAAGATGAAGCAAAAACAATGAATTAACACAATCCTCTAAATCATAACAATTAACTGTTAATTTGGTGAGGATGATTTCTGATAATTAGTATCCGGGAATGTGATTGATTGGTAAAATTTAATTTTCAGTACGATTATTGACAATTTCTCATCTTTTGAACCAATTATCTTTCGTTAATCTAATCAACGGTAATTAATATCACAATTAGTTGGGGATTTACGCTAAAGTAACAATCATCTTCATCTTGAGTTTAATCATGAATCAGATGAAAATGTAAACAGGGATAAAGTTAATTATCTCCTCGAATCGGGAAAAATTCATATGATATGAATAAAGAATATGATTAAAAGTAGATTAGATTAACATCTTTGATTCAATGAATTTTTCATTACTCTTTGATCACAACAATTTATTGTTAATCTTTAATCTGAAGAACCTTCAATACAAGAACGAAAGTTAATCAATTAAAACGTTAAAATGAAAAGGAAATAATCAATTTGATTACTGCTTCATTTTTGATTGAGTTAAATTCAATTTTTCTGTTGATTTTCAAAAGTTATTGATGTAAAAAAGTTAATTGTCAACTTCAAGTTAACCAATGAGCTACTTTAACCAACAATTATCTTTGTGATGTTGATTGTTGACAAATCTACTCATTGATTTATTTGATTGTTGCTCCTCCTCTTCTTGCTAACCCTGATTGTTTATCCTCCACCACGAGATCATCATCTTAATTATCATCATCATCTAACAAAGAGCAAGGTGATAATGTTAGAAAGAGGAAGAGGGAGAGGGAGAAGATTAAGACAGAGTGGGAGAGAGAACTTGATTGTTGGGAGCTTTGAGTGAATCTATTTAAAGCGCAATTGAGTTGAGACAATTTACTTCACTTTCGACTAATCATCAAACCGCCAACAATTAACTCTTTTACTTACTTTCTCTCTAATTCACTTCTCTTTTCTTTTCTCTTTTAATTGACTCTTTTACTTTGATTGTGACTTTTACTGGATTAAAAGATTATCCTTCAAATGAACAACTTTCATTAATCGCTTTGTGATTGATTCAACTTTTAATTTGTGACAATTCTCATCAAGTTGTGATTGTGACTAATCCTTGACAGTTTTTGAAACTTCATCTTATTGTTTTTTTAATTATCTTTGCTTGTTGATTGTTTTGAGCAAACGTTTGACTTTTCCGTGGTTAAAATGGTTGATTATGATGATACACTTTCCGATGCTGGTTATCGAGTGGTCAAGCGATTTGGAGCTGGAATTCCTGATGGATGTTCAGTTCCACTGAGTTTAAAGATTCAGGAAGAAAAAGAGTCTCAACAACGACCCCAAAGAAAATTATCAGTCCACCAACAAATCCAAGAGGAAATCGTTCGTCGTTCACATGGTGAATGGTCTCGAAGATCGATTATCGCTCCATGGATCTATCAAGAGGCCGATTTATTTAACTCGGAGATCATTCAGAAAGCGAAACGTGAACACGAAAGAAAATGGAACAAAGCGGAAAGACAGAGAAGAGTGAAGGAACAAATCGCTCGAATCAAGAGATTCATGAACGCTGCTTATGCTTATGATACTCGAATTACGAAGTTCAAAGTGAACGAAGAAAAAACCCAGAAAAAGAATAAATTTGGCTTTTAGTCAAATCGAAAAAGTTTTTGACCATTACAATTAATCTGATTGTTTTTTATTGCACTCACTATTTATTCAATCATTAAACATTTTCTCATCAATTTGCATTATCAATTATTTTCTTTGATTATTATTACATATTTTCAGATATTAAACAGTTGAAAGCTTAATTTTAGCTGATTGTTTGCCAACAATTGGGTGTTGAACCTTGACACTTGCCTCAAGTAATCCTGGTCCATTCAGTTTACCCTTGTTAGCGGCAGCCAATTGGGTCAGTTTGGCCTGACCAACAGCAGCGGCTTTGGCGATGAGCTTTTTAGGAATCTCGCTATTGAATTTGTAAGGAATTGGGTCCACACGTTCTTTCACTGCGACCACTGGAATTTCCTCAACTATCTCGACATCTTCACTTTTTCCAGACCATTTTTTGAATGGATTTCCTGGTAAAATTGACTTGAATTTAGAGGTTCCAGTTGAGAAAGAAGAACTGATTTTCTTGAATGAAGGAAACAGATGATCGGTCATCGAAAATTCTTTCAAATAAGTCGGTGAATTGGCGATAGAAACTTCCTCGGTGTCAACAACAGAAGGTAATTGAACATCTAATGGAAGTTCTTGAAACTGTGGCTCAACAAGAACTGGTGTTGAACCTACTGGCGAATTGACAATCGGAGTTTGAACAACGGAAGCAGTTTGGGCAACTGGAGACACGATGATGGGCGATTGTTGGACATCGAGAGATGAAGCTACAATAGCAAGAGAAAGTAAACAAAACGATGAAAGAAGAGAAAACATTTCGAGAGAATGAGTTGGATTGAGAAGTTAAGGTGACAAAGATCAACAACAAGAGAAACAAAAACTTAAACTGACCTTCCAATGAATTAGCGACCATGTTTTATACCAAGAAGATGAGATTCCAATCGACGAGTTGAACCAATCACAGGCGATGGGCCAGTCATGGTCACCAATAATAGAAGATTAACTTTGAATAAGTTCACCGAAAGTATAAATAAAATAAAATGTCCAAAATTAAACGTCTCAATCATTCAATTGTCATCATTCAGATGAGACAACTAACATGTTCTAACACATTTTATTTTATTCGAAATAAAATTCTGAATATCTCTCTGTCACTTTTTAATATTTTTATCTTGTTTAATTTTTACTTCTCACCGTTTCTATCATAACGGATTAGATCACAATCCGAAATGAAAGAAAAATTGAATTTTAAAATTCAATTTGAATTCGTAACAACTCAAATTCTGCGCCAGGAACGAATCTTGAGCGACATCTCTCGTCGAGAGAAACACTCACGCGTCACATGGATTGTCTCGTGGTGAATTTATCGTAAACATTTATTGGTGTTTATTTATCAATCAAATTGACTGAATCAATTTAATCTTATTAAAATGATGATCCGGTGATTATAAAAATCCACTTTAATCCAATTAAATTTAAATCTATTCTTTTCTAATTGTCATCTTTCATAGTCAATCTGTGTCAATACTCTTAAAGGTGAAGATTCTCTCTCTCTCTTCTCCTTCAGACTTTCCCATCTTCAGGCGTTTTCATCGTAATTGTTTGGTGATAATATTTAATTTTTTTAGTCAATTTTAGTGTTTACCTTGGTCAAGTGTCCTGTCATCATGAGTTACGGTCCTCTCAATAAAGCTTTGGTTCATATTACTCCTTATCATATTTGGTGGAAACGTTACTTAATTGAGCTTAAATTAATCCCCGATGAACCGGTTGAAGAAGAAACTAAATCAGAGGAATTATTTTTTGAAACTGATGAGGATTATTTAAAAAGCTTGGATCCTAGAAGATGGAAAGAACAAGATCATTACAGAGTTCTCGGTCTTGGCAGCAGGAGAAATGCGGCTTCTGATGATGAAATTAAACAAGCTTGTGAGTATCAGAGCAATTGAATCAATTGATTGACTAAAATGTGTTCATTCATTTTCTCAGATAGGAGATTGGTTTTGACTCATCATCCAGATAAACGAGGTGTTAAAAATAAAGATGATGAGACCGATTATTTTTCATGTATAACCAAAGGTAAATATCACGTTCGATTATGCAGACTGATTTGTCAATTTAACATTCACTCTATTTCCATTTAATTAAAGCTTTTCAGATTCTAGGAGATCCAATTAAAAGAAAATCTTATGACAGTGTTGATGAACACTTCGACGATACTGTTCCATCAGTTAATTCTAATTCTAAAGAAAATTTCTATGGTGTATTTGCTCCCGTTTTTGCTCGTAACTCCAGGTAATATTGAAAAGGCCTTCCAAAGTCAATCATGTTTGAATTTTCTAAAAATATTTTTCTTTTGTATTCTATTTTTTAGATGGTCGAATTCCAGATATGTACCTCAGCTAGGAAATGAATTTTGCTCTAAGGATTATGTTGAAAATTTTTATCACTTTTGGTACAATTTCGACTCGTGGCGGGAATATTCATACTTAGATGAAGAGGATAAAGAGCGTGGACAAGATAGAAGCGAAAGAAAATGGATTGAAAGACAGAATAAAATGGAAAGGCAAAAGAAAAAGAAAGAAGAACTCGCTCGAATTAGGAAACTCGTCGATAATGCTTATGCATGTGACCCGAGAATTATTAAATTCAAGGAAGAAGTCAAGAATAAGAAGTTGATGGAAAAAAAAGCCAAGGAAGAAGCTCGAAAAATGAAACAAGAGGAAGAGGAAAGACGTAAACGAGAACAAGAAGAAGCTATTGCTCGAAAGAAAAAAGAAGAAGAAGATGCCTTGAAAGCGAAGAAAGAACAAGAGAAAAAGGAGAAAATAGCAGCTCAGAAGAGAAGAAAGAAGGATGTCAAACAAATCGAATCAATTTTTGACGAATTTAATTATTTCGCTTGTGATGATAATCAGAGGCTTAGTTATATACAAGAACTTAACAAAATTTGTATAACTTTTAGCAATATCGAACTAAGTGAATTCAAAGACAACCTGATAAAAGGAACATCTCAAGATGAAAAGAAGGACGTGTTTTTATCCAAAATCAGTAAAGTGAAAGACAACGAAAGAGGATCTGTTTCAATTGAATCAAAATCATCCGAAAACAATGACATTAGGGAAAGTACATCGACGAAAACTTGGTCACCCGAAGATGTTCAAATTTTAATCAAAGCCGTTAATCTGTTTCCGGCTGGAACATTAAATAGATGGGAAGTAGTCGCTGCTTTTGTCAACCAACATTCAACTCATAACAAACATCGAAAAGCAAGAGAAGTGCTAACACAAGCCAAGGACATTAATAAAATAGGTATTTACTTGCGACAAGACAAAGTTTTCCCTTGAAAATATCAATAACCTACAAAGATATTTTCTTTTATTTTTCTTTTCACTTAGATGCTAATCTGAAGCAAGAATTGAATAGGATATCTGTTAATAAGCTACTAGAAAACAATAAGACAACAGTTAAAGAAGAGGAAACATCACAACGTTACGAAGCTGCACCAACAGAGCCTTCGACTCCCGATGCTACTGTTTCCAAATCGGTTACAGAAACTAACTCTTCTGCTCCAGCGACGGAAGAAATAGAAAATTCAGAGCCAGAACCATGGACGAGCGTTGAACAACAGTTACTAGAACAAGCCTTGAAATCTTATCCAGCGTCGACTCCCGAGCGTTGGGACAGAATCGCCGAATGCATTCCTGGTCGAACCAAAAAAGATTGTATAAAACGTTATAAAGAATTGGTTGAATTAGTGAAGGCCAAAAAAGCAGCTAAAGACGCAGTTCATGCGAGTGTTAAAAAGTAAACTGCTCATGTATTTTTCCTCGCGGTTGTTTTCATATTTACTTTTTGAAACATCTAATCAATTACCAAGAGCGTTTTCGATTCTTTGGTCTGATGCCAAAATAAATCGTTTTTCGTGAACAATCTATGGATCTAATATGTGCTTTTATTCAACAATAAAATGAAACAAAAATTCACTAAAAAATAGTTTTGGCATCGTAATTACAACAATCAGTAAATTATCTAAAATTATACATTAAATTTATTCAGTCATTGGTCTTAACATTCGTGATTCGTTAATTTGATCTCGTCGAGGGTCAGCGACGAGTCGTTGTGATGATGAACGAATCGAAGATGAACTTTTAGAACAGATAATCATAGTGAAACTAACGATAATGAAGAAAAGTAACCCCCCGAGAACCATTGAGACCACTGCACTGACGTTCCATCGCTGAGGCACCCGATAGATGGTAAATGGAGCGATGAATCCAGACCAACATGAAATACGTTCTGGTGAAATTCGTAACAAATGAACACCATCAGGTCTCCAAGAATCTTTAGAATCAGACCAGGATTTGCATTTGGTCAAGTAATCTTGACCATAGGTGCGATTACCCGTATAAGTAAAGGTCATTTCAACGGCATTTAAACCTCCCTTAATTGTCTGTAATCTCCCGGAGCCTGGAGCGAAGACATTTAAAACTAATATCGGAGCAATTCGATGTCCGTCCGATACCTCAGGAAATGGACCAGAAACGGGGAATATTGTGTAAGAATAAACAACTGAATTACAAAGAGAATTGGACTTTGTCTCTGAACATCTCCAAGGACCAGAGAATCGCTTCTTAATTGATGTACCGATTTTAATTGTCGCTTCGATATCACCAATTTTCAAATGTGTTCCTTCAATTTTCTTGTCATGAACCATAATTGTTTTGAAAATCCTCTCTTGTTTATCGGCTTCACCATCTTCGTCTATTGGATATTCGTTGTAAGTCCCAAATTCAACTCTTTTTCCAAGAGGAAGTTGAGCAGCGGCCATTTGCAAAAGCACATTAAATGCTTGTCTACTCGATTTCAAAGTTTTCGGTAAATCGTTTGCCTCGACAATCAACTCATTGCCTCGGCTGTAAGGGAACATTAAATTGAAAAGTGTCGATCTAATCGCCATCAAATCAGGTAACATCTCGAGTGAATAAGCTTTTTCAGCCAATCGACGAATCGAATCCATTGCCCTTTGCCTTTGCAAATTATTCTCTGATTTTTTGATAAACTCGGACAATATACCAAACGATAACGAGATCTGCCCCCGATTGAGTAACTGTGATGGACGTTGAAGGACACCGAGATTATATTCAATAGCATCGGTCATCGCTTTGTGCATTATTGAATTATCTAAATTTGGTTCCTTTAAAATAACACCAACAGATTCGAGGGCATGAAAAGGATCACCACCAATGTTATATTTCTGAGCCAATTTAAGTAAATCAGCAATTAATGAGGTTTTATTTTCATTTGGATAGACGATTGTTGGATTGGCGAAGACGAAATCACAATAATTGAAAATGTCGCAAAATTTAAGCGCAAAAGTATTCTCAGTATGTTCAGAATCGATTGCAGGTAAACCTGGGAAAATGAAGACGTTTGAAAATTGTGGTACTGTGATTGGAAACAATTCCTCCGTCTCATCATTAATCCCATAGAGCTGATAAACCAAAGGTCCATAGCCTGGAGGAATATTACACTTCTCAACTGAAATCGTCACCTTTAAATTGAGAGAATAAGATTAACAATTAAGGGATTATATTAACAATAGATTAGTTAAAGTAGGGAAATTGAGATGAGAAATTTGAATGATAAATTTACTCACTAATTCATATTCATAATAAGCAGGGACTGTGATTGAACATTGAGTTACTCCTTGAGAAGCAGTAAATTGTGTCGACGCTTCTGAACATTGATTGTTCGGGTTACAAGCTTTTAATTTGAATACATGTAAACCGTAGGGATAAATATGATCTAAATTTGTGTAAGAGATGAGACAATTAGTGAATGGAAAATAAATATGAATTGGAAAGTTACCTGAATGAATGTGTAATTCAGTTTGAATTTCACCATTTGCTCCTCTCCTTGTATTCCAGTTGAGAGGATGAATGAAGTTATTTGCCTCCCAACCCAAGTAACTTAATGGTCCCGATGATTTAACTGTTCCTTTGATTAGTAGTGGATTATGAGCTGGCACCATGATTGCTAAATTGTGAGGACTACGAAGATTGGCCCGGTACTTACGGCGAATGTAAATTGAACCAATGGTCACTTGAGGTGCATCGCCTTCTGTGATCTTGATTAACGCTAATTCGGGATCAGAGACTCGACTTGTATCATTTCTATCGTAAACCTGAAGACTTAGAATGAGCTCTTTGTTTGGTAGAAAATTTGACGAATCGAGTGTGAGACTTGATTCTTTTTGCATTGATTGATTGATTAAAAGATAATTACGACTTGATACAGTTTCCAAATCATTATCAGGTAATGAAGCGAAATTAAAGAAACAAGGTTCGTGCGTATCACTGTCCAAGCAGTTCCAATGATAAGTAATGGGTTTTTTAGTTCCATCGCCAGAAGAGAGGCCAGAAATCGTGATTGGACCTGATTGATGTCCGAAAGCCATCATTGGTGATCCTCCAGAAATTAAAGCACGAAGAGGTGATTGTTGACCGACTAATGAGAAAGCGGCACCGCTCGTCTCATTAATTCGATGGCCAAGAAAAGCGCTGAGGTAAAATGTGACCGGATGATTTGGTGGAAGTGAAAATGGACTCAAGATGTAGACAGAAAGGTAAGTAAGTGTGAAGTTAAATTTAACCTGAGGATCAGCGACCTTCCAAAATAAACCGACCCGTTGAAAAGGGTTTACACAGGTTGGAATATAAGCCTCAGCCCAAAAAATCGCTCTGAAAGAATCAAAACAAATTAGATCACTAAATTGTCGTAACAAGAGAACTTTTGACTTACGTTGTATCGACTGAATAAGGCTCAGCTGGTAACATGATGTTCGAGTAAATGCTGACGATCGGTGCATCGTAATTAAATCGAATCAATCGATGTGTAGCAGTTAATGAACCAATTCCATCTTCAGCTTCGGCGGTCAATGTGAACTGGTACCCGACACCAGGTTCGAAAAGAACAGCATCCAAAGCAAGATTTTGAGAGGAAGTTGTACTAATCAAATGAGCTAATTCTTCAGAAATTGAATCATCAGAATCCAAAGATGAACCTTTATTATCTCGAGTCACTGACCATTTGAACGTAAGTCCAGTTGTACCTTTGGGTGAAGAATAGTGTCCAGATAATGAGAATAATCCACATCTAGGAACTTCCGACGGTCCAGTAATCACCAATCTCGGTGTATAAACCCACCATTCGGTTGTTAATTTTCGCAAGATAATTTTAATTGGTTCGTCATTAACCAGCGCGATATTTGCTGAATCCTCTTTGAAAATCCCTTTTCTCAATATTAATTCAAAAACATTTTCTTCCATTGGTTTCTGCAAGTATATGACCAATTGTACTTTACTTGACCAAACACAATAAAGTCGCTTATATTTAGACAATTTATCTGAACTTTCCTCAGCTAATATATGATCACATAGATGAGAACCAATTGAATTCATTTCTTGAGATGAGAAAACGTCGATTGGACGACTGAACATGATGACCATTGCAAGACCATCAGATGAAATGAAACAATTCGCATGAGAAATCGTTGGCGCTGGTGAAATTAAGGTGAATGTAAATGGCGATGATAAAGGATGAATACCATCAATTGTTGGAGTAATTAAAAGTGAATTTGATGAAGATGCTAAATGTTTAGGAAGTTTACAACTATAAGGCTTCGTCCCAGTGACAATCAAACTTGATTCCGATTCATAAACTTCATTTGAATCTCTTTCATCTGAATCAGATTTACCAACCAAACAGATTAAATTGAGATTAGGAATCGTTGATAAACTTGGTCCATCAAAGGTCAGCTCAATGTCCTCAGTAAATTGAGTTGTTAGTATTTCCAATGGTTGCATACCTGTTATACGAGCTGTTAATTAAAAAGACAAATTGTGAGAAAATGTTCATTAATTACTTCAAGTTCATTGTAGATTTATGGTTAGTGCTACAATTAGTGAAAGGCTGGTTAAGTTAACTCGATTGTGTTTCCTGTTGCCTTGTAAATCGTACGATTGATTAAAATACAATTAGTGTAACATTCACAACTTAAATCTACAATTAACCCATTTCTTGCATTCGAACTCGAAGAAAAAAAGATTCAAATTTGAAGATAATCAATATTTCCTTGGCCTTTTGTTTATTGATAAAAAATTGATTGTTCAACTGATTCGATTATCAAAAAATGACAATTAAAATTTCACTAAACTGAACTTACCTTTGATTTTATCAAATGCAAAGACCTTATTTGAAGGAGAATCAGGTAAGTTGAGATTTCCACTTCTCGATCTTAATCCAATCGTATAAATCCCTTCTGTTACCAGTAAAAAGAGTTACGATTAAAATTTTTGATCAAATGATTAGGCAGCAATTAAACTCACCAATTAGAGGGTAAATTGAACAATAAACTGAAGTTTTGTTGTTTGGTATGAAAAATATTGGCGAATAAGCATCTTCATCACTTGATTCATGGCGGTAAACACAATCAAGATCACTTGTCACTGGCTGGAAGTAACCAATTAACAGAATCTAATTAAAATGGATAAATTTTGTACATCATTAAACAATTCAAATCAATCGAATTTAGAATAATTTTGATAAAATCTACCTGATTTTCTGATTCCTTTTCGATTAATTTTGGCTCGATTGACCTGATCTTGTAGCAAACGTCAACATTGTCACATCCACATAGCTTCGGATCTCTGTAGGTTGATTCCGATTTCAGATTAATCAATTTCTATTCCTTAATTGTTACCAATCAACTTACCTACTACATGAACAATAAGCTTTATCTTGAAGACAATTTCCACATTCATCTTTCACATCTTCTTCCGTTAAATTAGAAGTTGGACCAATACAATGACCACAAACTGACCGAGACGTTGATAGACCAGGAGGATGACATTGCTTAGAGCAATCGGCATAAGAAGAAGCCGTTGATTCGCTTACTAAAAGTCGACAATATCCACAATCATCTAATCGATAAGGTAATTGTGCGGACGATAAATTCGGTGCGATACATTCACCTCGACAATCTCGAGCTGATTCTGATTGACCAGAGGATTCGTCTAATAGAAAAATGAATAATTATTAATAATAAAAACAATCGAAAATTCGTCCGACTGTATTCACCTAAACATTGGCCTGAACATTCATCTCGATAAGCTGACCCATTACAGACATTTTTGCAGTCCACAATGGCGGAACCATGACAGATACCAAGACAATCTTTGCCATAATCCTCATTAAGTCCAGTCCCATTACCGACACAATAGCCGCACTCATTTAAAGTGGCCTTTGGATAGCCAAGTATCGCACAGCCTGAATTGTCAATTGAATTGAAGTACAATCGACACGAGGAAAATAAAACAGATTCAACATTGAGAAATACTCTAATTGCTAATAATAGCAAAGATTATATCACAATTAATTTCGTTTCTTAATTATTTGACTTCACTGGCGCAGAAAAAATTAAATCCAAATGCATCAACGTGAAAATGATGATTGACGATCAGTAAATTGTTACAGTCAAAGGTTGTCAGGTTGACGGAACTTTGCCAGATCATAGTAATTGTACTTTTTACAATTAAATTGTAATTTAATTTAGCAATTAACCTCGTGTTGTACACTAATTACAAAGGCAATAAGTTACTTACCTTGAATTGGATTTTCAAGAAAATCATAATAATTAGTTGATTTAGTTGGTTCCAGGAGCGTGATTAAAGTAACAAGGAAAATAAATTTGTCCGCTTGGACGATTTGCAAACTGAAATAATTAGTAAATGACATTGACAATTAAAGATGAGAGTTTACGTAGATTTACATAGAGATTATCAAGTTAATTGTAAACATTTCAAAGCTAATGAAAATCAATGTAACAATTAGAAACACGATATAACTCAATTAGTTGATTCAGTCGTTTTTCACTTCTAATTGTACCAACAATTTAGATAAACATTACAACTATAACATTGATCCAAATCACAATCAAGGTCTCATATCCGTTCACAATTAGACGAGGTTAAGGTAACCAATGAGTTTTAAATTAAGAATTGATTGAGAAAATCAATCTCAATTGATTAAAGATGAGAATAATTAACAAAAAGTCAAATTAATTACTAATTAATCACAGATAAAATAATTGCAACGAAAAATTAATTGAATTGCGAACAAGATTAGAAAAACTATTTTTAATTGTTTCCATTTTAAACTTTTCACAATTAGAATTGATAACTTACAAGATGCAATTAATAAATTGAGCTAAATCACACGGGATTGTCATTAATTAAGTTGATTGTTGGTCAATCATTTTTGAGGTAAAAATCGAAAACAAATTAACTAAATGGTTTGTTAGCATTTAACTAAAAGAATGAAATAGAAACCTGATTTCAATAGAATCGTTAATTGTTGGTTCCAATAGAGTGACCCAACAGCGGAAATTGTCACAATTAGTTAACTCCCACTATGTAACTATGAATAATATATTACAATTATAGGCTACGATTTCCGGTTAATCGGGAAAAGTTAAAAAAATATAAATAAAACTTAGAAACAAAAACAGTAACAATTAAAACAAAGAAGAGCAGAACAATTAAAGTCTCAATTGTACCAATTGAGTGACCGAACCCTGAGACCAGGAGCTAAGGTGTGTCAATGATTAAACGATCAAATTGAATCAAAATGATTTCTGATTATCAGAGTTTATCAGGCATCGTAATTACGACAATCAGTAAATTATCTAAAATTATACATTAAATTTATTCAGTCATTGGTCTTAACATTCGTGCTTCGTTAATTTGATCTCGTCGAGGGACAGAAACGAGTCGTTGGGATGATGAACGAATCGAAGATGAACTTTTAGAACAGATAAACATAACGATTTAATGTAAATTAACTTGAGATCATAATTGTTACATCTTAGCTTTTTTCCTGGTTAATTTTAAGATTAGATTAGATTTAAATGTTGGTTAATTGTGATCAGAATGGTAATTAAATGTTACCGCTTTCACTTGCGTTCTCAAGCTGAAAGTAAGAGAGAGAAAGAGAAAGACATTAATTCGGCTTGAAAAGCTGCTGAGCCGATCTTTGGATTTTGGCTCTTGCGCATTTCCAACTCATAGATTTTTTTATTTAGACTTATTTTTATTTGTGAATTGTATTGAAACTTGTGTTAATTAGGCCATTTTTTGGGTTAAATTGTGTTTAATAAAATAATGAGTGATGAAGACATGGATATGGAAATCGAGTCGGATGTAAGTAATTCAAGTTCTCAGGTATCTCTAATTGTTCCTCCTCTTCACTGATCAGTAAATGTCCACTTGTTTATCTCTTTCTGGTTTATACTCATGTTTTTTGTTGACTTTTCTTTTGCTGACATTTCCCTTCTCTCTCAACTACTTGTGACTGATTGTGTTACTAGGCGGACAAAAGAGCCCATCACAATGCTTTGGAAAGGAAAAGGAGAGATCATATCAAGGACAGTTTCTCAAGTCTAAGAGACTCTGTTCCATCACTTCGTGGAGAAAAGGTAATGTTTAATTGTTTTTCTTTCCTTCCCTTTCCTTTCTTCTCTTTCTCTCTTCTCTTTTTCTCTCTTAATCCACATTCTCCACTTTTGTTGTTTCTCTTCTACTCGCATGGCATAATTTCAGTTTATGTGACTCTCTCCTTCTCTCTCTCTCTCTCTCTTTTCTCCCTACTCATCTTTAGGCTTCTCGAGCACAAATATTGAAAAAAGCAGCCGAGTACATCCAACTTATGAGGAAAAAGAATTCTATCCATCAACAGGACATTGATGAACTGAAAAGACAGAACAAAGTTTTGGAGGAGCAAATCGCTCAGATTCTGGCCAATTACACTGTTAATGAACCGAGCTGAGAGATCAAGTGACAGTTCTGGAAGCAAAACAACATAAACTCTTCATGTGTGTTTTGTGTTTACTTTTTTTCTGATTTCAATCTCAGCTTAATCTCTGTCAGATCTTTCGTGAGAAAACAAAAATAAGACAACATCTAATAATTTGTAAAAAAAAATACATGTGACGATATCAAATTAAATTAGATAACTCTGAGTAAACCAACAAACAAAAAAGATAAAACCAATTGGGCAATTTAGCCCACTGGGAGCACGAAAAATGTTCAAAATAAATCGAATCAATTTAACACAAACTAAACCATCAAGTCAATTTCATTTCTGTTTATCGCTTTTTGGTTATCATTCACACTTTTTACTGAGTAAATTTTTTCTTTCAACCTCATGGAAAATGACAAATTTTTTTAATTATCAATCAATTCACTCCACCAATTAGTAATTTAATTAATTCGTCAATGGCTAACCTTTGATTCGCATCCAAGCTCAGCCTTCGAGTTGCTACAAATCAGTCACATGTTGAACATGTGATTCTCTTTGTGGTTTAATGTTCTTTGTTTACCTTTTAATTAATTGTTTTTCTCTTCGTTCTTTTTGATTTATCGACAATTTAATTAGTTACTAATGATCTTTAAGGTTCTGGCCCCGGTGGTAATCACGAGTTTACCAATTCTAATCAGTAATCCCAAGTTTAATCTCAATTACAAGTCTTTGCTGTTCAAAAGGTAAATTGGTCTTTATCTTTGCTCTTGTTAATTGTTAACCTTTGACTTTTAATTAATGTTTCTTTTAATTGTTTTCATTGTTCATATTTCTCAGGGAAGGTCAATTAGTTCCTGTGGATTCAATGGTTGAATCTTCCATTGAAGAGGTTTTCACTCGTTTAATTGGCCTCAAATTTAGGAATGAAAATCAATGGAACCGAGAGAAATCATATTTCCAATTTAATTACACCAAATCGGATTGTTTAATTGCTTCAGGATCCATTTGGCTTGAAAAATGTAGTCTTGGTCTTCCTTATAATGTTTCCTTTACCCGTTTAGAAGAGGCGATTGAGCTACTGGAGATAAACGGATTTTATCTCGACTGGAAATCTCCCGAAAATTTGGAAATCGCCTCAACTTACCTTCTAAGTGAATTATCCAAGCAATTTATTATCGCCCAAGGTGTTTGTCTACTTTGGAATAAAAAAACTCTACCATTAAACCTTCTTGTCAATGGCATTTTATCCGCCATGTTTGTCATCACTTATCGAACCTCTCAACCAATGGCAGTTAAATCAACTCTTTTGGCCGTGTTAATTTGCGGTGTTTTCATTATGTCATCAATGGTCAATTCAATTGCCGACTCGGAGTCAATCGATGAAGCGTTAACATTGAATGACCAATATTTGGATGGTGCGATTGAATTTTATCAGAAAATCCTCCGTAGACATGAATTGATCGAGTCTCGAACCAACAATCAGTCAAACACTTTTATGAAAGTAACTCAATTGTCGGAAAATAATCTTGCTCGTCAAACTTTGGACTATTTGTTGGAGGAAAAAGCAAAACGAAAGAATCAAAAGAATAGCTGATTAAATAATCTACTGATTACTATCAAATTATCAAATATTATCATTGCAAGAGAATCATGAAGATGATAAACGTCTCGTTCAGTGTTAGATGAGATTATTGATATTCACTTACAGAGATTAATTAATATCAATGGTAAAATTAGTAAATTGAACAGAAAATTGATCTTTGTACAATCAGAACGAGGACCCAATAGATGTCACCAGTCTTGGAAAAGATGAAGTGATGGACCGATTTCTGATCGAAAGCTAATCGATTTATCGTTTCGATTTCCACGAAAATCGATCGATCTCTATAATTCAAATTTCGCGATGAACAAGAAGGAGAAAAATTTCTTCTTTCTTTTAACTCTGTCTATTTTCTCTTTTTAATTTCGCAATTTGAAAGTAATTTAGAATCACTATTTCGATCTTTCAAATCCTTACAATTTCCGTCTCGAAATAAATAAGATAAAATAGAAATATCCATTCATTAAAATAGTAAAATTTGTTGGTCATTTCATTTTTTGCTGCTTCTGGTCAATTGCGTTGATCTAAGGGCTAATTAAAAAAAACGACCGAAATCAATTACCAGTCCATCTTAGGTTATTGTATATCTGTGATGATAATTGAGGAAACTTAGATCTAACTCTATGATAAATAAGACGATTGATTCTGATTCAACTTATTGACAGAAGCTCAATGGTGCAATGATAATTGTCGCACATCAGTACTCATACAAGCAAATTAAGAGCCTGATTCATGATGAAACTTTTGTCATTTTATTTTATTTTATTATCAGGTCACAAGTGATATTGAATCTAGTCTGAATTCTCACGATTGACCATGTCAGGCAATTACTCTACGAGTACCAATGGTGATTAAGGAAAATATCGCAACTTCTCAGCCGATTATCGTGTGAAAATTTACCATTTTATTTCATTTGCTAGATTATTGGTTAATTTAATATTCTAATGTTTATAACAAAAGTTGTAATAAGTTAATAGCAAACAGATGATAGAGAAATTATACAAATTAAAAATTGTAAAATTCAGCGCTTCTTCAATAATCGTTCAGATTCTTATTGGCAAATGATTTTTGAACAGTTCAATTTCGAAAAAAATCGCACAATTTAAGCTGAATAGCTTCTCGAAGCTTCATTCGGGTTATGATTTTCAATTGTGTGATTATTATATCATCGAATTTTGAACCTTGTATTGGAAGGATTAAAGAAAAACAAAGGAAAAGATGATTAAATCAAATGATTGAATTGTTCTCTGTTTTCATTGGTCAATAAATAGTTAATAAATTCAGTTGAGATTCTGTATCCAGTGGAACTGAACAAAGGATTCAGTCCCTACCCTGAGATATTTAGTCTTGACCTAAAAAAGTAAAAATTGTCGAATTAAGTAGAGGAAATAGTTAGAGCAGATGAAAAGATGATACAGATGAAGACGGAATGAGATTAAGAAAAAATCAAATGAAAATAGGAATATATGTTCAGAATCTGAAGCATTTCATCTGAAAATTTATCATGCGACGTGATGTGAAAATATGACAACTTTCTTTCTATTATTATTATTGTTATAATGTGCTATCAGTTTAGTTACAGTGATTCCCTTGGAACTTGCTTTCAGTTTTCACAATGAGAAGATTAAAACTCAAGTTTAAGGTGATTCTTAAAATGATCATGATCATAATGAATATAACATAATAATAATGCACATTTAGTGACATTTCTGGTTATTCTTTTTCTTTTGACTATTGAAATCTTTTATTCAGGTTACCCTCAGTTCGAACTCATTATTCTTACTTTTACCTCTTCATTTTCGAGCAGAGTTTTCACCACCACCACCGCCTTATTGTAATACTGAATAAAGAAAAGAATAAGAATTTTCTATTATGTTCCTAATAACTTTCAATAAGGATAAGGTTATCATGCTTATCCTGCTTTTTATCTCATTTCAACTGAATATCATCAGATATCAAATATTCTCACAAGAGTAGAAGATAAAGTCAACCTTTTCTTTCAAACATTTTATCTAATCTCAAACACTTGAAGTATGCATGGAGAATCTACTCATATATACATGAGAAGTATAAACCATCATAATCAGAATCAGTATCTCAAAATTTATCATGAAAGAAATTATCATAAGCTGAACTTGCAAACCAGCAAAGGTCCATTGGATTCGTAAAGTACAAAAACATTGACGATCACAACGATTTACGATAATAATGTTGATTGAATCTCTTTGGACAAGTCAATCAATAGATTAACTCATATTCTAAAGGTAATAATATGCATAAATCGAGATATTTCCGATAACAAGTTCGAGGCATCAAATAGCTGATATTTTTTCTGAGTAGAATTTTATTCTTTTATTATTAAATTAATATAACAAAAATGAACTTTTTTCCTTGGAAAATTGGAAAAAGATAATATCATTAGATGAACACTTATTTTCTATCTTCTCAAATTGTAACCATTTTATTTTGGTGATCAAGTAAAATCTCTTCATACTCATTTCCTGGTTCCCATTTTATCTGATTCTCCTTCCATAAGCTGAAAAGATTGAGACAATAATGAGAAAAGTTAATGATGGTCATTCAATACGGAACCAAGTTCGATTCATTCTCTCCTTTAAATTGATTTGGAAGTTTATTTTATGAGAATTTAATTTAGTCATCGTCATAACCATTTAAACCTAAGTACATGTATCATCTATTTCGTTGCTTCGAGTCACTTATTGGCTTTAGCCAAGATTTTAAATGAACCACGAGATTATTTAAAGTACAAAGTTTAACCTCAACTTTAAATTCAATTCGCTGAATCCAATGAATAATAAACATCGTTTATTATCAAATGATCTCAATAAAAAAAAAGATAATCTCAGTTCACTCAAGTTGCAAACAATTGTTGATAATATTTCAGATTTTCGATGATAATTTCTCATTCATTCGTATGATTTGAACGATTTTATTTGTCCAAATTAACTCCAATTGTTTATGACCCAATTTAATATTTGTTTATTTCTCTTCTTTTACTAATAGAGTGAAAATAATCTCTATTCTTTAATAATGATTATGCGCTGTAATAGAATCGACTACAATATGTTAAGTAATCGATCTAACTAATCAAGGACTTTTAAATCGTAATAATTATTGTCTTTATTTATTCACAATCGATAAAGTTGCATGTTAGGTTCGTTAGGTTAATTAAGGTCAAAAACGGAACAGAGTTGCAAACGTAATGATGATTTAAGTTGATTATCGTTCTAATCGGATAGATGATGTAAAAGAAATGATCGAGGAAACATCGATCAGTTAATTGTTTAATAACAATATTATTAATATTGTAAAGAGAAAAATTAAATAAATTGTTGATTGTTGAGCATTTTGTTAACAATTAAAGTAAATATTATCTTTTATAGGTAAAAACAATATAATATTAATTTAATATTAGGTGGAGAGGGAGTTATGGTTGAAAGATTTTGATAATCTGATAACAGATTGTAAAGAGAAAGAAAAAAGTTCTGAACTTGAACAGACACACTCCGAAAAGACCCAAGGTATTGTGATAAAAAATAGGATTCTCATAATGTTACATAATGTTACAGGGAGTGGAATGCATAACAAGTTATACCAAAATGATATTGTGTCTTTTTATCAAAGTGAAAACAGTTATCATCTTCATGGTCAATTCTGTATAAATGAGAAAAGTTTCGACCAAAAAAATAAGACATCAAAGAAAAAAGTTGAGCAAAAAACTCAATCGAATCCTCAGTTCAGTCCAACATCACAATTGTTATCATAGAATCGACATTTTTTTCCCAACTTCGATCAACATTAACTATCAGTTAACTTTTATTTGACTGTGAATCTTCAATGTGCTCAAGGAAATAAACAAACAATTGAACAGTATAAAAGATTATATTAATATCTTGAAACAACAATTGATTGATTGATCAATATCATGAAATAGTTTAACTTTTTAACATGATAACAAAAATATATTACAGTTAATTCAGTTAACATGTACGTTTGTTTATAATCATTGTGATAACAGTGTTAAAGTTTAATTGTTACATGTTTGTTACTTGTATCAAGCTTACCTATTATACGATTAATTGTTTCATTGAAATTTAATAATCTCATCAGATTAATCATGATCCCGAATCAGTTTCGGGAAAGTTGCCAAATCTTTTATCTTCTTTGGTCTCTAGTTCAATTAAATTTGATTCTCTGTGATTTGGATTCATCGTCTAAAAATGTTAACTCATTGATGAGATTAACAAGTACAATTGGGAATTCTAACTTCAATAATAACATAAATATTAATCACATCAATAGTATAAATAGTAACGTCAGATTAACTAAGTGCAATCGAGATTTACCTGGAACATCCCCTAAGAAGATTCCTGGAGATAATGGATTCAAAATCAAAATTACCGGTGATAAAGAGAAGTTCAAACCTGGTGAACTTTATACAAGTAAGTTGATTATCGAATGGAAATTGTGTGAATGCTAATTGCTCGTGAGAAACGATAACTTGATGAGATTATCTCTCAACTGTCACAGGAATTTCAAGTGTCTCGAGTTAATTAAACTAATACATATTAATTTAGTTCGTGAACAAGAGAGAGATTATGAGTTGAGGGTAAAGGGGAAGATGTGATAATCTTGACAGTTTAAAGGGTCATCCATGTGATTAGGCTGTTCGATGAGAAATGGAAATGCGATGAAAGATGAAAGATGAAATATGTAATTTTGCATGAACCTCGAAATGAAACCAATTGATTCGTCTAAAATTGATACATGGAACAATTTGGACTTGTCAAGTTCACAGTTGCAAATGTCAACACAACTTGCATAGTGAATATGGTTCCATGTAATATGCACCATATAAGAAGAAGTGAAACAAATTACAAGTTACTCTGATTCTCTGCTATCTGATACTCATCATGTATCCAGAGATATTTGTACAATATAATATCATGAGAAAATGTAACACATCTTATTAGTTTTTCTGAATTGTTATTGATAGATTCATGTGAACAAAAAACATGTTGTCAGATTCATGGATACACAATGTGATTTGAACTCGTTGGAAACTAGAAGCTGATTAATTAAATAATCAACTAACTTTCCATGTTACTTTTTTACATGAATCAAATTTTGAGTCAAACAGCAACGATCAACATGAAGTTTACTACATTTCTCAACGGTGAAATAAATCTCCTCATTAGTAGATGAGCTTTATTATTAAATAAACTTGAGGATGTGATTATGATGGAGATGAGGATGAGGCAGAAAATGATGATGCTCATCAGCAGGTCAGTTCAACTTTCAGTTTTCAATGAACCAAATGACAGATTTTACTATTTATTAACAATATTTTGACAGGTAATTTGTTTCAATGATTTTCTTTCTTCACTAACCTATTTACAGAACTGATATAATACAATTAATCAACTAGCTATTCAATTGAATTCATTCAACTATTGGTTAATTTTTAACGGTTGAATATTTGTTGCCTGTGATAATTGATTAATTATTCAATTTGTGAAAGATAATTCAACAGATTCTGATGAACACACAATCAGTGAACTTCATTCATGATGATAGTTTTTGTCTCTAACGGTAATCACATTTACAACATTGAACATTGATTGAAAAAAAGGCCTCTAGTAACTATTACTAACTAATAGTTAGTTAGTTTCTTGAGAGAAAACTAAATTGATTGTTAAATTGTTGTAATCATTTAGTTAATTAAATTATCTCAGTTAAATACTAACACAAAGTTATTTGTGAGCAGTTGTATTAATACAAACAATTTGGATCGATAAAATTTCATGTTGTTATAATTTAGTAAAACATAATTAACCACAATAACAAATCATTGATTTACATGATGAAATTAATTATTACAAACACTGAAAGTTAGTTAAGGCGTTTACCAGTTTTAAATGTTAACCGATTTGTTTATTAATATTAATAATTTACATAATCATAATTGTAATTGTAATTAAACTTTACTAATATTTTTAATTCTGTCAACTAAAACTTCATATTCCGTAATTAATCAAGACAATTTTATCATGTCACCATGTGAAAATCAATTGAATATGTTCAATATTTTTCTTATTAAAGTGTTAAATCTGTTGATTAGTTAATTCAAATTTCAACAATCAAATGAACAATTATCTATTTCTAATCCATTACTTGAGAATCTCTAATTTATCATTTGTTTATCTGTTTAATTGTTTTCATTGGATTAATTAAATGGACAGTAAAATTATTCATTGTTTGATTGCAAGGAAAAAGAGTAACTCAATTAATTGTTAACAATTTAAACAAAAGTGAAAACTAATCCTTCTCGTTTATCATTGGATCTAAATATTTATTCAAATTTTCATCAATTAAATTAACTGGAACAATAATTTTGTGAATAGAAAGTTATAATTGTCATTTGAAACATTATATTTACATCATGTGAAAATTGAATCTGCTAATTAATTAATAATACATGAGAATTGTATATTTTTCAATTGTTGATTTACTCAATTAAAAGTCACATGTAACTATTATATGTTAGTGTTACATGTTATGTGTTTCAAATGGCTGATTGTTTGGTTCTTGATTGGATATTAATCATTTCTTTTAATTGATTAATCTTATTTAGTTGTACTTTTGGGACACAAAACAACTTATCAAATACAAAAGTTCATTGGATTCATGTTGGTGGTGGAACCTCGTGAATGGCCCGATTCTAATGGCCTTGTATCAGGTACATCACAGAATCCAGAGATTGGATCATTTCAGGTAATCGTAATCAGCGAGTGTACAATTGAATTAGAAGATGAGAAAAGATTACAAATGATAATGTTTCGTATTTCGTATCCCTTTCAAATTTACAGTTATTCGGCGATGCTTTGATAAAAGTATCGGAAGATTGTCCAAATGCTATTCTTCACACATCAGATATTCCGAAATCGGAAGTTCAAGCGATGTGGCAAGCACCTTCCAATCCAACGGGATGTGTTGTCTTCAAGTGAGTATTCTGATCGTTTATCGATAATTTTTCATCATTTTCGAGAAAAATATTCTTTGTTGCGAATAGAAATTAATTAACAAGCTAACCTTTATTTCTTTATCATGACAATTAATCTTTTTGACACAAAACTGTTATTACATAATCATTTATCAACTGTCAACTAGTTGTAAACAATTTAATTAATTACTTTTACACAATATCTTTTGAATAGAAATACCAATCAACACAATTTTAATCAGTTAACTAACAAATTCAAACTGTTTTATCTCATCAAATTGAGATGATTTTAATTTTGATTGTTATAATACTTATCGAGTTTTCTGTAGATATGATTAATATAAAATAATAATATCATGAATTCTGTCATGAATCACATGAATTTATATATTTCTGTGAATAATAATAATGTCAATTGTTGATCTTTTATCCCTTGCAACAAATTATTCACTATAATTGTTAATTTTACTCGAAATATTCACTGGAAGATTAATCTTTAATAAACATGATTAAGGATTATTGATTCAGTCTGTGATAAAAATAATAATAATCTAGAATTATTCAGTTTAAGTATCATGGATTAATGATGATGATGATTCTGATGGAGGAGAGTTATTAACACGAACCATGAGATGTTAATAGTTAAACAAAATAGCCTAGAATAGCAATGTTTTTTTCGTTAATTGTTGACTGATGATTTTATGGTTGTTGGTAACAACAGAGAGGATTATCAAGACATTTCATCCTCTAATGATTATCAGATTGTAAGTTGAGAATTAGGGATAAAGTAGAGATTTAGTCTCACCTCCTCGAGGTTTTGATATAACGATATAATGCTCATACATTGTAAGACAATCATCAAATTAATCACCATTTTAATCATCGACCTCAGATTTACTTTTCTGCTTAGTTTTCTGATTATTTGATGACGATCAGCATTCGCTTATTTATTATCAGAATAAACTTCCTTGATCATTTCCTGATTAGTAATCAAGAGAAAACTGGATTCAGGAAATTTGAGAATCAACTTAAATCAATTACCAAGTTATCAATGATCATAATTAACTGGTGATAATTATTAGCCGATTTTTTCATATACCATCTATTGGGATTTAATCAATTTATATTGATTACTTTTATCGTTTAATATTAGAAATGAAGAAAAAGTTTACACTGTTAAAATCAATTATCATGATAAAAGTAAATCGCTAATTACTAATTGATGTAATATGAAAAAGCTAAAAATGAACAATCAAGGTAACATTATTATTATTTTATTAACATTCTCAATCTGAATCATATTGTAGAGATAAGATATTGATTCACTTCCATGCTATTATTCAGTTGCTTTTATGGTGAAACGATGAAGATGATAGAGAGAAGGTTAATCAAAAGGAAGAAAAATTTAATGGGAAGATGATCAAAAGAAGAAGATGAAGAAGATGAAGAGGAGTAGAACATTTTCCTCAACATCATCATTCTTCATTCACCTACATATTCATCATAATGAAACTGAATCAGCCAAGAATGAAATGGATCATCATCACTCCACCATTAAACTAGGCTATAAATCGACTTGTATATTACCTGGAACAATTTCTATCATTATTATAACAAGATAAATTTTTTCTCAGCCTTTTGATTCTCCCCAAGTTCATCCTGAATGTTCATTGATAATATAAAATTATATTTCTCGTTACATTGAGTTCTGAAGATGTAACAAGAAAGATATTGAAAAAAAAACAAAAACACAGGATGAAGATGAGAGGATCAAGTTGAGGACAAAGAAGCAGAAGACAAAGTGTTACACTTAAACTGTAATACATTAGAAAACCTTTGTTATCGTCATTATTATATCTTTGCTGGGATGAACATGATTTTCATCGAGTTCAGTTAATTAAATTAATTTAGTAACATTGTGAAGATCGAGTGTTGTTAAGTCTTATTAATAGTCTAGATTCAACTTGAATCTCATTCATTTTGATAGACAAATTTGATAAAATATCAACGAACTTATAATAACCCTGAATTTGATGCAAGAAAAGAAAATAAATATTTCATTAAATTTTGATATTAGTCTTCCAATTCAAGTCTACTGATTTGTGAATAATCATGACAAGTGTGAGTTTCAATGAAATTGATATTCCTTGGTCATAGTTGACATAAATTCAAGCATTAACAGATAATCTTTTCATCTTAATGATATTAATAATTAAGATACAGAAATGACCATGTACGTGAAAATGGATATTCACTGAATCTATTGATATTAATATTGATAATTATCGAAATTTTACGATTTCTAGAGCGACGGTTGTAGAATCGAGTGATACTTGGTTTATGGATGACGGGGCATTGACTAAACACTTTTGCCCTGAAGAAACTGAATCTCTGGATGAACAATCAGAAATTCTTGAGGAATGTTGTGCCTGTGACGAGGCTAAATACGAGGTCATATTCCAGGGATTATGGTCCAGATTTACTCACCCAAAGGATTTCCCTGTCAATAGCCATTTAGCTCATTTTTCTGAAATAATTGGTGCATCTCACACAGCTGATTTCCGAATGTGGGAATATGGTGGTTATGCCTCGGAAGGGTTAAGACAATTGGCTGAATCAGGAACAACTAAAAAGTTGGAAGCTGAATTAAAAGCAGAATCAAATAAGATCAGGTAATATCTCATCAATTGACCCAATTTACTTTCTAATTGAATTAAAATGATAAAAACATCGGATAAAATTACGTTTCAAATACTATTATGTTAATGACTGAGAAATTGAGTGAAGGAACAATAGGAACTTGTGATAAATTTATCGACCAATATTGAGCTTCCAAGTTTATTTTTCTTTATCATTATAAACATGGTGATAGTCATGAAGCTCATTATAGTCTGATAACAGCTATCAACAGGAAATTGGAATTCTTTTCCTATCATGAATTGATATGTCAATCAGTTCAATCCATAGATTCTCAACAAAATCTATCAGCTGAAACAACTTTTAGCCCTTGAACTGTTCGTTTGATCTGAACAGAGTTTCCTTGACCAGTACATTTATGCTGGTAAATGATTTTCAATCCAATTTTCCGCAAACAATTTACATCGATTAAGCCAATTTTTATTCATCGAACGAGAGATTTATTCAGATTATTAGCAGAATTTATTTCCATACAACCTTAGACCTTTTTAAGTTGAGATCAATAAGAAAAACCATTTAGTGAATTGAGAATAACTCATTTTCTAGTAAAAAGTAATCACAGTTTTGTTTGGAGTTGAAAGTTGATAATTAACAATCTAGTCAACACATAAATTGTTTTTCGTGTTTAACTTTTGAAAAAGTTCGTGATAATCTCAAATTTCTGGACTTTTAGATAACATTTCATTAGAAGTGATGAAAGTTGGTGAGTCAATCTCACTCAGAATAACCAAAATTGATATAAAAATGAAATTTGCTTACCAATTTTCCGCTGGTAAAAAGTAACCCAAATATTTAAGAATCAGATTAGAAAGAGAAGCTTAAACAACAAATAAGTTTCACTCATGTTTTCTCATATGCAAACTTTTCCATCGATTGATCAGAGATGTAAAATTAATAGATTATTCTGGTCTATTAAATTGAAATTTAAACACCATTTCATTTCACCACAAACTCATTACTGATTCGAGTAGCAACAATTTTCAATTTCTAATATTTTGCTCAATCACTAAAAGTATTAACTTCCTCGTGGTTTTTGCTTTGAAATTATCAACTCAGATGAGTTGAGATTCATTTCTCACATCAGAGATATACATGTACTTCAAGTTTTCTCAAAGTTTCATCACAAAATTCATGTTCAATTCAAATATAATTAGGATCATTAGATTGATCCATATTTATAGTAAATTTTTCGTTTTTTATCAACAACTTTTCCATTTATTGATTGATCAATCAACAGATTCAATTTCATGTCAAGTCTTCGGACATCTAAACGTTTTGTCTTTTTCACAGGAAATGTTACTCATGAATAGAACATCATTCCAAGCAAAAGTTATCGAGCATCAAGTCAATTGAATTATGATAACCAAAGATAATAAGTGTGAATAAGCCTCAAGACATTTCTCTGAAAGTTCCTATTCAATAAAGAACAGTTCATTTTTATTCTTAATTTCCTGTTCTATTTCATCATCATTATAATTCTAATAATAATATAATAATATAATGAAGAAAAAATTGTTAGTCTATAAATATTTTCATTAAAACAACGATCTATCGCCTTAGTAACGAAGGGAATTACGATAATCCTTTAACGATACATTTCGACCTTGACCAATGCAAAGTTCATTGAGATTTGGAAATTTTCGTTGGAAATACTTTGGATTAGGTCACCGAATGTCACCGATTTTCTCGATATGTTTATCCCTTTCATGGAAATGCAATCAAATGTTGTTAATTCCACTTTCGAACTATTTTCTTGGTTCCAACATAAATTATGTTCATTGGATTGTTAAGACAATAGGAAATCAAATGTACCTTTTCGACAATTTGTTATTCTTTTTCTTTCATCTGCTTTTTTTATGATCATTCATCCTGAAAAGATGATTCTGAAAATAATCTGCAAAGATTATCTCTAGAGTCAAGATGTTACAGGAATAATGACTGAAACAAAATGTTTATCCAATCATTTGGAAATAAGAAGCTGGTTGAAGAAACAGATGAGGAGGAAATATTATCCAAAGAGGATGAAGGCAATGAAATGAGATAAGTGATGAAGATACTGAGAATGCTAAAGAGATGAGGTTTAACATGGGATTGTGGTAAAAATCCCGAATAATGGAATGAGGAATAACATTAGATTTTAAACATGATCAAAGTCAATCGAAGCTAATGCCATGAATGAAATAAAGGGAAGGATAAAAATGATAAAGTGAATCATGACATTCGAATGGTTATCAGGTAGTTCCATTTATTACCCTTTGATCTGTTGTCAATAAAACGAACAATGAAAAGATCCTGAATGATGAATGGAGATTCGCAGATGATTATTTAGATGATCATGACTAATAAAATGAAACTATTTCAGCTCCTCTTGTTATATATTGAACATCATGACATAGAGAAATCGTAAAGGCACAATTGATTATATTAGAAATTCTGTCAAAGAGATATAAAAATTTAAAGTTATAGGTTAGAAATGTCATGAAAGATGAGGATGCTGAACAAAATGCTGGTAAATTGCTAATTCTTGAAGAGTATTGAATAAAAGGAATGAGAAAAGAGGATGAATTCTAAGGCGAATTGATATCCTTTACTCCTATCCTTTCATCGTACATTTAATTATAATTTGAAAGAGAAAAAGTCTATTGTAATTGTTATCCTTTCGTATTCTCATGTATTTACAGAACAATAATCAAAGCTCGAGGCCTTTGGCACCCGAATTTAAATGGGAAAACTTTTGCCGTTTTCCGGGTTGACAAAAACATCATCTGATGTCACTGGTTTCGATGCTTGGCCCTTCGCCTGATTGGATTGTTGGTGTTTCAGCCCTCGAACTTTGTCTCAAAAATTGTTCATGGGTTGGGGATAAGCAGATGAACCTTTATCTCTGGGATGCTGGTACAGATTCTGGTATCTCTTATCTGTCACCAAACGCACCAACGATACCTCAGGAAAGGATACGAAGGATAACTCCATCTAATCCCAACTCAAGAGATTCACCTTTCTATGACCCTAATGGGAATAAGATGAAGCCATTTGCACGATTGACAGTTACTCGTCAACGAATGTACGAAAAGGCCTGTAACGAAAACGAACCACTAGAATTTTCACCAACTCCAATCGCATTTACACCAACAGGTGAATACAGTCAAACACAATTTAATGAATCACAAAGTAAGAACAAGAAAGAAAGAATGAAAATATTAGCCTTAAGAGATAATCCTTCTTCTTTACAGTTAATCAATGTTCCAGAAAAACAAATTAATCAAAGAAACACTCGCATTGGACGTTTGGTTGAATCAAAAAGAGAGAAATGAATTGTCAACTTTTTCTGTGTCTTTTACAGGGAAAATACTTTGGAATATTACAGTTGATAAGTTCTTATGTTCTGTAAAAATGCGCAAGAAAAAGTTGACAATTCATTTCTCTTTTGATTCATTCAAATTTACAAAGTGTTCGACTGCTCCTCCAATTCAAACTTAGTGACTTGTTCAATTTAATTTGACTATTATAAGTAATTGTTTAGTTGAACGATGTTCGAAATGGGTAAACAAGAGAAAAGTTTCTCATCTCATCAAAAATGATCAAAATGATATCATAACTCTCGTCAATTTGACAAACGAAAATAATTGAGTATGTTAACTAATGATGAAAGAGAAGAGGTTAATAAGCATTAATACTTCTTCATGGTTAACTGATGAGGTTTCAAGCAGGAAAAGAAAACTCTGAATCTAGAATAATTATCATACTGATAATAAGTCACAAGTTATGATGAGAAGATGATGAAAACAAGGTAACAAGAGCTTCTCTCTTCTTTGCTTATAACATTTTAATTGGTTCAATGTGATGTATTAGAAAATAATGAAAAAATTGATGAGAATTTTAATTTCTAGAGAAAAGAAAAGAAAAGATTTTACTTTAAATGATCAGAAAATGCAATTCACAATTCACTTTTCGCCATTTACTTGCCAGATGATTGCACCGTAACTGATTGGACTGAATTCAAGCCTTGCAGTGCTTCTTGTGGTAAAGGATTTCGGATGAGGACCCGTAACTTTGTCTATGAGTCTCGTGCTCGACTTTCTGACTGTCGAACAGCTTTGGTCGAGAAAGAGCCTTGTGAGATTCACTGTATTGGCGATGTGAGCTGTGCAACCACTAGTTGGTCCGAGTGGTCAGATTGTTCAGTTACTTGTGGCAAAGGAACCAGAACTCGAAGTCGTAAATTCATGAGTCGCATGGCTAAAAAAGTTTGTACTCAAGTTGAATTAACCCAAACAGAATCATGTTCAGGTCCAATTCCTGTTTGCCCCGAAGAAGAGGAGCACGATCCAAAGTGCTCGGTCACCCAATGGTCAGAATGGTCACCTTGTACTGTTTCATGTGGTCGAGGGATGAAAATACGCACTCGACTATATTTAAGTCCAGTTCAAAGCTCATTAAACAATTGCAACGTTGAATTGATTCAGAAATCTCCTTGTACAGCCGATAAAGCAGATTGTTCCATTGATTATAGTGATGCAAAAGGTAGTAATTAAAGCGAAAAGCTTTCAACTTGATCCCCTGATGAGCCTAATACCATAAACTAATTATATTTTACACCTTTAGAAGTTTGTATGACACCGAAAGACGTTGGTCCTTGTCGAGGATATTACCCTCGTTGGTATTACGACGCTGATAAGGCCATGTGCTTACAATTCATCTATGGTGGATGTAGAGGGAATCGGAATAACTTTGAACGTTATACTGATTGTAGCAAAATGTGTGAAGTTTTAATCCGAGGTAAAGTACAAATAATTTATCAAAATATCGAGAAAAAAACTAATTAGTTTTGATCGAAATGCATGAAACTATTATAATAATTATAATCAAAGAATTAGGAAAGTTAATTTTTCTCAACTAATGCCAATGGTAAAAACTTGTCCAAAACTAAATCATTTATGCAATTAGAAGATCAATAATTAATAAATTAATAGAAATGCTAACAATAAGATGATATAATAAAGCAAATTTATGAATGAAACCACAAGAGCTGAAATGCATTATCGATATAAGAATAATTGTCGTAGATGATTAAAGATTAAATTCATTTTCCTCTATTGTTATTATGCTTCGACAGACTTCGTGAAAGCTTCTCTGCCTTCATCCACCATTGCCTATGCCTATGCTATGAAAGATGCCACCATTCATCTTGAAAAAGGACTTGTCTGTGGTAGTATTCAAATGAACTTTGCCGTCCATGTGCCCATAGATCCCTCGTCTTATTATACCTTTCGCCTTTGCTGACCATTAGCAATCAAATTCATGGTCTGATTAAAGATACATGATCTTATTTGCATTTGTATCTTTACTCAAAATGCTCAGCACAAGGGTTAAGATATAAGTCATGTTATGATTTATCGATAGTGACTTTTTAATTTTAAGCTGCATTATTTGAATGTTCAGTTCAGATAATATTATTTTTGGAAGCTTTCATTGAGTCGATTGAGTTATAATAATGAGAGAGAGAGAATGATTGAGCTTTGATACCAATAAGCTCCAAAAATAATAATATCTGAATTTGACACTCACCTGAAAATCCATTCATTTCCTAAACTTTGCTCATCTAATTTATTAATAATACTTTTATCATTTATTTTGTTTGAATTTCTTTTCGTTATTAAATAGCTCCAATCAGTGCCTTGACCACTCTGGCTTCCAATCCAAATTCACATCATCAATATTCAAATAGTCTCTATAATCAAATTCCATCATCTTCATCGTCATCTTCATCATCAATACTTGTCCCTTCTTCTTCAATTTCTGGCTCTTCTTCCATTACCTCTTCTGGTGGCTCAGATCAACCGAAAATCGACTGTGTCACTACCGATTGGAGTGAATGGTCACCCTGTTCGAAAAGTTGTGGAGCTAAAGGGAGACGAACAAGACGTAAATCGATAAAAGTAAATCCAATGCACGGAGGGAAACCATGTCCAAAGAAATTGGTTCAAAGAAGAAAATGCAAAAACCTTCCACCTTGCAAAGATAACGAAGATGATATGTGAAAGATGATCTGAATATCGTCAACAAAAGACTTGCAAATATCACTAATTATCAGGATTCTGGCTTCATAAAGATTCAGATTCTCTTCTTCATAAACTTTTTGCCCCCAGTACGAAATTAATAACTAATCAAACCATTTATTCATTGGTATAGTAGTGTATGTACAACCTCCTTTCGAATAGACTAACCTGAGAGAGTTAGACATATCTTGATTGTTGATTTCCATTCATCAAATTTCCATATCAGCATCAAAATTGAGTAAAATTGAATTCCAATAAACGAGATCATTTAATGAGAAATTTTTCCATCTCTTTCCATGTAAACACTTTATGGAAAAAAAATAGATGCGATTTGGAATTGTTATCCAACCTTGCATCTTATTTTTCCGCGTTTCGATTTAATTAAATGGGTTAATTATTCCTGAGACATGATATTATCTTAAAACATGAGAATTAGAATCAAAGCACAAGTTGAATCTTTTAGAAATCGATTGATCTGATTACATTTCCATTGAATTTGATATCATTTAATTTCTCTTGAATTTTACTTTCCAACGAATCAGTTTGCCTTTTTTGATTGTTGTTTCCCTAATGAATAAACATTTGTAAAGTTAATTAGATTTGCATCAAAATCTCACAAGATTTAACTTTAAACCGGTTTAACAACTACAATTGAAGAAATATAAATAACACGGTTTAATTATATTCCTCGACAAAGCGTTTTGATTATAAAAGATTGAGTAAAATTTAGTAGGCTTATTGTTCATGATAAAAAATTGATTATCACTTGAGTTTTCAAAATCTTGTTATATTGTAACATTAAATGTCACAATTTAGCTTGACAATAGATGAGTTGATATTATTGATTACACTTGCTGTTATTTTGGTTTTGATTAAGTTTCCTGGTGATTTGAAAAGAGTGATTTTCTCACAAACAAATGATGAAAAGCTCATTTTGTTAATCACATTGAGATTTAATGTAACTATTTAGATACTAAGTTCGATAGTTACATTAACATTCTGGTTTCCAATTGTCCATGAAATAAGGTTGTCCTCCTTTACTGCGACGAGCAGTTAAAATTTCACATCCACTTTCGGTTACTAAAAGAGTCTGTTCGAATTGCGCTGATCGTTTACCGTCTTGAGTGACCGCAGTCCAATCGTCAGGCCATAAAATGTCTCTCCATGTCCCTTCAGAAATCATTGGTTCGATGGTGAAACAATGACCCGCTTTCATAATACCAACGGCTTTGTTTTCTTTGGATAAGAAGAGAGTAGAAATCGATTAGATTGTATTCTGGTCTTAGGTCAAAATTCGAGGAACATTAATTGTCGACTTACTCGCATAATGAGGTACATTTGGAGCGGTGTGGAAAAGTCTGTGAATCCCGTGGCCACAGTATCTTCTCACTACAGCGAACCCGTGAGATTGAGCGTGTTTTTGGATCACGTTTCCAATTTCTCGATATTTCTCTCCAGGCTTAACGATCTCAATCGCTTTGGAGAGACACTCATAAGTTACTTTGACTAATTTTTTAGCTTTTTCATCAACATTGCCTACAAAAAGGGTCTCATTCAGATCTCCATGAAAACCTTTATGATAAACGGTTATATCGATATTACAAATGTCTCCATCTTGTAAAGGCCTCATATCAGGAATCCCATGACAAATAACTTCATTGATTGAGGTACAACATGATTTGGGAAAATTGTAATAATTAAGTGGAGATGGGTAACATTCTCGATCGATACAAGCCTCATGGACTATTCTGTCAATCTCATCGGAAGTGACACCGACGGCAACAGCGTTCGCAGCCTCATCAAGAACTTCTCGGGCCAATTTAGAGGCCAATTTAACACCTTCCTTTTCCTCTTCATCCAAAATTTTGATCGCTGTACTTCCTTCCGTTTTCTCCTCACATTCCGATTGTCCCCCCGGATGATCAGCATAATCAGGCCTCATAATATGGTCCGGAACCTCCCGTTTAGGTGTCAACCGATAAGGTCGGATCGGTCCAGTGAAACTGTAGTTAGGCCATGGTTCATATACATCATTATTTTCAAGATTGGTTTCTGTTGAAAGAAGACAAGGAAAAGGTTAACCATCAGGATACTATTTAAATCAATTGATATTCACACTAAATCAACACAGAAATAGCTTACTTTGTAGAGAATGGACAATTTTGTGTTGACTGTAATTGCTTTTGAAACATTCCTATGACCAGAACACGAGGAAAACACAATGGACATTAATTAGAAAGGACAGATAGAGATGATTAAGGAAAAAAGAGAAACAATTAACCAACCTGAGAGCAGAACAATGATTTAATTTTCAGCTTAAGACAATGAGGACAATGAAGTGTAGCACTTTTATCACATCCTTCGGTTGAACAAATAGCCGATGGGGTAACCTGATCGCCCATTAGACACTGATTAGAACACCAACAATTAAGTAGGTAAAAGAAGAGGAAAATTAATTGTTGCAAGTGTAAAGAAATTAAACCAAATGAGCCGATTGATTAAAACCTGAAACAGGAAAAAATGATCACCATGCTGTTTGTGGAGGGACCGATCAGCTGATTCCCTTACAGAGTCAGAGTGAACTCAGTGGAAGAGTTTAGTTAATCAATTGATTGTCTTTTACAATTTGATCATTTTTACTTGCGAATTGATCAATTATGAAGACTAATTATTTTTTCCGTGGATTTTGTTTCATGATTAAAGCTAATCAACCAAACTAATTGTTTTTTAATGTTTACTGGTTAACTGATTTGCTTTACTTTTTGTTTAATTCAACTGTAATTAATTGATTCCTTTATGGATTTTGTTGATTAGTTTGTTAAAATTTTGCAAATTTTTTATTCATTTATTTTCTTGGTTGAGTTTAATTCGTAATCTCAATGAATTTATTGTAACATGAAATGAGGTGATTTCTGAAAATCTTTATGGAAAATATGTTTCATGAAATTGAATCCGGATACGAATTCATCGTAATAATATTGTGGTTCCTCTTCTTGTAGATTAGTGATACAACAATTAAGATTATGACCGAAAAGATTTTCATACCAAGTCTCGATTTTTGTTGGACTTAAAGTCGATTCGAAAGGTAAATTAAGTTCGTCGACACCATAAATCGGATCGATCAGTGTCATTGACCATTCGCGAATATCAATCAACTGAAGATGTGACAATCGACGTAACCAATGGAACAATTGATCTTCAGCATGAATACGAAAATATCTTAATCCAAGATTCTGCAAATTCGGAAACATGCTGATCAATCCTTCAAATTTCTCGATTTTACCGGAGAGTTTCTGTTGATCGAAAAGAAGTCAAATTATTGATTAACTCTCTTGATTGTGAACATGAACCAATATAAGACTCACACTTTCGATTGTCATTTCGATGACGAGATTTTCCACTTGACCAAATGTTTTTCGTGCTCGAGGAAAAGCCTTCGGGGGAGGTTTGTCCAGATGAAGATAAATGCTCTTCAAATTGGGCAGAAAACGTAGAAAGTGTCGCAAATCTTGAATGTCCCATTTGGAACCGAAACTAATTTCGATTACTTCTAGATTGCTCAGAATTGGTCCTTGATACTTTCGCAACGACGGAACAGTTTCATCTTAGAAAATTATACAAAAACAATCATCAAATTGATTACAATTATCATATCGATTTTCTTGTATTTATGTTTACCTGTATTCAATTGGAAACAATGAAGTCGCTGTAAATTTGGGCAACGAGTCACAGCTTCGAAGACTGTCAATTGGTCCTCGTAACAGTACAATTGGGTGACTGAATCAGTTAAATAGTGACTGGTTTGGATGTTCGAGGTCAATTCAGCGCTTAATAGAAACAATTCAATGTTGGCCAATGGCACCTTGGGTGGACCCTCGCGTTTGTCTTCAGATGGATGCCAATCGATTCCTTTGATCCCTGGCCTCGAGTTGATTAGGTCAATTAGTGCTTGTTCTTCATCAATGTCTGAAGGTGCATTAATTGTCACAAACTAACGAAAGAAAAGCAAAAGTGAGCGAAAAGAAATCGATAACCAACAACAATTTACCATCAAATTCGGAAGCAGTTGAATGTACATTGATTGAACCTCGAATTGATCCTCTTCGACATTGGTACATAAATACCGACCGGTTGGGTCGATCCTTTCAGCTTAAGTCGACGAGTAAAATGTTCATTATCAAATACAAATTTAGATCTAATCAGTTTAATTAGTTACAAACCTTTAAATTGGCGATTGATCTGTTCCTGTGCGTTGTTCAGCTGATTATTGGCAACCGGTCCCTCGATTTCAGGCTCATCATCCAATCGATGTTCAATAATTACCTGTTCGATTACGGCTTCCAAATGATCGTTAATCACCATATTATTATTTTCTTGATCATCGTCTCCATGATTAGATTCAATTTCGTCCATTCTCAAGAATCTACTAATGAATAAGTCCTCATGATAGAATACCAAATATTTAACCAAAGAAAACCTCTTCTCCATGATTTTGTGCCAACGTTTACAAACTAATCTCAATTAGTTAATGAGTTATGAGTTAATCAATCATTAAAATAGACAATTGAATCAAAGTAATTAAAAGCTCACCTTTAGATAAATTAACTGCATGTTTAATTCGAGGCGATGAATTGATGAATATCCTGAGTAAGATTTCATCATCGAGATCATTAATTGTCGCCATTAAGATCAAATCACAATAAATTTGTTTCCAGCAATTAAATCAACTCGCTGGTCGAGAAATAACAATGCGATTACTTTAATAAACTAATATAAACACAATGATTTTATTTGTTACAATTAATAGAAATGCAATTTTGATTACAATCCTTCATTTAATATTCCATAACAATGATGATCCTTAATTGTCTTCATTAATCGAAATTAATTAACTTTTCTTGCTATGTTTCTTACTGTGTTTCTTACTGTGTTTTTTGCTGTGCTTTTTACTGTGCTTTTTGTGCCCTCCCTTTTTGCTTCCTTTGCCCTTTAATTAAAAAATAGAATCAATTAATTAAAATGATCAAGACTAATTAGACAAAATCTTAATTATTAATTTCGGGGTTTGTTTACCTTTTTTCTTGTTCTTATAGAATCGTCATAACTAAATGAGTTAATTTCTTGACCCAGATCCGATTTAATTGTATTCAAATCAGTGATTAATTCAATTTTCTTGTAATCATCATTATTAATTAATGGTGATTTGATTAGTTGTAATTTAGAGGCTTCATCTGATGAAATTGTTTGCTAATCATAAACAAAATTGAAAATTGATTCAGTTTAAGAAATAATTAAACTGTAACAATAATAGTTAGATACAAACCTTGGTGGGATCACAATTAGCAATTAAATTGTCACTTTGTTGTCCTGTACAATTGGTGGTCCAAACTTGCACAATTAACAGAAAAATAATTGTTGGAATCATAATTAAACAATTAGCACCAGTTAACCAGGTAACAAACTTGTTAATGTTTAAATGCAACAATTAACTTGTCACCTTTATATTGCTTATTTGGAGCAATTTGTCAATATTAATTAATCACCTTATTGTGTTTTTTTAATCACTGTTATTATCATGTTTTAACAATCAGTTAACTTGCCAATTAACTGATTAACTAAATTAATCAACTTTCTTTGTAACTCATCCAATTTGACATGACAATTTAGTTGTAAATAAATCAACGTGTTTATTATAATAATTATAATGATAATGATTATTAATACAATTGATTGATAAATTAATCTGAGATGATAAACAAATTAATAGCGATAACAATTAGAGGATGAACAATTTAATAACAATCAATTAATTTACTATATTTTTGTGTGAAAATCGTTGCACTGGTTCATTCATAAGATTCAAATGTATTAATACAATTAATTGAGTTTTTTATTCTTCATCTCAATTAACCAAACGGTGACTTAATTGTAATCACAATTGAAAAAATTATCTCTCTATACACATTTGATTTAATTTCTGTTTCTATCACAACTTTGGTGGTCATTTAATCAACTATTCAATTAACTGTTGACTGTTTATTGTCATTTGATTGTTAATTTTTAAATGTTGCGAGTCTTTTAAGGAGAAGAATACAAACTACTCGAAGTACTATGAATGTGATCAATAGACCAGCGATTGCGATGTAATAATCATTGTCTTCTAAATTGTAGTAAATCAGAGGCCCTGATTTGATATTATTCTCATCGATTCCTGACGAATTTCCCCCGATTCCATCGACCAGCGCTTGGACGATTTTAACTGTTTGTGTCTTATTGAAATAACGGCTTTCGTCAACGTTACTTTCAGCATCACAATCGTCGTAGCCAGCGAGTGTTCGAGCTGACACCCGGAATATATTCCCAAGATAACTGCTAAATAATCGTTTTGAATTAAGCAAATTAGCGATTTGACTTCCATCACACCTGCAATTAGATCACAAATTAGATAATCTGAGTTAACCATTTGAATTGTAACATTTTAGGTTCTTGAAGTTGTCTTATTAATATTTTGTTGGTGGTTATTAGCTCTGTATTAATGAATCAAATTCTGTGGCAAGTGATTGAATTGAGGGTAATTACTCAAAAAAATGACAATTGATATTCAATGAGTTGAACAACAAACTATTATTTCGCATCGTAATTAGATTGATTGTTTCAACAGTGATTGATAAACTTACCTTGAGAAACCAAACATCGCAGTAACATAACCAACAAAACCATAATAAAAGTAACAAATGCGACAAATGAAAGCAAAGATCGGATGCATTTTATCATATCTTATAAAAAACCCCGAGAACAGAGCAAAAGGAACAGCCGAATTCGGAGCTGTGAAAACCGAAGCGACGACATTGTATCTAAAAATGATTCCAACTAATGAGCCATGAGAAACAGCAATTAATCCGAGAAGGAAGAAAACAATGAACGCTGACCAGAAGCGGTCAAGAGGTTGACCAGTGATAGTAAAAAACATAATCATGACCATCGAATTTGTCGCGAAAATGAAAGGCAAGTCGACAAACAATTTCGCCATCGCATAAGACATCGGCGAATACCAACCATTGTATCGCTCTTTCTGGAAAACCATAATTTCCAACGGGTACGTCGTCGCTGTTGGAATTATGTTCCCGAAAGTTGTGTACAACAATATGAAGAAAAACGAAGCAACAACTTCGAAAGTTTGTTTCTTTGCTTCATCGAATGATAACTGAAAGTCACTCAGTCCATTCGCGTTAAAAATGTCATCGTATTTTGGTGGTTTCGGTGGGCACCCTGTTCCTTGCGCTAAATCAGCATAAACGAGCGATATTGATAGAGCGGCATTAAAAGCAAAAGCGATTCTCAAGCCTGACATCATTGGATCTCTAAGTGTAATTAGTGTTAACCTTTGCCAAAGGATCCAAAAGTGAGTCCAAAAAGGCGTTATCGGCTTTACCAGTGCTTTGTCCATAAGATATGTATCAGTGGACAGTAAAGGTAAGACAGGAAGTGTCCCTCGGTTTGTTTGATTGAAATCGTTTGCCATTGCGTTGATAACAGGTAGACCATATTCACCAGAAGCAACTTCAATAAGTAAATCGGCTGGATTATAAAACTGTGAACACTGAATATTATGTGAGGCCAAAGTTGGCACGACATTTTTTGGACTTCCTTCATAAATGGCCTTACCGATTTTAGATAAAATGTAAACCTTGTGGAAAAGGTTAAATATACGAGCCGGTGGTTGATGAATCGTCATTAGAATTGCAATTGGTTTGGATTTTTGAGTTAATGTGTAAAGTAAATCAACCATTTGCAAACAACTTGATGAATCCAATCCCGATGTTGGCTCATCAAGAATCAGGATATCGGGTTGAGAAACGAGCTCTTGACCGATTGAGAGTCTCTTCAATTGTCCACCACTAATTGAACTGATTCGGGTGTCTGCACAAATGAATAGCCCAAGATCAGCTAAAAGAGCTTCAGTAATTGATTTATGATCTACGGTTGATTTAGTTTCTTGTGATTTATTTAATTCCATTGAAGTTCTAATTTGATTATCGGCAAGTGATCTTTTCCTCATCTCCTCTGATTCCCCAAGAATCCTTGAATTTTGTAACCTTGATGCATAGTTAATTGCTTCGCGAACAGTTAATTGCTCATAAAGATGATCCTTTTGTGGTATAAATCCTATCGAAACTTGAGGTCGCCCATGAACTTGAATTAAACCAGTTCGATTTTTGTGTCTTAGGGAAGCGATACATTCTAAAAGGGTCGATTTTCCAGCTCCACTTGGACCCATTAGAGCGGTCATTTCGCCCGATTTGAAGGAACCATTGAAATTCTGTAAAACATATCGATGGTTCTGTATTGTTTTACCTCTAATTTTGGCCAGAACCAAGTCCACTTTTGATGCTTCGACATGATAATTAAGGTTGGACCAAGAAACACTGAATGGACGATATTTAGGTTTCTCTGGATAAGAAGCTGCCCAAGTAGTGGACTGTTTATCATTCGAGTTCTTTGACAATTCTTTGAAATTCACTTTGACCATTTTCAATTAACGACAAAAGACCACGAAAACCTCAAAGTAAATTGTTAACTTAAAGATGAACAATCAACTAAATTAAAAAAATTCTTCATTACCATTAGGATCTCTATCTCGCTTTCATATCTCTTCATTTAATTGTATTGTTTACAGTTAAAGACTTGACACTTTTCTTGACAATTCGTATTGATTAAACTCTAACATGCAAATAGATCATTTAAATCGATCCAAGTATTTTCGTCTAAGTTGATTGTCGATGGTATTTCAGTTAATTGTAATAGTTAATGACGTACCTGAAGAAGAGTTTAATTACCGTTAATGTTTTCCAATTACAAAAGTCATAATTAAAAAAGAGAGCAAAAGTTAAATCTATTAATTGATGAGGTTCACCTTCAAATGATAATTAATATAATAAATTGAATGAGAGAATCATTAATAAGAATTGCTAATTGATTTTCTAATTGTAAAGTAGTAACAGTTATTAGTAATAAGTGTTCAAAGAGATGAGAAAACAAATGAACAATTTGCAAAGTTGAATTAAGAAAGTGGAACAATTGACTTGACAATTAAGAAAAGAATGAAATTTATTTATCTTATCTTTTTAATATCGAATAAGGAAAAAGAAAGTTGTGGTCAGCGATGGTCACTCACGATGTTCCCATGGGTCAGGACGGAAAGGAAACTCATGCCAAGATGGATACCAACGATTACTCCAATCTTCAGGTCTAAAAAGAATCAAGAAAAGGAAGGAAATTAATTAGTAGCAATTAAGTTTCATCGAATGAAGCTAATTGATGAGAAGATATAGTAACAGTAAAAATAGAAGTAATTAGTTAATTGTTGGGTTAATTTAGAAAAGAAATGGAAACTTACCCATTATGAGATGAAGAAAATGGCTGATGTGTTTTCTTATGAGAAGCGACAGCAAAGTGAAGGGACAAAAGTCGCTTCAATTTAAGAAATTGTCGCAATCTCAGGCCTTCGATGGAAACAGTGATTAAAACTAATCCAATCAACGAAAACCAGATTAAAGAAGAAAATTTAATCAACTTCATATTAACTTTAATCAAAAGACACAATCGATTAAATGATCAATCATCAAGTCGAAATCTCTCATTTTATAAACTTCTCTTTTTTGGAACATCAAATTTAACCGGGAAAAGAAAAGAAGACAGAGAAAAACGACAGAGAAATTATTCGTTTTCTTCTCTTTTTAATTTTTACTTTTTCTCTTTCATGGATCTAATTTAATTGATTAAATTCACATTAAACACTTACTTTTACTCTCCTTACAATCAAATTAAAATACTATAAAAATCAACGGAAAGGTAACAGTTAATTACTCTATTAATTGGTAGCCATTTTCTCATAAGATGATAACTATTGTTGTAATGACGCTCTACAATAGGACTCATTGTGATGACCACTAGATCGCCATTAAAATATTTACACTTTTTTGTTTATAGCAAATTAGATTAACCTAAATTGTTAAATTACCGTTAAATTGTAAATTAACTAAATGGTTAAGGCCTTGTTTCTAACCGATTTAAGAAACACTTACAAAGGGTCAACTTGTTTCCGGTTTTGAGTGTTGACCAAATGCTATTTTTATTGACCAATATTATCCAGGGTGTGAACGTGATGATAAATTGACCTGAAATCAACTCGAAACGGATGATGAATAATAATCGTGATGATTAACTATTAATAGCCAAGGGCTAATGATCAACCTGATTAATTGATTGTTAATCTAGTGAAATCTTTTCCTTCAATCCAAAAGGGCGATTCAGTTTCTTGCATTTTAATTTGTTAATTCAGTTATTTGATCATCGGTTTACCTTTAATTTTCGTTGACCATCTCCAACACTAACAATTAACCTTCCAATAACTCAGATGATCCCATTTCATTTCACTGAATTAACGCAATTAACTTTGTCACAATTAATCTCAAAATAATCAACTAATTGTCTCCAAACGAAAAGTAATCACAATTCGTAATATTAATTGCAAAGAATTAAGTTGACTCAGTAATTAGGAGAACAGAATTTCCCTTAGATACTCCTTGGACCTTTCACACTAATTCGACACCAGAATCAATTGATGATCATGATTGGAGAATCAAATTATTTTTGATTGGAAATTGTTCCAAAACTCAACAAGATGGCGTTAGAATACAAAAGGGAAGCAAAAAATTGCAATTCTTTAAATGGAGAAAAGCGCAGAAGCTGAAAGATCATTAATCTTTTCTCTCTTTCTCTTTAAATCGTCTTTAGTATTTTGTTATGATTACTGTGAGAAATTAATTAATTTAATTTATACTTTTCACCTGAATTTTACCTTGAATCGTTGGAATTACAATACTGTGTTAAAAGAATGGGGTGCAACGCCCTTCTCAATCTCAACAGTGCCCTAGATGTTATTGATTTAAGTACTTTAAAGGATCCAACTGGAATCTTTGAACTGGTTGAGGTTGTAGGAAATGGAACCTATGGCCAAGTATACAAGGGCCGTCACACCAAAACTGGTCAATTGGCTGCCATCAAAATCATGGATGTCACTGAGGATGAGGAAGAAGAAATTAAGCTTGAGATAAATGTTCTTAAAAAATATTCTCACCATAAAAACATTGCCACTTACTTTGGAGCTTTTATTGACAAAAGTCCTCCGGGTAAAGATGATAAATTGTGGCTTGTCATGGAGTATTGTGGTGCTGGTTCGGTTACTGATCTAGTTAAAACAACCAAGGGACAGTCATTGAAGGAAGAATGGATTTCCTATATTTGTCGTGAAATTCTTCGTGGTTTAAGTCATCTACATGCAAATAAGATTATCCATCGGGATATTAAAGGACAAAATGTTCTCCTCACTGATAACGCTGAAGTTAAATTAGTTGACTTTGGTGTTTCTGCTCAATTAGATAGGACAATTGGTCGTCGTAATACTTTCATCGGTACACCTTACTGGATGGCTCCAGAAGTGATTGCTTGTGATGAAAATCCTGAAGCAACTTATGATAATAGAAGTGATCTTTGGTCTCTCGGTATAACTGCATTAGAAATGGCCGAGTCTCAGCCTCCGTTATGTGATCTTCATCCCATGAGGGCTCTATTCCTGATTCCTCGTAACTCACCTCCTAGATTGAAGTCACGTAAGTGGAGTCGAAAATTTCACTCATTCATTGAGACAGTTTTAGTTAAAGACTATCAACAAAGACCCTGCACGGATCAACTTCTTCAACACCCTTTCCTCAGAGATCAGCCAACAGAAAAACAAGTTCGAATGCAATTGAAAGATCATATTGATAGAGTTCGAAAATATAAACGAGGTGAACCCGAGGAACAATTAAGAGGTGGTTTTATATCGGACGATGATGAAGAGGATAATTCTAATGCTCCAGAAGATACTGGTGGTGATGGTCAAGAAGCAGACAGTACTCTTAAACGAAATGATAAAACATTGACTTCGAATGAATCAGGTGCTATTGGACCTTCCGTTGCAGCTTCTGCGATTCCAAGTCGCTTTAACAATGCAAACAATTTTCCTGGTTCATCAAACATACCACAACCAGGAGTAAGCCATGTACCCCAAATGGCTCAACCAAGTAGTCATCCAGCAAATCGACCCCTGCCAGTGCCACCAGGAGGTGGACATCATCGTCATTTACCAGAGCCACCACCCAATAAACCTTTACCACCGATTCCAGTTGAAGAGGAAAACAAAAGAGGAAGAGATGAGAATGGAGAAAGAAAACCGCTAACACCACCTAGAAACGCAGTTTCCGTTGCACCTAATGGAGGCCATCAAAGAAATTCTGGTTTATTCAAGGTTGCTCAACTTCACAAACCAGAAGATTTAGAGGCTTTGGCCGCTCAGCTTGATGAGCTTGCGTCATCTAATCCTGAGAGTAAAAAGTTTGCCCTGCCAAAGTACACCAATAATAATGGATCAGATGGTAGACCTGGAATCGCCCGAGGCAAAAATGAAACCAAGATCAATGGTTTCAAAGCTCGTCAACAAGAACCAAGTCCAAATCCTCCTCTTGCACCACCTCTAGAGTCTGATTCAGACGATGATGAGGAAGAAGGAGTTGTAAGGAATGATGGAACACTTTTAGCATCATATCCTCCGCGACCTTTTAGGCCTTATGATAATAATCTACTTACAGGGTCAAGTGGCCAAGGATCAGACTCTTCACCGACTCAAGCGCCTAACCGACCTCTGCCTCCAACACCTGATGATGATGACGATTCAAACGATAAAACTCTTGTCACTCGTAAACATCAACAAGGTGACCGCGGTTCCAATTTCAACGATCTCTCAACAAATCATTCATTTATCCCTCGTCTAGAATCATCGCAGAGCTCACCCTCTAATATCGCTCTTCTTGGTAATAATAGAGATGGAACTCCACCCAACTCCGTGCTTCCTGATTTACTACCCCAACAATTGCAGAGGAATAGTCAAGATAAAGCAATATCTGATGAAGTCGCCAACTATCTTATGCAAGTGAGTGTCAATCATTTTATTATCAGAGGTCATTGATATTCTATTGTTTTGTTATTTGTTGGTCATTTTGAATGAATCTTTAGATCAATCAATCAATAAATAACTTGATTTATTATCATCGTCTCTCTACAGTATCGACAAGCTGTTAACAGTAAGAATCCATTACATTTACAGCAAAAGCAAAAATCATTCCTCACCTTTGGATTCAGTGCTGGTGGACCCTCGCCCAGCCCATCACCACGTCGTGGGTCGCATATTAATGTTAACGTAGCTCCTTCTGCTCATCCTGATACACCAGAAATACGCAAGTACAAAAAGAAGTTTAATTCGGATATTCTATGTGCCTCTTTATGGGGAGTCAATTTGTTAATTGGTACTGAGAATGATTTAGTTTTACTTGATCGAAGTGGTCAAGGTAAAACATATACACTCATCTCACGTCGACGTTTTCAACAAATGGAAGTCCTTGAAGGTCAAAATATTCTGGTCACCATTTCTGGAAAAAAATCACGGGTCCGAGTTTACTATTTATCTTGGTTAAAGAGTAAAATCATACGAACCGAACAGGTCAGTTGATTCTTCAAGAAAAATAATATCCGTTAGCACTCATTAAGATAAATTTGGATAACTATCAATCCCATCAATTAGAATCAAGGTCAAGTTAGTCATCAAACATGAAAATATAACATCATCAAGTCATGAAATCATGAATTCTCTCAATACTTTCTTTAATATCTATCAATTTAGTTATTAAGCAATTGAAGCTTGACCAGTATTAATAATTGCGTCAAACATCATCATCCTTTTCGCCATCATTATCAATTGAACTACTGAAAGTGATCTGATAATGAGACAAACTGATAACTATTGACTAAATACACAGCAACAACAGTGACATTAGCCACTCAATGTTTACTATTCAATCTTGAGCAAACTTGACCTTTTCTTCAGTAAATGACCGTTAGAAAGATGCATCTCATTATGTGGCCACTTTATTTAGAAATAATTTCATCGCCCTTAATTTAACTAATGAAACAAGTAAAAACGATTAAAATTATCTTATCTTACACGAAACAATGTAATCATCTCGAGGTTATCAGAATCAGTCTGGTTTATTATTGGTTACTGATTTGTGATGGCTTAGAGCCAAGATAATCTCCACACTCAAGATCAATTGAATTTGTTGATTTTTAATGTGTTTCAATATGTAAATCATATTTTCAAATGAAAACAAAGTAATTATTGACTTATTGCCAAACAGTTTTCATGGTCGATATGTTTTATTATTCAGTCCAGTTAATAATCAACATAATTTTTAATTTCTAATTAAATCTCAAATGATGACGATGATTATCCAAACTTAAAGATGGTGATCTTGAATTAATTAATATCTCTAATGATCATTTTCTTTTCTCTTCATGACAACTACAGCAAATCGAGAAAAGAAGTGGTTGGGTCAATGTTGGTGATCTACAAGGTGCAATCCATTTTAAAATTGGTAAGGTCATCTTTCCATTCAATCAATATACTTTTCGCTTATTGTTATTACAATATCGCCATCGATATTGGGTCAATTCCTTGAAAAGTCAACCATATTTACCTAAATTTCGTTTCATCACTTTAATTTTATTTTCCATTTTACCGATGCATCGTTTTCCTTTATATCCTCATCATCCATCTTATCCTCTTTTCTTAAACCATCCTATTTTTCATCATCATCCCAATTCTTTGGGTGTTTATGTTTGCCAATTATGATTTAACGTTGCCATCCCATATACATACAATTACTTCGGGAGAGAGAGAGAGAGAGATGAAAGATGAAGATTATGGTGATATAATATCAACAAACCGAAACAAACGGTACAATTTGTGGTGATTTACGCTTATCTCAAGTTCTAATTATCTTTTTTTATCATTTGCTTTCGATTAACTTTTTTCTCTTCTTGGATCAAGTTTTTCATTGATTTTCCTTTAATCTTTATTGCCAATAGATCGGAAAATAATCAGTCTTTATCAGTCAAATATCAATTTTGATTGTGATTAACTATTTGCATATCTGATTTCCTCACTTTAATTGCTGGTTATCATTCTCTTAGTGATTGAAACGTTCGATAATAGATTAATCATGATTTGCTCATTTCTCTTATCCTCAATTGACCTTCAATTTCAATTTTCTATTAATAGTTTGATTCCTTTAATTGTGATTAATTTTTTTTCTCATTTATCTACATTTTGAAACTTTCATTGAATCTCCGCTAATTATCGCTTGATTAATGTACTTTTATTTATGGTATCAAACTTCCTCTATTTCATGTTACTTCCGAATCAATTTTTTTCTTGTCTATCAAAATTTCATTTCCACTAGTTAACCATAACAATTAGGATCGCAATTTATTTTCAATGAACTTGTGCATGATTTTTTCATTATTGTTCCTGTTTATAGCTGAATATAGAACTGATTAAGCCGATCATTTTCAACGTAACTAAATTGTAACAATTATTCACTCTCTCTCCCTTTGATAATTCACCATCCCCTTGCATTGATTAATACTCACCCACTCCCTATTTTGTCAATCATCATCTTAATTTATCCATTTTTTTATCCAATTTCGCTCTAATTTTTTACCATTTACCGCAATCACCTAATTTGCGGTCAATAATATCCTGCTTTGTTTTCATGATTATCACAATGATTCACTCGTTGATTGATTCACTGATTCATTAATGAAAAACGATGATTATGGATGAAATTGCTTTAATTTGATTAGTTGTTAATTTTCGTTGCTCTGTTTCCATGGTTAATCGTTTTGTGAGTCTTTTCTTCACTTGAATTTTCATTTCTATTTGCATACTATTTCTATTATCCATTATTATTAATGCTTCCAAAGTGGTATGGCAAATACCACAACACGTCTCTAAGGATTGGGAGAATACCTTTCGAATATGGAGTGGCAATGGTATTGTAATTTGGCTTAACTAAATCACTTACAATTAATCATTTTGTTTGCATCTTTCGTTTTATCCTGATTGTTATTACCTGTTTTCTTTTATTTACTTGATTCTTTTATTCACTGGAATCTCCGTTTTCTTTTTTTTTCTTAAAGTTAAATATGAGAAGATCAAATTCTTGGTAATCGCTTTACGAGATAGCATTGAAATATATGCATGGGCGCCTAAACCTTATCATAAGTTCATGGCATTCAAATCATTTACTGATCTTATTCACAAACCGCTGCTGGTTGACATGACGATTGAGGAAGGAATCAGATTTAAAGTGATTTATGGCTCAAAGGAGGGTTTTCATGCTGTTGATTTGGACAATGGTCACGTCTATGATATATACATACCATCTCTTGTGAGTGTATGTTGATTGTTTCTCTCATTACCTGTTGTGTTGCAACAATCCTAATTTAATGATAAGCGGCGATGATTACATGATAATGATAACAACTAATGTTTTTTTTGACGATGACATCCATTTATTATATTATTGTTGTTTAATAACCTTGCATATGCACCATAGCGGAAATGGAAAAGCTTAATCATCGTCATTATCAGTGTTCCTTAACCAACAATTAGCTGTAAACTTGACTAATTTCATCAACTTTTTTTCATCTAATCAGCAGACTCAAGGACCAGTTACACCTCACACGATTGTAACTCTTCCCAATTCTAAAGGATTACAACTTCTCCTCTGTTATGATAGTAAGTTGTTCATTTTAAAATGAATTCATGAAAATCAAAGTTGACATTCAGAGCACATGAAAACCTCTGTTGTTACTGATTGAAATTCCAAATCAGATTCGTTGAATGGTTCTTAATTATCTCTCATTCGACATTGAGTTTCATGTTAACTTTACTCAAACTAAATCTGACTAAGTCCATGAAATTATATTTACTATTTGACGTTAATTGGTTTCATTGTTTTGATTTCCTCTTCCTCTTTCAGATGAGGGTGTTTATGTAAATACATTCGGAAAGGTTAGTAAAAACATCATTCTCCAATGGGGTGAGATGCCAACTTCAGTTGCCTACATCGGCACTGGTCAAATAATGGGCTGGGGAAACAAAGCGATTGAAATAAGAAACGTTGAAACGGGTCATCTCGATGGCGTATTTATGCACAAGCGAGCTCAAAAGTTGAAATTCCTCTGTGAAAGGAATGATAAGGTAAATGTATATTCTTGAACTTGATTATTACTGTTGAACAATTTAAAATTACTCATTACGTATCAATGGTAATCAATTGCAAAGGTTTTTTCACCTTTTCAACATGAAAAAATATTCCTTTGTTGTCATTTTCAATTATCCTACTTTTCAATCATAGTTGTTTAACTTTTCAAAATACATTATTAATTCAATCATCTCATGGTGAAAATAGAATACAATTCATCACCCTTTACCACGAATACTTGATTTTAGCATTGAAATTTAATCAAACCCACTCATCGATTGCAAAAATTCATCAAATTGTCTACAATCAAAACCTACTCCAACAACAGATTAATATTCAAATCATTTTAAACGTTACAGTTTTTTCATTCAATGTGAAGCTGATGCAATTTATGCAAATGCACTTGGTCAATCAGCTGATTATAACTATTTTTTCATCTTTTGATTATTATTATTGTTAAGTTAATTATATTGAATAGTTGTTTCGATTGCTGCGTAGGTAACTGGATAACCTTGGTTAGATTTACTTAGAGATCAAAAATTAAATATTCATTCATTAAAAAGTCCTTTTATATCAATTGTTTTTTCATGATAGTTTTGTTGACTGTATTTATAACAGTAATTTAATGACTTCATTGTTTTCCCTGTTTAATATTGACACTTGAATGATATGTTTTTCTATTTGTTGATTTTTGGTGACTAATTTTATTTTATTTTTACTTTTCAGGTATTCTTTTCATCTGCCAAAGGAGGTTCTTCATGTCAAATATACTTCATGACTCTGAATAAACCTGGAATGGCCAATTGGTGAAAAGATCGATGCTGTTTTTATACATAATTATCATAATTTCAAGCCACCAATTAGATTTCCATAAACGAAAGTCTCAAAGGATCTTACTGAAAGACTTGACTATATAAATATATTATAAATTAAACTATTGCCATTGTATTACGAAAGCAAAATCGTTGACTGACTGACTGACGTACGAGACTCAAACTTTGGACTGGAAAATTCTGAATGATTTATGGATGAACTCAGCTGACAAACAAGATTGAAGGCAAAAGGAAAAGTCAACTTTGAAATCGCTTAATCCAGTATCAATTCAAGTCTCTGAATAATCTGATTGTTGTTAAATTAACTGTTTACGTAAAAGCAAACACAAATGATTATCAAAAGGAGTGCCACATAAACACATACACACACAAAAATCATCAACAAGATAAAATAATCTTATCCCATTGCCCTCTGTCCATTGCCCTCTCCTGACCTCTTCTTTGCAACCTTTTTATTATCTATGCTTACCTGTAAGCGTGTTTTTAGTCACATTTTAATTATTATTTTTACGATAATAGTTGTGAGTTAAAAGGCATAAACAACAACAAACGAGCAACAATTTTGCAGTAAAAAGAAACAATCAAATGATGAAACTAATCACTTACATTGACTCCTAATCATTTAAATGACATTTGCCATCCGATCATTGATTAGAATTGATCAGTGAATCTAAGCATTTAAAAATCGATTTGTTCAAACAATCAGAATGAAATTTTCGGTGATTAAATGTCAATCAACTTGAAGATTTAAACAGAAAAGACAAGAAAGTTAATTGATCACTTTTCTAATTAGCATTTATCTTTATTAATTAATACAAGCAATTTTTGCTTCTTCGGTAAATGCGGAAGACAAAACTTTCTAATAATAATTGTAATTGATTAATATAATTTAATTTGGTTGCTTTCTCTTGGAAAGAAACAAAAGGTTAACAATTAGATAGTTAATTAAGTTTTCTGCTTGATTATTACTCTTATTTTCTATCCAATTTACAAATTGTATAATTTAAATTCAATCAAGTGTCTCACAATTCGTGTATCTCCTTAAGTTAATTTATACTCGAAATTATTGATCATAATTACTAATTGTGATCAACAAAATTTGACTAAATTGGATTAGGAGACATTCTCAATTATCTCTTAATTGTTTGACCAAATAATCAATATCATCGTTAAATCAATTAATTTGGTATCAGATTAATCTACTAAGTGTATTAGCTTTTACTCATTCTAATTGTCTGATAGTTAAATCTAAATATTTGGGTTAATTAAGTTTCAATTAATTTACATTTTAAGGTACAATGAGTTTAAGATTGTGATTATCATCATTTTAATCATCAAATTTGATTGTAACTCAGAATCAATTGTTGTTCCTGTTGATTGGTTAAAGTGATAATAGTTAATTGTTATTAGTTTAAACTAAATGATTCCTGATTTCATTTCAAGATCGACTTTCAAACTGATAATTAAAGTTATTACAATTAGTTGATTGTGAGTGAGTAGACCGATTATGATCACCGGATAGGCTAATCAACAGCAATTTATAAATATAGTTGATTGGGGACTTATCGTATTAAGTGAAATTAAGAGATTGGAATAAGAGGAGAGAAGTGAATTAAAATTTAAGAATAACAATTAAGTTAATCAGCAATCGATTTCACGGACTTTCGCTTCTGAATGAATGAAATAGAGACAACAAATTGTTCGGTTAATAGTTAATCTTTATTATCATTAATTATATTAATACTTATGATTATTACTTATGTTAACTAATCAATTGATTGTTGTAAGACAAATGGGAAGGATTTTGTTGAGTGGGTGGAAGGAAAGAAAGAGAAAAAGAAAGAAGATCAAAAGTCCGTCCTTTTTGTTACCGATCTCCGAGTTCATCGTTCAAAGTTAATCGCGACTCGAGAATCTATTTAACTGAACAACCGTTTTGAGAGAAAGTTAATTCTCGTTTATTTTGTGTTCGAATAACAACAATTAGTTAATCCGATTGATTAGTAAACATGAACAAGTGCCTCATTCTTTTGGCTTTGGCCACTCTAATGGTCGTTGTTATCAACAAGACATCAGCTGATAGTTGGGGTAAGATATTTAATCGTGATTATTGTTAATTGTGATGTGACTAATCAACTATTAGTAAATTGGATCGTTTAAGAGTCAATCCAATCAAGTGGATTTAATTACTAACAATCTGAATGGATTTAATAACAATTTCAATGGCCAAACACTGGACGTAATTCAAGATTTGTCACAATTGACTAATTGTTTTCTTTGATTTCTTTTCTCTTCCAGGTAAACCCAAGCATATGTGGTATGCACACAGGTGAGTCTTGATTGTTGTTGATTCTTAAAATTAATTAGAGCTTAGTTACTGTGAGTTTGCCTATCAATTATTGAAGGATTTGAAACAATCCAACAAACCAATTAGCTCTGAGAAACAACTGATAGTAATTGATTGTTGTAAAATCAACGTGTTGCAACAATAACAGTTTATCTGATTAATTTAATTCTCTTTCCAATTTAATTGCGATTATATTTTAGACATGATCATCACCATTACCATTGGCATGACCACAAAGCAAATCACAAAGAGAATCATGATCATGATGAGAAACATAAACATGATGGTAAGTTAATTATATAATCTGGCAATTGCTGAGAAAGTTAATTCAGACCAACGACACTAACGAACCAATAACACAACCAACTAATCGTAACGAAATCATTAGCAGGGAATTGTAGTAATTGAATCAAAGTTTCAATAAGTCACCGTTGATTGTTATCCACTTGATTAGTCAGTTACTAACCCTAATTTGAATTTACCCTTTTACCTGTTTATCAAATCAGGTCAATTGCATTAAGTTTAATTACCGGTAATCATAATTACAATCGGTATTGTGTCGTTCATGATAATAGTGAATTCGAACCTAAACTCGACTATTTGATTAGTCAATCGCTTGGTGAGACATAGTAAATGAGATGGACGATAATATATGATCTACAATATTCTGAATTTTATCGAACGATTACCTTTGAACTTAGTTGCGAATTCTTTTAATTGTTCTCTGAATGTTTCTTTTCTAATCTTAATCAAATAGATTAAGTCTGAAGAGAACCAGTAACTTGCTCGCTCGGTTTTCATAATCTCTTGATTCATGTTCGAAGAGAGGTCATTTCGACTAAGAGTTAATAAAGATTCCATAAATCGTTGACTAATTTTGTTCTTAATTGTAGCTAAACATAATGACGACCACAAACATTGGGAAGAGCACAACCACAAGCACAAACATGGCGAGAAACATAATCATGATGAAGATCATCATCATGGCCATAAACATCAACATAAAGAGGATCATCATGGAAAATTCAATCATAAACATCACGAAATGCATAAACACAAAGACCATTGGGGCCACAAAAAATAGTTAACTCGATATTTATCAAACTAACTTGAATAAAATCCCAAAAATATCACAATCAATCATAAGCAAAAATGTACCAAAATCAAGTAATAAATGTTAAATTAATCATCGATCGCTGGACTGAAAATCTTTCAAATTATAAACTTCAAAAAGGTAAAGACCCAGTAAGTGGTTTAATCTTCTATTCAGTTCACAATTTATTTTTTTTTTCTCATTTATCAACAATTAGCTAATTCCATTAAAGAGTCCAAAGTATACTAATTTTATCAGGAGGTGGATAAGATTGGGGATGTAGCTCAGTGGTAGAGCATTCGACTGCAGATCGAGAGGTCCCTGGTTCAATCCCGGGCGTCCCCTAAATTCTAGTTATTTTTCTCAAAATTTCTTTCAAATTTTGATAATAGTCTCAGTTACAAATCTTTTTAATTTTTTCCTTTTAAGTAAATTGGTAATCGCAGAATTGCTCAATCCGAATCAAAAGAAAAACTTGAATCTGACAGAAATTAATAAGAAAACCAAATTTTTGCATCTTTTGCTTGATCAATGATATTAGAATTCGACGATTAATTTATTTTCTTTAGAATTGAAAAGCAAATAAATTAACAGAAAATATACAAAAATTTTGATTTGCATTCTATTTAAACTTAACACTTTTAACAGTTGAAGTTCTGATTCCTGATATTTCACCAGCGTATTTTTTAATCTCTTTCCTTGGCTCTCGAACTTGACCTCTCCTTCGAGCTTTGGCCTTTTTGTATTTCATTCGATGTTTAACTCTTGGATTTCGCTGTTCCTTAGGCTTCTTAGGCGTTAGTCCTTTGTTTTTAGCGATTTGGTAATTAATCGGTCTCCTAACAACTTCGTCTTCGTCCATTGTTTCATCAATTGCTTGTTGTTTCTTTCCAACAGACTTGTTGAAGCTTTTAGATTCCTCTTCATCTTCATCTTCCTCATCATCGAGATCAAAATCATCTTCGTCATCATCTTCATCCTCATCGTCATCTTCATTTTTCTCCCTGAGGTCACCATACTCTCGTAACTCAATGTCTTCCTCTTCTGTGGGAATGTTTAGTTTGTCATCTTCAAATCGAACTCGTTTTCTAGATGGTGACAAGCCTTTGGTATTATCGTCATAATCTCTAGTGTCGATTTCTTGGTCATCAGCTTTTTCTGCCATTACGATTTTTTCATTGTTTTGAATTTTTTCCAAGAATTGACTAACAAGTAGTTTGAATTGTTTTTTGTTTTCAATCTTCTCAATTGTAAGAATCATCTTTTTCAAATCTAATAAGTTAGATGCACACGGATGATTCCCAATGGATTTACCTTTAGATTTGAGGAGTAGGTAAAAGCTAATATTCATACAATAGCGAGTAACGAGATTGAATTTAGTCTTGTAGACTTGATAAGGAAGACTTGATTGGTAAGAATCGATATCATCAACATTACGATAGTTCAAGACACTTTTTTGCTTTTCCAGTTCTGCCAAACTCCTTTTGAAATCATCAACTAGACTTGTCAACTCAGGAGCTTCTTTTCTCAAAAGTTGTAACTTTTCTCTGGTCGATAGAGAATCAACATCAATTTGCACTTTTTGAACAGTTTCCTCTCTTCCTTCACGGACATCAGGAAGTCTATTTAAACCCAAATCATCTTCTCCAATCTCCTCTAATAGACGCATTTGAATCGCTTTAGCTTCCTCTTCTTCCTGCTGGGCAAGTTCTTCCTCATCTTGTCCAGCTCGTTCTAATAAGACAAAAGAAAATACCAATTACCAAGCCATTCAAATAGAAAAGAGCAAAACAAACTCACTTCTAAAATCTTTATCTACATAATCAGTTCCAAAATAGGCAGACTTCTTTTTTCCCCAAGCTTTGACATTCGGTAAACCTGCACAATCGATTAAAGAAAGAAAAATTAAAAATGGAAAAAATCACAATAATCAAGATGAATTCTCACCATCATCACTCTCGTGCTCGATGTCACTGTCCATCTCATACTTAGTGATTGTGTCCATGTTTATCTTTTGAGATGTTCAATCAGCTCTAAATCAACACAAACAAATTATCACAGGATAACAAAGAAAAATAATCAAATTAAGAATCAAACTAAGAAAGTAAACAGACAAAAACATTGACTGAATTGGAACATGTGGTCCGTCAGCTGAACGTTTGCCTTTCAGCTGAATTTTTCTCGGCTTAAAACCAGAGGCTCTTCAGTCTGACTGGTTCAGAATTCCAATCATCTGGTTTGTCAATTGATTTCTAATCAATTTTTTTATTCGACTTTTGATTATTTTATTGACAGTGACAAAGATTTAATCTGATTATCAACAAACTGAAATAAAACTTGGAGAAAATTGATCAACATCAATTGGAATTGTGAATTAATCAACAACCGAAGGAATAATTTCAAAGCTATTGACATTTTCCTTTGTCTATTGTTTATCATTTTTAATATAGAAAAAGGTTTTCGTCTTTTATTTAAGTTCATTAAATTAATAATCAAATCATCAGCTCAACATAATCTCCATCATCTCATGTAATTATTTTTTCCATCATTATTTATTTCTCCTTGTGTTCAATTCATATTCTGTCTCTAATTTCTCTAGCATTTGCCGCCATAAAATGATCACATTGATCTATTTTTCTTTACTTTGTTCATCTTTTTTCAAGCCAATTTCTTGTCATAATTACGATTGATTTTGATTATAATCCTTTACAATTTAACCATTTAATATACTCTTATATACATTTACCTTGCATAATCACGTTATATTTTCTTCTTTATTTGTTAAATGTTCTCTTTTAGTTGCTGATTCTTGACCATGGAGCCAATAAAGCCAATTGACATTTTAAGTGAAGAAGTCAAAGAATCAGAATATTTTAATGACAATCCAAAGAGTCTTGATGATACTTTTTCCAAGGAAATTAAATCAATTGAGAATCGACTTGTAGCTGCTGAACAAGAAAAGACTCAATTGGAAAGTAATTGTCGAATTTTACAAACAAAGATTAATATGATCATCGAAGGTAAATTAAATTCTCTTTTATTTAATCTTTTTCTTATTCAAATCTAACATTTTGTTTTATTGTTTCTTCTCGTGTTCAACAGAAAAAGAGGCAGAGACCCATAAATATAAAGAAAGTCGTGCTCATCATGTTGAAGTTCAAAAGCGTCTTACCAAATCTCTGAGATCCTACAAGAAACAGCTGATTGAGTTGAAGGATGTGCTTGTTCAAGCTCGCGAAGAGACGGAAAGGATTCGGGAGGAACTCGAGTCGATAAGAAAACGCGAGAAAGAGCTGCGACGTGAAATCGATAATGATAAACACAATTTAGAAAGTGAAAGAGTGAAAAATAAAAAGCCGATAGAAGAGATTGAAGATGATCGCTTGACCAACAAAACTATGAAAGAAGATCGCTTGAAGAAGGAAAAGGAAGCAAAGGCTCAGAAAATGGCTCACAAGGAAAACGATTATGAAGAAAAGAAAACAATCTTAAGTTATGTTGGTGAATTAAATTTCTCAAAGCCCGTTCATAGAGCTGATATTTGTTCTGAAATATTTGATAAGGTCAATTTGACCCAATCGTCCGGCAAACGCAAATCAGGAGATTCTTTTCCTAACATGTCCGACTTCTTCTCCTGCAAGAAAACTAAATCTAATCTATTCAACAGTTTTTTGAATAGTTCATCGACAACACCAACCCAGCGGAACATGAAAGAATTGGAAAACACTCAAAAGAAACTGAATCTCAACATGAGCCTAGAAAAATTGGACGAATTTGAAAATATTTTCAAAGATCTTGGAAATCTAAAGCAAAATAATCGCATAAGCATCAAACCATCGCAACCTCATTCTCCTGAACCACAAACCCGAGAGCCACAAAAACTCACATTGAAAAAGATTCAAGCAAGTCAATCAAGTGATAAGATCACCGATAGTTTACCTGTTCTCTGGGAAGCTTAGCCATTCCAAACAAAATAATCTTTCTTTCTTTCTCTCTCTTACAGCTCATCTAAAGTTCATTTTATTTACAGTTCTATCTCAATTTATCTATTTTATTTACATCATTTTCTTATGACCAGATTCTCATTACATTTTTACTTCTCAATTAATTACAAACCACAATATAGATTGTTATTGTAACCAATCAAAATTGCGGCCACTGATTGACATTGTCCACAGTCGAGTGAGCATCTACCATCCATATTAATCACGCACTTAATTCACTTTCTTTTTCGTGATCAATAGTAATCAGATAATAAACGATTGTTTTTTTTGATGTAATTGTCAAACACTTTAATTAAATATTGTAACGTGTTAAATAATTGTCACAATATCAAAATGTTGAAAAACCAAAAAGTTGATTGCAAAGTTTTAATTACAACACTTTCGATGACCTGAAATGTGAACTTGTAGTTAATCCAATTTTTAGGGTTATCGACACGCCAATTAATCAATCATCTGACCCGGAATAAGATATTGGGATTAAATTGAATTTCCTAATCAATCAATAATCATCAAATTAACCAAATATTGTGACAATTGTCTAATAACTAAAATTGTCTCCGCCTCAAATGGACAGATAATAAAAGTGATCAAAATGTGACAGTTTAAATCACTTTCAATCAAAATCAGTTGTGTTAAACATTCAAATTGTGATCAACTAATCAAAAAATTAACTCGAGTGTCAATCAAATCAACGATAAATTGTGAGAAAAAATGATTTCCAAAATGTCTTTTCGTTTAATTTTCTTTGTTTGTTGTCTGTTTTTCTTAATTGTTACAACTTATGCCTCGAAAAAGTTTCTCACCGGCTTATTGATCGGCTCTTTATTAGGACGTCAACACGAACAAGCACCAGCCTATGTTTACTATCCTTACGTGTAAGTAAAAGACCAATTAGCCGCTAATCACTTACAATTAAATCTTTTTTTAGTAATTAAAGTAACGAAAACAATTAAGTTCTCAGTTAATTATTGTTACAATGACGCAACATCATTTAAAATAAACAATTGAAATATTATCTTAATTGTTTATCTGCGGTTTTGCTATTTTAAACAAAAAAATTGTAATTAAATTGTTCATAGATTTACTGATTAATTAACAGCTAAGTGATTAAAATCTAATTGGTAAAATTTGTTCTACGTGTTAGTTTATTAGTCGGTACTTTAATCTTTAGTAATTCAATTCAATTGTTGAGTTTACGGAAATTTTTACCTTCTCATTAAACAACAATTTACTAACAATTGAATAACAATTAACGATTAGCTTTGACCGTTCTGATCAGTACTCATGATTATAGCCCACGAGTCCATGAAACTTGGAGTAGCCACATGAACGGTCACTTAACTCCAGATCATAGTGGACTATCATTTGGTTATAGTAATTACAAGGAGTTTAAAGGACAATTGGTAAGGTTGATTAATCTTAATTAGTCTAATTGTTTGAGTCAAATTAGGAGTCAGGTTGCAGTTTAAGTCGCATGATGAACTAAATCAAACTATTAACAAGATTACAATTTAAACACAAAGATGAACAGGAAAAGTTGATCAATAATATTAATCACTTTTAATTTATTTCCTATCAATTACAGGCATGATCATCATGATGGAGGAGGAGGAGGATGGTGGTAATTGATTTGTCCCTCAAGCAATTGAACAGTTAATTGTTAATCTTCAATTTGTCTCCAGTAATTAAATTAATCATTTTTTTCTCATCATCAACTTGATTGTTACTTTTTTCGCATCCTTTCAAACTAACATCTCTTTTTCTGTGCCAGTTAATTTTTAATTTATCTCAGTGATTTTCAAGAAATATCAACAATCCCTTAATTGCTGTCAAAATTTACCTCTAACATGTAAACATTTACTCACATCATTTGAAACAATTAAAAAGATTTCTCGTAATTAGATGATAACTGATCATCACTTTTTTTTCAAATTCATTCCGATCAACTTTACTTACCTTTCGTTAACTTAATTAACTGTTTGATTGTCAGGAAATAAAAGGTAAGAGACAAGAGAAAATGACAATTAATTAAACTAAAAACAATGAGAAGAATTACACATTTATTAGATTTACATAGATTTTGATTTGATTTGTCACAATTTAGATCAATTTGATTCTCAAAATGTTTCCTTGTTTTGTTCAAAGCAAATGGTTGGAATGATTAGAATTAGTTTTCATCATCTCGCATCATTGATACGATTTCAAAGGTATATAATTAACAGTTACAATATAGTGAGCACAAAATAGTTGAAATTAGGGATTTAACACTTTTAATTAATGATCACAATAGGAAAAAAAGAGACAGATGAGAGAATCAGAATTAAAAAGAATCGATAGAGAAAAGAGATTGAAAGATTATTGGGGATTAAGAGATCAACATTACAATTTTAACAGATGAATGGAAAAGGAGCTAATTGCTTGCATCAACTTAATTGACATCTAATATATTAATAGTATTTATCGAAAAACAAAATGGAATTGAAAGTTTTTTTCTGGTTCCATTTTCATCTTCTTTCATTTGAGAAAGGACATTATGAGAAAAAAAGTTAACAATCAGTTACAATTTAGTCAGAAGATTAAAGGTCAATTCATCTTGAGATGAAACTTGAGTTTCATTGATTGAAATGAATTTAGTTTATCGAACAATTTAGAGGCTCGTGTTGCTAATTATTTAGAAATTGTTGCTTGTTAATTAACATTTTGGCGAGGTTTAGCTTCCGTTTCTTGTGCGATAGGTTTTTGTTGGATTGCGTTTTGTAGCATCTCTTTTATGCGTATTACATGGTAACGATAATCGAGCATTTCATGGTGATTGTTGCGCTCATTTGGGTGTCCAGTTTTCTATGAATGTAGTTGGTTCAGTTGATTCTATTTCTGTCGTCAATGAGTCGCATTTCTGTTGATGTTCACGATCAATTTTATCTTTTGTCTTTCTTTTATCTTCAACTAATTCTCTTTGTACAAGTTCATGTCTACTGGTCAACTCTGATTTCCTCCGGGCCAATAAATTGCCCAATCGTTGTCGCTCTGCTACTGCAGCATCGATGATTCGCTGGTGTTGTTCCCGTTTAACTCGAGATAATTCAGCTTTGTCCTTATACTTTTTAACCAAATTATTGATGTCTTCTTTTATTTGAGTTTCTACTCTTTCTGTACTCTATTAACGTCGGTAACATGTAATTTTTGCAAATACTTTTCCTGAGAGGATTGAGATGTTTGCATAGCTTCCTCAAGAGCTGCATAATACTTTTCATGATATTTATAGCGAAGAGTTTTCTCCGCGTTAAATTGTTCTAACGTTAAATCATATAACGTTCTCGCCCAAGTTCGATGGAGTTCTTGAAGTCTCGTCACCATCTCTGGACTAGTGGATGTAACATCAACTTCACTTAAACGTTTGTTTAAACTTCTTGCATCCGTTGATGAAGATGATTTTCGAAATAAATTTTTAACTAATACAGATCGTTGTTTACTTTGTGAGCTGCACATCATCAGTTTATGTCCTTTTTGATGACTACTTGCGACTTTCGCTCGAGATTTCTCAAACTTTTTCTTCGTTTCGGCGATATCTTTCTCTAATTTTCCGGTCACTTCTAAAACGTCTTTATGGTTCTTTAACGCTTCCAATGTTTCCACTTCAATATTACAAGCTTCCGACTCCAATAGATAGACCGATCTTTCAGGACCTGCTTCGTCCGATAAACTTCGAACTGATTGGTTTTTCCTTAATGAAGTAGTATCTTGACGGATCAATGGAGGCACTGTTGCTGGATGAGCTGGAGATGAGACGACTTGACATGTAAGTGAGGGAGTCACAGAGGAAGAGGTTGTAGCATTACGATTCGAAGTAACGGAAACAGTTCCATTCATTGATTCGTGTTTCGAAGTTGATGAGCCAATCAAACCTGATGACGTTCGTCTGCTATCTTCAGTTGCATTTGTTTTTCGCTCACTAGAATCATTGGTAACCGTTGCTTTGGCAGCGACTGTAGATGTGTTATTGAGTCCGGAATTGGATCCTTTTTCACTAGTTCCCTGTTCACTGTCACCATCTTCATCAGTTAAAGCTAACAATTGCTTCTCTCTTTTCTCAAACATTGATTGATAAGCTATTGGATTAGCCAGAGCGTCAGCCAACTCAAATAAACCCTCAGGAACATAATCTTTGACAGTTATATGGACAAAAAGTGTAGGAAGAGTTAATGGTTGGCCAGACTCATTTCTTAAGGCTAAGTGACGATACCCAGGCCGAAGTCCGACAACGGAAAGAATTCGGTGACCAATGAACTTGCCACCTTCTTCATAGGCAGCAATCCGAAGGCAGGCTAAGTCAGGAAGTACCACTTTCTTAAAAACGAAAGGATCGTCATCGTATATTGGATTCACTCCATTATTAGGCACCGTTTTGGTTCTTTTCCGACGAATAGTGTCCGCAGGTAAACCGAACATATCAACTTCTACATAAGTCCCTGCTCTTTTATCACTTAAAAATTGACCTGAAATAATCTGAAATTTGAAATTGGAGCAGAAAATGAGAAGACGATTTAGAAAATGTAATCAATCAAAAACTGATGATAATTTATAATGAAACTCGGATCAAAACTCGTAGTATTTCATTACCTAAAGTGCAGTTTTATTTTTTCATTTCAAATTTTTTCCTCAGCAAAAACTCACCTGTACTGAAACAGTTCCTGCAATTATCCCGTCAACAGTTGATTCAGTGAACGGATCAAATTTCCTGTCCATTCGTCTCATGAAATCAGGTTTTAACAGGTAACCACTTCGACCATTATATTCAAAAATTCCCACATTCAATTGCATACCAAGATCTATATTAGTAAATTGCAGAATTCAATGAAAAGTGACAAATTAGATGAGCAGTTTAATTTAAGATTAAATCATGTAAAAAATAAGAATGAATCGTTAAGTGAACACATTTAATTAGTATCGCAATTTAGATAATTTTTTTCTCTCATCACAAAACTAATTCTCATTGATTTCTAGTTATATGAAAGTTTTTCCCTCCATCTTCATCCTCCTTCTTTTGTATCATCATCCTCATCCTTATCCTCATTTCCATCATCACAATCATCTCCTCTCTTCATGGTAAGATAATTTGCTTCCCAGAAGAAGCAGCAATAGCATCACCAATCCTATTTAACCCTCCAGCATCCCAATCACTCCCACACTAGACAGTTACTATGACAACGATAATCCTTTTCATGTATCTGGAGACAGTTTATTTAACAAGTTGAAGATCAATTCAAGCGTAGAAGATCAATAGCGAATTACTATCATTCTCATTTCATCAATTCTAAACCTTGAAATTCTGTTAAGAGAAAATGGTAAAACCAAAGAGGAAAAAGGCAAAAATCTCGGACAATTTTCAATGTCATCAATATAAAGTGTTCAGAGATATTGGATCAAGAGAGAGAGAGAGAGAGAGAGAGAGAGAGAGAGAGAGAGAGAGAGAGAGATCTGATAGAAAACATGTAATTTAAAGTGTTCAGAGAGAAAACCAAAGAAAATGGGAGTGGGGAGGGGAAGGGAAGGGAAAGGAAGGAAGATACACAGTAAAGGAATATGATGAAAATGAGGAAAAAAGAAACAGGATGAGGATGAAGATGAAAGAAAAAGTAAGAGAGAAAAGAAGGAGTAAAGGTTATTGCTCGACATGAGATTATTGAATAAGAAGATATTCTTATGGGAGTTTAGGAATGAGCATAAAGAATCTATTTCTTTGCATATCACTCTCAGCATTTAGCATAAGCATTTATTAGAAAGCAACAAATTTCTCAAAGAAAATAGTAACAAATGCGAAAGACACTCAGACACAGTATTAAAATAGTTATTATGATAAGAAAAATGTATTCATAATCTGATATAAACAGATGGAAGAGCATTAAGCATCTTAAGGAAAAAAATTCGTCAAAAATTGTTAATGATAACAGGATGAAATAGAGAGGAAAAGGAAGAAGATGAAGATGAATAACCTGCGAATTAACGTTATTATCACGTAACAAATAATTCATATAAATATGTTTGTATAAATAATAATGATAATATTATTATTCTGAAAGGTTGGATAAAAAAACATCGTTTTTTTCGAGTAGAGTTACCACCATGTTATTATCATGATAAACTCTGGTGTAAGCTTGATAATTAAAAGGTTTATCCAATAAAAAGTTAGATAAATTTAGTGATTAAAGTATAATGTGAAAATGGAAAAGAGGAAAAGAGGAAAAACAAAAAGATGAGGGAAAGGGGAAAGGATAATGATGATAATATCATTATAACGTTAATAGTGAAACTGATGCTATGTTGATGAGGATGATGATTATTTTTATTATGATGATAAGCTGGGGGACGAAAGAGAGAGAGAGAGAAGAGAGAGAGAGAGAGAGATGCCTGATGATGAGTAAAGATGCATGATAAATTTCACGAATAGAAAAGGAGTAATTCGTAAAAAATGCTGTTCTGTTGAGAGCTCAGTTGGAAATGAATGTTACTATTACTATCATATTTGCTTAAGGACTCCAAGTACTGAAAGACTATTTAGCAATTCAGATGGGAATCTACTTTTGAAGTTGATTATATTACAAGCTGTTAGCCTCAGTGTGATGGTGGAAATACACAAAGGTAACGATGAAGGTGGAAAATGATGAAGATAAAAGAAAGAGATAGAAAAGGATAGAGATGATATAACATCCATGATAAACTGAGAATGAAGATATGAAATACAATTTGAGTATGTACACAAATCATCATCACAAAAAGAGTATATAAGTCAATGTTGTTAGAGTTCAATGAATAGAATAAGATAGAAAAGTTCTCTATTTATGAATCAGAGAGAGAGAGAAAAGAAACCAATGATGAAAACGGTTGATTATAATGAAAGAGATAAAAGATGATGGAGATAAAGTAAAAATGTCTACAAGATACACGACGAAATAACTGTGAATGATAGATTAGGATAAAAAAAGGAAATGAAAACTTGACAGGAAATGGTTGTGTTAAATTCTAAGATTTTCTCTTATTTTTTCATCTTCATCTTTCATCATATGTTCTTTCTATTATTACAATTTCATAGGCTTTTCATTTCTCTCAAAATTACAAGTTCTCTGTTCATCTTGGATCGAAAATGTTTCTCACTCGCATCTTCTTTTCTTCATGTTCCAATTTAACAGAGTTTCTTCTCTTTTCTTCTTTCTTATGTAATATTAAATTCGAAAATCAAGTTAAAACTTACCTAAAGTTTGAAAATTAAGGGCAACCATTTGACAACCAGCGTTCCAAAAGACTTGAGGCATATAGTTACTCGAATCCACTCGAGTTCCTTTCGGATAGATTCGGCTTAACTGAACTTTGTTTAGGCTGCAAGGAAAATGATTATCACCATGATGAAAAGTAAGATGGAAAATAAATATAAATGAAAGATGGTTTTTAAGATGAACATGAAGATGATCATCATCATGTCTTAGCTTTTTTGTTATCATAAAAATTGCATTAGTTTGTTTCCTCACAGATAATAAACCAACAGAATTTAAGAAAAATCATAAATATATGTATTACTCGTATTTTTGAAAACTTGAAAGAATCATGATGATGATAACTTGAAATAATATTATATATGAACAGATGATGGGGACCATTATCATCATCATGAGATGGAATCATTTACACCTTATATTGAGTTTCACGATTGTGAAAACCATTTTCTATCTTTTCCTTTTTTCCTCATTCTCTTTGTTTATCTCTTGGTGTTTTTTTCTTCTGTTGTTTATGATGATGAAGGTGAGAAGATGAGAAAAATCAACAAATGAGATTTGTTACAATTCATTTATCTCTCATCATTATCAACACTTTGTTTGATTTACAACAATCATTATTATTTCATTAGAATGATTAATTTGTACTTCAATATATATATTTCTGTTCAATTGTAATTCTACATCATTTCTTGCTTCGTTTACTTTAATATAATTACCGTTAACTTAGATGAGTAAATCTTGATAAACTAATAGATTAAGAGAGGTTTTTTTGCCTTCCATGATTATGTTTTTTTCTTCATCCAACAAATCGTATGAATATTAATCACGTTAATTGATAATTAACTTACTTGACAAAATCGACTGGTCGCATTTTTAACAAGCTTGTTGCTTGGGCTTCGACAAATGAGGAAATTTCATAACTTCTATTGCGCTCTGGAAGAGAGATGAGGATGAGAGATGAGCGATGTTCACAAAGGCGAAAGTGATGAAGAGAGAGCAATGATATGGAGAAAAGTAAATAGAAAAAAAAAGAAATAGAAAAAAGGTAATAAATACTAAGATAATATGATAATGATGGTATGTTAATTAATTTGGGAAATGATTATGTTAATAGAGTGACTATTTTGTTTGACTTGATTTAATCAATGTTGTGTTATTTTACACACAATGTAACATTGAGTAGCTTTAAGACAAAGACAAAAAGAGTGACAATCATGGTGATAATAGTTAGGAATGATAATCAAAAGGTTAATTGCTTACTTTCAGAATATTCAAAGGAGACGAAATTAACTGGCTGAATATAATTAACAATAGCGGACATATCATCACAAGCCTCTGCTTCCTTATGAACATCACCTTCGAGTTGTTCACCAACTGAACTGCCTGAAGCGGCTCCACCGGCTTCACTTGGAGGACCAGCGTCATCATCTTCGAGACTGTAATCAGATTCATTATCATCCAAATCACAACTTGATGTAACTGCTATCTTGTTGTTTGCAGCCAAACCAGTACCGGTCGAACCACCTTGACCACTGAGAGAATCGTCGTTATCGGCTAATTGGGAGGAATCCTCTCTTTCCAGGGTGTTGGACTCGTCGCTATTATTTGTTTGGAGAGTAGCACGTCTCTCGGGAGTGGATGTTGGAAGACATGATGAAGACGATGATCCCGTAATCGTATTAGGGGTTTCACCTGAAGATGTCATGGTTGATGAAGTTTCGATCCTCACGGATGGTCCAGTACCACCAAGACCATCACCGGGATTTGAAGTTGAATTGGACGTAGTTGAAGTGCTTGTGAGATTAGTTCCTCGTTTATTTTTCCTCTGCTTTGAGTGTTTCTTTTTATTTTTAATCAAAATTTTTCTCATCAATAAATTAGGAGAGGGCAGATTAACACCGGGTTTGAGCGGATGAGAGGGAAGAGGTTCAGTTAAAAGCATTTCACCAAAAATTTTACGACAATATTGGGCTATTTTGGCTTGTTGACGAGTTGAACAATGGTTTTCAAACGAAAGGATTACAGGGTAACAAGAGGTTTTAAAGGCTGTTTCAGCAATTGCTTCGAGAACATCTTTACAGGGAATGTCAGAGACCACAGTGTATCCATGGGTGATAATGGGTTCATCGGAATTTCGCCCATTCCAACAATCTAATTCAATGCAACGACAGCCCGCTAATAGACATTGACGGTATATTTCAACTGAGGCTTTACCAGTCAACTGATGACCAGTGAGATATGTATTGTGGGAAGAGTTGACGAAATAGTGGTTGAGAGGTTGGTCCATGTCCTGATTGTGGTCAAACTTTTCAGGCGCAACAATAGCATTGTCATCACTCATCAAATAACGAAGAAAACCATCAGCTGAGATACAGTCTGTTAGTCAATAAGAGAAAATATTAATACATTGAAACATAGAATGAAAGAAATTATCAACATGATGATGGTCATTGGTGATGTAAGAACAAGTAGGCAAAAGAAGGAGGATCAAATATTAGAACTAAATCCATGTAAGTAAAAGGAAAGAAATTGTTGATTTATAAAGAGCTAAAAGAAAGAGAGAAGGAGAAACTTTAAGAGATGATGATGATAATAGATGAAGATTGAATCAAACGGAAAAGGGATTGTCAATCAGATTGACGAGAATAAATTGTATAAGAGTAAAAGCGTCAAAAAGTGACAACAGAACTGAAATAGTTAGAAGAGAGAGAGAGAGAGAGAGAGATCAAAATTAGAGGACAATATTGGTTGACATCCTGTCAACCATTGAAAATAATAATTAACTATCAAAATGGTAAACCAAGTAAACATAAACACAGAGATAGACAGAAGATGAGAGAGGAAAGAGGAAAGAGAGGGAAAATAAGTTTAACCTGTTCAATTGCTTGTTATTTGGGTTTAATGTTGTAATAACACGAGAGAGTAAATCACAATGAGGTTGATGATGAAAACCTTACATATATGATAAAATATCATATATGTTTCACTCAAATTGTAGTCTTTTTGTTGCTATTTCTTAGTGGCCATCACACAATCAACAGTTAACAGAAAATATTAAGTGAAAGCTGAGCAACACAATAAATCAACAATTGCAGAGTAACAATAATAATGATACTGGTAACAACTAATTTATTTACCATTATTATTATCATGGTTACCATTATCATCATTATTGTATTGAACAAGGAGATTTTCATTTTTCGAACATGATTTTCAGGGGAAAAAAGAATAAGAAAAATGACCAATAATTACCTTTCTCAACATTGACTTTATTCGGTTCGTATTGAGATATTAATTCAATTCCCTTGGCTCGATCAGCGTATGGATAAAGTATTTCGTTTAATCGAGGATCTCGTTGCTCTTTGTTTAGAAAAGCAACAAACTGATCGACAGTCATCAACCTTGGATGATTGTTTACCATTTTACTTGATTCACCAACAGAAATACTGGAGAGGGAGAGGGAGAGAGAGAAAGTTGATGAAAAGTATATCAAAAAGAAGATGATGGAGATATAACAGGAATAATAGAGAAAAAGGAGGAAAATAGTAAATAGAAAATAAAAGTTGGATAATTTGAATTATAATGAACATGAAAACCTGTTAATTCGTTTCGAGTCTAATCTAACGATCTATTCAATGGAAAATAATGATTACCAGAAAAAAAGAAAAGGAAAAGGAAAAGAAGTTGAAAATGATGTTTGATGATGATGGTGATGATGATAAGAAGATAGAAGGACAATTTTAAACATTTCAGTGTACAAAAGATATTAAGAGAAAAGAGGGAATTGCAATTATCTGGTTATAAGAAATCAGGTGAAAGTAAAAGATGAGAAATGTATGAAAAAAAAAGGAAAAGGTAAAAGTAGAAAAGTAAAAAATATAAATCAGCTCTTGACTTATAATACAATCAACACACTTGAAACATATTACAAGTCAAATCAAAGAGGATGATGATGATGATGATGATGAAAGAAGCATTGGAAAATCTTGAGCTGATAAATAAATAACATGGAGATTGAAGGGAAAGAGAATAGAATAAAAAAGGTTAAGAGAAAAAATTGTTAAGGTTACTTACAGTCGGTCAAATATTTTGTCAACTTCACTTCGAACAACAAGATGTTTATAAAATTGTAAGAATGTCTCAAGAGGGAACTTATCTGGATCAAAGGAACTTGACTTTCCAGTCGGAATGTTCGTGAAATCCATGGCCTTTTCAACGCGCTTCTTATCGTCCTTGTGCTGAGCATATTGTTTAATAAAATTTCTCACAGGAATTTGTCCTTCCCTATCTACCATTAGCTGTATTTTAGTGTGAGCTTTAGCTAATAAGGTGTAAGGTGACGAGTTGAGTGCCAATAGGTTGTAGGCCATTTTGAGTACTGAATCGGTCCATTCAATGGCATCATCACGATTTGGAGCAACAAAGTTAATAAATGAAGTATTTACAAAATCAGGTCCATAAACAACAGTGAAAGTTTTATCCTCTAATGGAACCTCAGGAAGTCCAATGTTACAGCTATCACGAAGTCGACCTTCTTTGGGAACACGAGCATTTCGTCCAGTTCGAGTATCCCGAATGGAAGAAATTTCTAGGTATTCGATTTCATTGTTAGTATCTTTCCAGTAGAGAAAAAATCCTTTGGAATCGATACACAGGGTAACATGGGTTCCTATAGTTGAATCCTATGAGGAAGAGAAAGAATAATAATATGTAATAGTGGAAAAGAAAAAAGAAAAAAGAAAACTAAGACTGAGAATACAGTGTGTCCTTGGATGGTAAAGTTATGATAGATGAAAACAGTAAACATGGCATGTATTTGCTATTCAAATTTTAATGATAATAAAACAATTACTCTGAAGAACAAGGGAGACCATGCTTACTGATTTAATTCTAAGTAAACAGAGGCAAAAGTTACATGATGGGAGAAAGGAAAACACAGAATCAAAAAGTAAACTACTTACATCGTCCCATTTAACGAATTTGCATCCTTGTTGAAGTCTCTCTTGCACCACAATTGGTTTCAGTTGAATGACGTGAACACCAGCTTTTCCTGAGGCCATCACTTTACCATGTAAAATAAACGAGAAACACACTGGTGATGATGAAGAAGAAGATGCTTGTGGTGACTGACGATAACTCTGATGTTGATAATAATGGAAATGAGATGAGAGAAGAAGATTGAATTGAAGGAATGTGATGAGAATGATGGTGAAGTGAAGGAGAGAAAGGAGAAGCTGAAGTCATAACAATACACAGAAACACTGGAATTAGAAAACACGTAAACTCACCCATAGAATAAAAGTGAAAGAAAAGAAGAAGAAAAAATCACCAAGAAATTATAACAAACATGAGATGAAGAAGAAGAGAAAAAAATAATAATACAAGAAAAGGTGAACAAGAAGAAGAAGGAAAGAAAAATCTGAGAAATGATGAACACTTGGATGATGATCTGAGAGTAAAAAGTGAAGAAGAAGAAGAAGAAGAAGAAAACTGAATAAGACTGAACAAATCTACTGATGAAAGTTCCTTCTCATGGTAAATCACAAAGAGTAGGTGCCCATTGGAAAGAAGCTGCATCCTCATTGATGCGCATTGTTGAACATTCCGAGTTTCTGTTTATCTTTTTTCTTACATTTGAACCTCTTCTCGTTAGCGCAACTTCATTAAATCTCCACCTTCATGTGAACCTGAGCAAAGAAAATTTCATTTCGACCTTGTAGATGGAGACACATCACAATTGATGTTCTTTGGTTGTTAATTGTTTAGAAAATAATTAATCTATTGTCTTTCTAATTCGCTCTTTGTTTAATTGGTCTATTTTCGAATTTCCTTTTATTCTATTCATCGGCTTCTCTTTTAATCGGCTGTTAATCTTTTCCAATAGAAAGTGAATGTCTTTTTGTTATTTTCTTCATTATCTCTTCTTCTTTTCTATCCCTTGGATTATCAACTGATGACAGATACGCTTAGTCGCCTTTGTTTACATCTTTGTACTTTATTATGGCAGTTTAATGTTTACTCTGATTATGGTGTTGATTGATTTATTGATTGATTAGTTGATTCTTTGGTTGGATGGTTGGTTGGTTCATTGGTATGTCATCATTACCAGTTTCTTATTTGTGTACATATTTTACCTTTTAATTTACTATTTTTCTTTCTCTATCATTGTTAATCTTTTTCTTTGTTTTCTTTCATTTCTTTAGATGTTCTCGTTTTTTTATCTTCTTTCATATCATAAACATTTGGTTCCATGATATTAGACCAATATGGGAATCGTACAAAAATCAATCACCACTCTATTGTTAATATCTCTCTTCTGTTGCTTCATTTTGATTAAAATGGAAAGTAAATCGGATCGTGTGACCAATTGGTTTGCTATATTCTGGCCATTGTGGGTTCTTAATTGTATCTTCTTTTTCCATGGAGCAATTAAAGTGGCTCATTCTTTGAGGTATCCAGTTGAAGAATACACTCTGAAAACCTTGAAAAAGAAAGCAGGTCTTTTGGTTGGAATTACTCTTCTATTCATCTCCGAGGTTCTCTTTTGCCTTAAATTACAATATTTTTCCACTATTCCCATGTTTGTTGTGATGACACCTTTATGGGGTGTTCTTGGTCTCATAATTGTTTACCTCATTCGTTATTTGATAAGAAATCAATCTTGTAGCTGAGAAAAAATGACTTGATGATCAATAAAGTAAATTTTTATTGGTTAATTTACAAGCTATTATGATATATTTTCTCATCAATTTTCATTTCTTCCAAGTGATCGATGTCATTTAATATCAATTACACTTTTCTTTGCTCAAGGATAAAATGATTTCCTGTGTAGAAATTATAATCAGTTGAGTTCTAAATATTGTGACAACCAGTTAATCAATGTAAATTGTTTAGAAACTTAAATGTACACAAATTTAATCCAGATAAGGATATCGATGCTCTGGAACATAGTAACTTTCGTAAGCAAAATCTTCATAGTTTCTGTAATCCTGAAGGAATCCTAAACTTTTGACATCTAATCTGAATGGACCGGTTCGTCCATCCATTAAAGTTAATCCAATGTACGTGATGGGATTTGGGGCCACGCGAACTTGTGGTTCTTGCATACGACCAAAAGCTCCCAGGAAAAATTTAGAAAACGGTATTTTAACTTCTTGCCAATACGGTCCTCCATGAGTCGGCAGCCATGTTAAATATTTGTCATCCCAATTTTGATTAGAATAACCTCTTTGACCGAGAATAACCATCCAACGTCTACCGTCGCCTCTTATTTTCATCGTTAAGTGAGTCCATTTTTCGATATCAAATTCGATATTACTGTCAGATGCCACGAACTCGGGAGCTTCGAAAAGCGTCATATTTACATAACCTGAAATAGTTGAATTAGATTAATATGATAAAACAATGAGATGAATTCAAAGAAACTTACCAACTCTAGATATCGTTCCATCTTTAGGTAAATTGATTGAATCAAGGTAACCAGAGAAAGTGGCATAACCTCCGTTATTTTGTTCTAATCTGCATGTAGAATAACCTTCATTCCAAATTCTATCTGACCCAAGCTTCCATTTTGATAAATCTTCGGGTTTACTGAAATCGGAGATGATAAATTCATCGTCTAAGCAAATGGTTCTATAGTTTTTCATGGGATTTCTTAGTTTTCTCTTGAAAACATATCGAGACCAATTGTCCCATACACTGTAAAACTCTTTCATCTGCTGGAATTCTTCCTTTAATAATCTCCATCTTGTCTTGAAATCTCCTTCGACAAATTCTCCGTATTTCTCTTCATATTTCAATGTTCCTCTGGGTGATTGAAGCATCGCACAATTAACATTCGATGTGAATAAACTTCTCACCAGAAGAGGTGATTGTTTGTTCAAAGATAACGAACATAACCGAATGGTGAACATTTTCAGAAGTTATAAACCCAATAAATTTATTCAATAACCAAACAATTAATACAATTAAAATATAAAATGAAAACAATTAATATTCGTCAACATTTTTGCAAAAATATTCTCATTCAATGTTTACCTGTTTAGTTTATTTTGTAGCCGCACGATGACTCTGAGTCTGGAACTAGTTTAATTAGCAATAACAATCAATTAATTATTTGAACATCATCATAAGGCCTTAAAAGATTATTGATTATCTTTGACTATACTAATTTGCGATTGTCAAGCTTTTCCTCCCCATACGAATCTGGGAGCAGTAATTGGTAAGCGACTGAATTTGTCGCTTTTCAAATATCCATCGATTTTGGGTAAGGATTCAAATTTAGAAAGAAAATCTTTGAGTGTTGAATGAGCTTCAATCAATTCGCATTTGTAAATTCGGACGAAATCCAATAGAGAATACATGATACAATCAGCGTATGAAACTTTCTCACCAAGAACGAAAGGACCAGATCCAAGGAATTTGTTTAATTGTTCCAATTTAGGTGGAATATATTCATTGATTTCTTTTTGTGCTGTTTCATCATGAGTTCGCCAACATTTGAACAAGAACATGATCATATCCATCGACGCTTGTTCAGCTAAATCACATCGAGTTACCTCATTTTCTTCTATACCAGCTAGTCCATTTTTCCGTCCCAAATATCGCAAAATAGCAACAGTCTTTTTTCACAAGAAACAAAAAGTCCAATTAAACAATTGAATCGAAATCAAGTTAAACTCAATAGTAAATGCAAATCATTTTACTCACTTGTGATAGTTTAACGTCACCATCAATGTAATAAGGTAAATTAGGGAAATCAAGTCCTAGTTCATTTGCTCCAGACCGAAAATCATCTTTTGAATACTCAGGAGCAGCGCCGAGGTTGTAAGTCTTAAGTTCATACTCGACACCAGCTTGAGCTAACAAGAAACGAATTGGATCACTAAAACCTCGAATATTCCAATAACCAAGAATTGGAGCCGTTAATTCACCTTTGAAAGACTCTCCGTGTTTCTCTTTGTATTTTAATTCTCGTCTAGGGGATTGGAAAACATAATTAACATTCGATGTAAATAAACTTTTCACCAAGAGAGACGATCGTTTGTTGATCGTAAAAGAACATAACCGAATAGCAAACATTTCCAAACCTACAAATCTAAAAAACAAAAAAATTGGCTTAATTACAATTAAAGTAGAAACAATTAATAGTTTAAAATACTTTCAGTGGAAAAATTCAAAATCAAGCAAATTTAAATGTTTACCTTTTTGGTTGACTTACTCATCGCAAGATGGCTCTGAAAGCCGTTTATTTTCTTTAATTTCTCAAATTTAATTAATTTATTTAATTGCAAACAGTTTATACTCCAATTAGTTAGCTTATTATCGTAAAATAGAAAGTGTTAGGCTTTGTTTCAAACATTAATTAAATTCGTAGCCAAAAGTGTCAAGAATTTTTCGCTTTATTATTTGAAGAGCTTAAGCTCGAAGGATAATTGAAAAGTGACTATTTTCACGAAAACACAAGAATTTGGGTTTGACTGAGCAATTAAATCATCTGGTTCTTTAATTATGCCGAACATTAATTAATCTATGTGACACTTTATTCTCAACTATTTATTCGTCGCCATGTTTGCTCGTAAGTTAAAAGCTCTCGAATTTTTAAAGCTGATGAATTTAACATCGAAGGTAAGTAATTTGTATCTGGTATTTTCCATCTTGTTTACTTACCTGTTTGTCTATTTGATTTTCTTACACAGATGAAAATGCTTTCAGAAATTTGGTCGCCTGGTTAGAAGATCAAAAGATAAGATGTTACCCCATCGAGGAAAGAGCTGAGCTCAGGAAAATCAGTTCTTCAGATTGGGATAAAGCCTTTAAACAAGTAAATCGAGAAATTGATTAAATGATTCAAATGTAAATTCTCACTCTTTTTATTTACTTTCAGTATCTTGATGCAGTTAAATGTCCGTTTGATTGTAAAGACCGTAAACTTATCCTGGACTGGTTAATCTCAACAGCGGTCAGATTAGATTATAATGACAATTGTGAGTAATATTTTACAACAAGAGAAAGTGACACATAAAATCATCTAATTAATGTAACAAATTTTTTTTTTCTTTCAGTCGACAAATACAAAGATGTAACTGGTAAACTGGTTAAAAGTCAAGCCACTAATCCGCAAATGGTTCAGGCGAATCCCTTGGACAATCTAGATTTTAATTCTAAAGAATTTAAACATGGTGTCAATGAAATAGCGAAAGTGTTGAAAGTACCACAACATCCCGATCATCTGGTCACCTTAAAAGCCATTAATCATTTGATTAAAACTCGATTAACTGCCGATGCGTTACAAGCGGAAAAACCTGACACCGATGTTAATAATGAGAAATCATTCACATTAGAAAACAGTCAACTTGGTTTCGACATCAAAGATCAAAATTTAGTACGAGCTGCAAAAGTTTTACGAATTTTGTATATCAATGATCTCAGAGATTTACAGAATAAGATAAATCAAGTTATAGTTTCTATCCAGGCGATAACCGCTAATCCTAAAACAGATACTAGTTTGGGACAAGTGGGCCGATAATGTTCAAAATTTGGGTAACATCTGATCTGTTAAAATAAAAGATATTCATCTAGCAATTTGATTGTTGATTCTCTTTAAAAATTCAATCTAAACTGAACCATTGGGTTGCACGAGGTTTCAAAAACAGGATTAACACGACTAGAAATTGAAAAGAATGATGATCAATTGGAGATCATGGTTGATGGAAAGAAATGGGGATTAACGCGAAATGAACATTAACTTTCATGAGAACCAAGGTTAACTTGTGGAGTAATTTATGTTAAACATTTATTAAGTTAAATGTTAAGGTGTAATTAAATTCACAGGATTAAGGTTAGAATTGGATCATTTGTCCCTTTCTTCTCTTTTCACCACCAATTTCGAAATGTTTACATCGCTTGATTGGAACTTGATTCCTGTATTTACAATCACCACATTCCATCCTCAAAACGATCTTCTTGGTTGTCTTGGCCTTCTTTCGGAAAATAGGCTTAGTTTGTCCACCATAACCTCGTTGTTTTCTGTCGTACCTTCTTTTTCCTTGAGCATGAATTGAATCTTTACCTTTCTTGTATTGATTAACCTTATGCATGGTATGTTTCTTACATTTACCACAATAGGTTCTCTTAGTTTTTGGTACGTTAACCATGATGGTCACTAATTAAATAATTAACTATGTAACAAAATAGAAAATGAAACAACCAATTAGTTAAACAAATTAATTAAATTACAATTAAATCCAAAAGAAACAATTTAACTTGAAAACCATCAAGTCAACAGACATTCAAAACGGAAACGGATGAAGACAAGAGACCCGATCAACTTTCTTGTCTAACAAAAAGCGCCAAATTTAAAATAAACTTGAAATTCTTTTTCTTAATTTCAATCAACTAAACTTCCCTTTCCATCAATTGATTTTTAATTGATTTATCAAGAAATTTCTGATTACTGTATTTTAATTCTTTGGTTTTTTAGTTAATTTTTATCGTTGTAAGAGTTGGAATCAAATTTAATGAGAATTTGAAATTTAGATTGTAGTTGAAAGAGACTTTGAATGTTCCGCTTCACCATCTTAGCATCAGTTTCCATGGTGACTAGACACATGCTCTTGTTTTGAACGAAAAGTATTTTTGTTAATTGTTGTTTAGAAATTTAAATTATTATTTAACTTTTGTTATTTGAATTAAATTATTGGCAATTTGTTCTAGTTTATCGAAATTTCTCTACCATGGATGAGGAAGAAGAAGTTAAATCCAGTTATGTCGAAGATGTTACGACGGTGAGTTTCAATTGTCATTCTTTTTTTGTGTTAAATGTTTATTTTGTTAAATTAATTATTTTTGATTTCTTTTCTTTAAGGATTTGCAACAATCTATCAAAGAAGCCATTTCTGCTAGTCTTGGATTCAATGCAACAGATTTTGATATTAATTCAACTTATTCGAGCTTTAAAGCTTTAATGGAAGCTGAGGAGAAAAATATGATTACGTTGTAAGATTATCGGATTTGTTTTTTAAATCAATTGGTTTGATGTTTATGTGATTTTTATGTAATTTCAGGATAAGCTCTTTGGCTAAAAAGGCTCGAACAGATGATAAAAATATCAGGAAACTGACGACGCCCGAAGATAAGTTTGATGCACTTTGCGACTTGAATGACATTATACTGGATAGAATTGTAAGTCATATTCTCATTTATCTTTCCTCTTACAATGTAATGTAAATGAAATTTTTGTATCAATTGTTTTCTTACAGAATCATAATCTAGATGATGCTGCAGGTTTAAAGAAAAAAGATCAAGAACTTATTGTTGCAACACTGAATGTTAGTAATAGCACCGCTGTCGCCATTAACCAGCAAAGGACAAAATGGATCTCTAATCAGAGCCAAGGAATAAAGCGAAAACGAGATATGGTTGTTAATTTAATTACCGCTCGTAACATTCAAAGGCCACAAACTAAATTCAAAGATAAAATAGACAACAGAAATATCCCTTTTGTCCCTCCATTGAAAGAAAAGCCTCATTCTACTCGGCCATTAGCTATTTTCATGGAAAAAGATGAAGATGGAGAAGAACATTCTTGTCATCCCTATGAGACTGAATTAGAGAATTGGCAACCAACTTCTTCCATGTTGGAAAAAGTAACACCACAACTTCCATCGGACCTAAAAGAAGAAAATTTTCATTTCATCAACGATTTAGATTCACTTCAATCTTTGATTGAAACCCTGAAGGATGTGAAAGAATTTGCAATCGATCTTGAAGTAAGTATTCATCTTTTATCAAATCATTTTATTTCATATTTTAATTTGAATATATTGTAGGCTCATTCTTACAGGTCATTTCAAGGATTCACTTGTCTCATCCAAATCTCTACCAGGACAGATGATTACATAATCGATTCATTATTATTAAGGAATGAATTGGCAATTCTAAATGAAGTCTTTACCAATCCTAAAATCCTAAAAGTAAGATATCAACTAAATTAGATTATCTTATTTAATCACAATTCTATTATTTTAAAGGTTTTACATGGAGCTGATAGTGATATTCCCTGGCTTCAGAGAGATTTTTCAGTCTACATCGTTGGAATGTTTGACACTGGACAAGCTGCTAAAACATTGAATTTGGCTCATCATTCACTTGCTTATTTATTGAAACATTATTGTCATTTGGATGTGAACAAAAAGTATCAATTAGCCGATTGGAGAATCCGTCCATTGCCTCAGGACATGTTGAATTATGCTCGAGAAGATACTCATTATCTGTTATATGTTTACGATATTATGAAGAAAGAATTGCTTGAAAAAGATCCATCAAGAAAATTATTAAAGCAGGTATTCCAATCCAGTCGAGATGTTTGTCTCAAGGTAAGTGAACCACAAATCTAATAGAATATAATAGAATCAAATGATCAACCTTAATTTCACACCAATCAATCGTATTTACAGAGATATGAAAAACCTTTATTCAAACCTGAAGGATTCAATGCGATTCTCAAAAGATCAACAGCCTCACTTAATCCTAGACAATTATTTGCTCTCAAGGAGATTTATGCTTGGAGAGATAAACTTGCACGAGTTGAAGATGAAAGTTCTGGGTAATTATTAATAGTTTATTCTGGTGGAAATTTATAATTTAATAATCGATTTGTTCTTACATCAATTTTTATTCTTTTTCAGGTATATTTTGCCGAATCACATGATGCTTCAAATTTCAGATGTTCTTCCAAGGTAATTGAGAATAAATTTTTTCAAAAACACTACATTTGAGATCGAATGAAATTTCAAATCAATAATCAATAATTTTTCTTTTCATAATCTAGAGAACAACAAGGAATCTTAGCTTGTTGTAATCCTATTCCTCCAATGGTCAGGCAACAGTTGAACGAATTACATCAAATAATTCTGAAAGCTCGAGATATTCCAATAGAGGTTCGTTGATTTTCATAACTCAATTTACATAATTGACTAATTGCTCTCTTTTTTTCAGAACAAAACCTCAACCACACCCGCTCCATCACAACGAATTATATCAACAAGATGCTTAGATTATGATAGTTTGGTTCATCTTCGACATGATCTAATTTATAAAAGTGACTCACAAAATTTGAATACACTATTAAAAGATGGAAAAGGTAAATATTAAAATAATTAATTTTGGGTAAAGATTAATGGTTTTCTATTAATGATCTTTTCAATTTCAGGAGATGATATCGATTATTCAAGTGTAAGAATCAAACCGAGACCAAAATCGAGGATGAATTCATCGCCACTTTTAGACTTCCTAAATACTCAGTCTAAAGCTAAGAGATCAGAACTAGTTGAGAAAATTTCATCGAAATTTGTTTCCCCATATCAAAAACTTTTAAATTACATGGTTACAACCGGATCATTGAAATGATAGTGATAATATTAATCAAGATGATTGATGACATTTAGAAATTAATGACAAAATTTGTAATCTTAATTCTTCTGTCAAATTGAAAAGACTGATTAGCATTATTATCGTGGCCTATTTTCTCCTGAGACAAATCAACTGTCCTGTTGAAGGTTGAATGATTAATTTATTTTCTCATGATGTTATTATATAAACATTGTATTTATCTTTGAGTATTTTGTTATCCCAATTGAGAAAAAAGCTGAGTAAAAAATTGAATTTACTTTGCTAAAGCTAATCAAGATTCAATTAAAATCTTGAATCAAATTTTTCATTTCATAGAAATGGTATAATAATAAAAGAATTGTGAGATACTTGAACTGAATCAGAACACTCATGATGTTGAAGATGAAGAAATTGAAATTTATTCACTATTATTTGTATCGATTATTTTGATAATCTAATTCAAATCGTGAAGATTTTACATTTTTTGGATTTTATTTGATAGTAAAGTTTCATCAATGAAATTATTTATTCTGTGGCCTCAGGAACTTCTTGAGTCTCGGCCACTTCAACTGTTACTGGAGTTTCTACTGTTTCTGATGGCTCAGCGCTTCCTCCCCATCCATACATTGGACCGCTTATTGGTAAGCGACTGAATTTGTCGCTTTTCAAATATCCATCGATTTTGGGTAAGGATTCAAATTTAGAAAGAAAATCTTTGAGTGTTGAATGAGCTTCAATCAATTCGCATTTGTAAATTCGGACGAAATCCAATAGAGAATACATGATACAATCAGCGTATGAAACTTTCTCACCAAGAACGAAAGGACCAGATCCAAGGAATTTGTTTAATTGTTCCAATTTAGGTGGAATATATTCATTGATTTCTTTTTGTGCTGTTTCATCATGAGTTCGCCAACATTTGAACAAGAACATGATCATATCCATCGACGCTTGTTCAGCTAAATCACATCGAGTTACCTCATTTTCTTCAGTACCAGCTAGTCCATTTTTCCGTCCCAAATATCGCAAAATAGCAACAGTCTTTTTTCACAAGAAACAAAAAGTCCAATCAAACAATTGAATCGAAATCAATTTAAACTCAATAGTAAATACAAATCATTTTACTCACTTGTGATAGTTTAACGTCACCATCAATGTAATAAGGTAAATTAGGGAAATCAAGTCCTAGTTCATTTGCTCCAGACCGAAAATCATCTTTTGAATACTCAGGAGCAGCACCGATGTTGTAAGTCTTAAGTTCATATTCGACATCAGCTTGAGCCAACAAGAGACGAATTGGATCACCAAGACCACGAAGATTCCAATAACCAAGAATAGGAGCCATCACGAAGCACAGAAATCACGAGTAACAATCAAATGAAAGAAAATAAACTTGAAAACAGTAAAAAAGTTCTAATGGAACCGATGATTGCAATCAGATGAATACGAAAATTTCAAAGGATCGAGTCTATTTATGGTGTTTTCTAATTCAATTATGTTGATTGTATGGGCTGTCCTTCAGTAAATATCATCAATTAGTAGGTGTGATTAGGATGTTGATCCTTCCCATTTGAAGACAAGACCAGTCTGACGAGATGATATCGCTTCCAATCGCTATGATAAAACGATGATAACAAAAACACATAAGCGAAAATGACGGAATCAGATAATCAGCTGATTTGCATTAATTGTTAATCACTTTGTTTTTCTCATGTTAATTGTTATCCAAACTCATTTGCAATTAATCAGAAAGATGTGTCGACTTGTAATCCTTTTGTTTGGGATTTTCAGACTTTTTGAAGTTGATTATTGTTAATCATTGTAATCAGTAGATGATTTATTTAAATTGATTCACTTAAAACTGTTCAATTGTTGAGATGCTTTTGTCAAGTTTCCTTGATTGTTATCAAATTATCGGAAGTGTGCCCTTGATCATTTGTGATTATCTTTAATCATATTACACACGAATTGAATTAAATCATAATCCGACACATTTCCGAGTTAATTGACAATAATTAATCAATTAAAGTTAATTGTTCAACATTAATGGATGTGCTTTTGTTTAAAGTCTATTGATACTCAAAAGTAAAAATAGATTACAATGAATGATCAATATTTCCCATTCAAACAATTGATTCAATTAGTCACAATTAATGTTTAATCAGATGCAGACATTAGTCATCAATACAATTAACATTATATTATTTGATTACAATCATTGACTTGAGTCTGGATTTAACTTTAATCTAATTACACAGAATCAAGATGACATCCGTTTCCTGTTAAGCATCAAATTAAACAATTGATCAAATTATCTTATATTTAACCATGAGGATTAAATCAAGGCTAAATCACCAGTAATTTATGGCTATTCCCAAAGATAGTTTTGTTAATTAAACAATTTAATTGCTTTTGGGCAAATCATGAATTAAGGTGTTTCTGTTATATCATCACCAATGATAATAGTGATCAATTTACATTTCAATAGATTCAGTTATTAACTAGTAAATAAAATCACATGAATTAACGTAACAATTAGTTATGTTGACCAGAACAATCAATTAATTGATTAAATAATACTTTTTATGGATGATGTAAATACCTTGAAGGATGAAATTATTATCATCATGATAGTTAAGTGCTATCGTGATCCTATCAATGGAAATAATAACAAACATTTTGACAACAATTTAGTAATCACCAAACAATTACCTTGAGAATTGATAGTTTTGAGTAACATCAAGGTTTGTTGTGTACATTGGATCAATGAAAGAACCGTTAATTTAATGGTAAAATCAGGAAATTAAACAACAATTAATTGATAATTTCTTGTGATTTAATCAGAATTAAAAATATTCTTAAAAGTCAAATGACTTGAGTTTTTTTTAATTGCGATCTTTGGTTACAATTAGACAGGTTTCACTTAATTAGGTACAATTAACATGGATTTAATTACTCTCAGTCTAGTCTTAATTAAGTTTGATTGATTAATTGTTTAAAAGTTAATCTGATTCGTTATCCGTCATTTTTTCATTCGACATAATCAAAATTAATTGATCTAATCAACTTTATCCTTGACTATACGATGATTGATATTCTGACCATCTAATTGTTTCATGAGATCAATTTCTTAATGTGATCAATTATTCTGTTGATTAAAATAATACAAATTCCCAATTCTGATCCAGATAATCAAAAACATTTATTTTGATAAATTTTCAAGTTTTCCATAATCAATTATTTCTGATTAGCTTCAACTCGTAATCAAGTTTAATTGTTAAGCCTTTACACAAACTTAATTGCTCTACATCAGCTGATCGCATAATTGATTAAATTATTAATATAATTGTGACACTTTGACAATGTCAATAAATCAATTTCCAATATTTTGACAATCAAATTAAAAATTTTAGTTACTTTCTATTCTCAAGGTTTTCTAATCATGTTCATCTTAATTTACATGATTAAAGGAAAATGAATGCAGTTCATTCATCAATGAATCAATTGTAATGCACATAATTAATCATCTCTTTTATTCAAAACCAAATCAAACAATTTATTTAATGAATGAAAAACATAATCAATGGGTAACTTTTCATCTCCATGAAACTCATCATAATGAATTAGTTTCATTTTGTCATCTCAACTATTTAACATTTACTCAGTTGTTGATTATGTTAAATTGATGTTAAGAACCTTAATCAAGGTATTGACTCATTGATTGGCTTTCACGGAAACGGAAATGATCCATAATTCATGTTTATGTGGTATCTTCACTAAGCTCAGTGCTGAATTCATGGTGATCTTTAAAGTTCATTTATCAATTACTAAATCAAGCATGAACTTCACTGTGAAAGTTTATCCTTCTGAATCAATTGCTCATTCATTATAATTAATTATAAATATTCATCAACTTTCAGATTGAAAATCTCAATTTCAATCGTGTAAGATTTTAATGAATTAATAGAAAGTGATTAATGAATGATGATAAATACCCAAAGATGAGAGGGAGGCGATAATTTGAACCACAGGGGAGAAATGAATCTATTTAAATGTTTGTGGTGTTTGATGAAAAGTTTCAGTTTAAATTCATTTCAGTTCAAATATTGATAAAAATCAACTGATCAATATCATGGTGCCAACAATTGGTTATTGGAATATAAGATTTTGGTTGAACCGATTGTGTTAACATTGAAACAAACTAATCAACCTTATCAATTAAAGAAATACAAAGTTGGTGATGCTCCTAATTACGATAAATCAGATTGGCTCAACGAGAAGGACAATTTAGGTCTTGAATATCCTAATTTACCTTATTACATTGATGGAGAGATCAAATTAACTCAGGTAAGTCACTGAATTAATCAATTTGTTTAATGATTAATGTTGCACATGTGAGATAATCAATTTTGACTAAACAAAAAACTAACAAACAATTGAAATTAGTTAAATTGTGAATAGTTTATTTGATTACCTTGAAAATCTTCAAGGTTGACAAAAGTACTTTGAAAATAAGTGATTTTCATAATTAATCAACTAACTAATTTACTTTTGAGTCGTGTACTTGTTAGTTGATTTACATAAGCTCATTTCCTAATGGTAACAATTTGTCTATCACATAACCAGTACATAGATTCATCACCAAGAGAATCATGAAATTTTTAAATATTCAGCTAATTGACTTTTCATTATGGAGATAATTAATGTATTGTTTTCATTGTGAGAGCCTTGAGTACATTTGAATTTCTTTGATTAACAAAAGGTTTTTACATATTAATTAGTTTTAACAAGTAAATAGTTGAATGAGTATTTAATTTGCTTCTCTTGTGTTATAATATTTACACAGACTTTGGCGATTCTCCGATACTTGGGTCGTAAATATGATTTAGGACCGAAAGGAGAAGAGGAAACAATTCGTTCTGATGTAATCGAACAGGGTGTCATGGAGATTATGTTGAAATTGATTAGTGCTTGGTACGTTGCTTCCGATGAGATTTACATGGAAAATTTACCTAAATGCTTCGATTACTTGGGACAAAAGCTTGAACACACTTCGAAAGTTCTTGGATCTAATCAGTTTCTTCTTGGAGATCGAATCACTTACATCGACTTTCTTTTGTATTCGACATTGGATTACATAAGAATGTTCAGTTTTCCTCTGTTTGAGCCGTACCAGAATCTAAATGATTATCTCCTCAGAATCGAAACTCTTCCAAACATTGAGCCTTATTTCAAAGACGAAAATTTCGATCGATGGACAATCAGCTCCCCAAGAGCCAAATTCGGTAATAAAAAACCGTAGATCAAGAACACCAACATCGCTGGTGCCATATTGTTTATGTTCACACGTCCAGAGTGTTAATAAATCTAATAAATAGTCAAGATTAAAATTAAGAATTATGAATCCAACGAACTAAATGTTTAACCGGAGGTTTACTTAGTTCAAATATCGACGATCACTTCATCTCGTTTAACTCAACTGAACATCCTATCATCCATTGCGTTTCTTCATGAGATACAAACATTAACGATCCTCCTGAAAATCAATAATTTAGCTTCATTGTTGTACATTTATTAGTATTTCGTTTGATTTTGAGGAAATTCAAACAAAGAAAAATAATGATAAATTGTTCATATTAATGTTAATATTAACAGATATACTAATGTATTAATAATAATATTATTATTGATAATATTAATATTAATAGAAAAATTCGTAATTATAATCAGACTGATTAACTGTTACCTGATTGTTATTCAATTGATTTATTGATTGAAAAGTTAAACGAACGAATTTAAGGGCAGAGAATTCGTTGAATTTAAATGTGAGAAAATCATTTGAAATAATAATCAATGTCAGGAATACAATCATCTTAATAAGAAGATATGAAGACATGGACTTAAAGGATAAAACGAATTGTCTGAATTCTGATTAAATCAGAGAAAGTTGACCAACTATCGTTACAACAGTCAATCATTTCGTCTGTTGAAAGTAGTAATTTAACTTTCGATCGATGCAAATTCATCATAAAATCAATAAGTTTCTAGGTGGATCCATAACTGAACAGAGTTATAGTAACAAGACTAATAGTTGATGATCAGTTTCACCTTGAAAAATAACATTAATCAAGGTTAAAGACAATTAAGGTAATAGTTTAGTTGAGATTTGATTTTTAATTGACAAATCGATTTATATAATTAACAATTGAATGTGTCTCATGGAAACAATCAGTTCAATGTGACTCTAAATTTTAATTATTTGTAGCAGGCAAAATCATGGCTAGATCAATACAATTGTATTAATAGTAATCATAGAGACAGAAAATGAAGTTTAAATAACAATCGGAAAGTTAATTACGATTAACTTAATGACAGTGTATGTTAGTTGAATTGTAAGCTTGCGGCAATAAGTTGGAATCAAGTCTAAGATCAATTCGATAGATTAATTATATTGACTCAGAACTTTTTCTTTGCTAAGAGAAAATTCTTGAGGATCGTCGATTCGCTGATTATTCACTTGGTTCGGATGAACCGAATCGAGCCATAGGTCCACTGAATGGGAATCGACTGAAATCTTCCGATGAAAGATATTTTTCGATTTCAGGTAGAGCTTCGATTCGTGATAAATATTCGTTAATTGTTGATACATTTTCATCTTCAAATATACTCGAATCAAAGAGACGAATGTAGTCCAAAAATGAATACAGCATAAAGTCAACGTAAGTAACTCGATCACCGATCAGGTATTGATTTTCACCAATCAATTTTGCGAGTTGAGATAATTTAACACTCAAATTAGCCGATAGTTCACCTTTTAACTGTTCAAAAGTCTCTTCGTCTTTAGTGTACCAAACTTTAGCACAGGACAAAATTAATTCCATTGTAAATTGTTCAGTCATGTCCAATTTAATTATCTCCTCATCTGATTCACCAATCAATCCATGTTTTCGAGCTAAGTACCGTAGTATAGCCACAGTCTGTTGGACAATTAAATTAGATTTTGATTAGATGATAATAGAAAACAAAGATTGGGTTGATCAAATTCACTTTTATGATAGATCAGCAAACAATAAACAAAATCAATAGAATAATTAACTAATTGTCTTACCTGAGTGATTTTAACACCTTCATCCTCGTCTATGTAATAAGGTAAATTAGGAAAGTCGAGATTGAGATTGAATTTCTCGTCAAGCCATTCACTCCGATCGAAATCGGGCTCAGGTCCAAAAGAGTAGCTTTTCATTTCGTACTCTTGGCCGACATGAGCTAATAATAAGCGAATCGGTTCAACAAGACCTCGAAGTTTCCAATAGCCAAGAATTGGAGCCATAATTAAATCAATGGTCTAAGTAAAACACAAAACGAAAACTCTAGTTTATTGAAACTTTTGACACAATAACAATGAAAGAATCACTATTATCTGATTGAGTTCGAGTTCTTTATTTTAACATGCGCAATATCACAAATTTAACAATTGGTTAATTTCATCGGGAAAATGGTAAAGTTTATCACATTATTTTGTCGAATCGATATTAACAGTTCGAGAAAATTTTCAGGCTAGAAAATGATGAGCAAATATCATGGTTTGAACTGAAAGAATGAGAGTGAAATTGAAAAACAATTAATCAACTGAAAGTAAAATCAAACAATTTAAAGTGATGTAAATACCTTGAAATTGTATATATGGTTTTGAATTCAATGGTGATAGATTTAGGTTAACGATGTAAACGAAAAAAAAAGTTAATTTGTCAATAGACAAAAAGTAGTTGGAAAGGATTAATTATCAGCGTTTTTTACCTTCGGGAAGCATGAACACTGGAATCGTTTTAAATGATTGTGAAAAAATGTTACGCATAAAATCAAGTCCACTAACGACTTGGTGATAATTGGATGAACAGGAAACCGGATATTCACCCCGAAAAACTCTGATCTGACGATTCGTGTACCTTAAAAAATATCTTTTACTATCTTCGACCCGACCGGTAACATTGGGACATCCTCGTACATCTATTAGCTCCAATTTGTTACAATGAGATAGAATATCGTGTATATGGCTGTCGCAAAGCTCGAGGTTCCCTCTGATTGCGAGATTCTTCAAGTTTGGAAATTTCGTTATAATACATCTCAGTGTAGTCCATTTGTGGAAACTATTTGGCTACAATTAAAATTGAAATAAGAAAATGAGAAATGATAAATGATAAAGAGAAGAGAATAATCAAAATCGAGTTGAACTAGTTACCATGTATTCCAGAACTAAATTTTGTAGGTGATTATTGGCTCGATTTGGAACATGTTGGTAAGGGAAAAAAGATTGAAATCGAATAAATAAACTTCGAAGTCTGGGACATAAATCGACGAGTGCTCCAAATCCATAGGGTGGGTCATGAAGTGAACATGAGGGTACATCAGGACGATAACTACAAATATTTAATTCTAAAATTTCAATTGAGTGGGAACATGGACCATGATATCCGGATAAAGGTTCTCCTGCAATTTCAATGTAATAAAAAGAAACTTTTGTTAGAAAAATGAATTTTACTAACGAAAAAAAAGTAGAATTACCTCTAAATTCACCGACGTGAAGTCTTTTTAGTGACCTAAAGTCAGATAAAATTTTCCATAAAGAATCTCGAGCGAATTTGACAAAAAGTTGTTCACAGGTATCGGAAAAACACTCTTCTATTTCAGTGCCAATTGAATAGGATGAAAACATTTGAATATGTTTCAGCCCAAGAGGTACGGATAACCAAAAAGGATGATTGTACTGAAGGCCGATAATGTTGGTTCGGCAATTAAGGAGACTGCCGATATATGGTTGGATTGGTTCTGCATTACCGTTAATTTCAATTACCGAAAGATTCGGTAGAAAATCTAAATATTCAGCAATACGAGAATTGTCCTCTATCAGTTCCTGGTAGAAAAGAGTGTCCGAGCCAACGGAAGAATCTAATACTGGTTCAAGGTCATCATCCTCTAATTAAAAGGAAAACAAATGGAGACAAAATGATTAGTTGATTGTCAGAAGAAAAAGAGAAAGTATTGTTCAAAAGGAATGGAAATTTGAAAGAATTTATCAACTAATCAGCAATAACTTTAGGAAATAACGGTAATATATTCAAAGGCTGATTCGAAAGCGAAAGTGAGCTAATTTTTCCAAATCAACTAATGGTTGCACAAATCTCGACATTTGGAAGAGGATAAAAAGCAAATCAAATAATCAAATTAACATTCGATTAACTTGTTAAAATGAAATAAAAGTGAGAAAATTAAAGAAAGCAACTAATATTCAATGACGATTATTATTAATTTAAGGTTAACAATAATTGATAATGAAATTAACGCTCTCAAAATTTACCTTATCTAAACAATAACTTTTTATGATTATCTGAATTTGAAAGTTTAGGTTGGTTGATTAGGCCAGGGACACTTTTCGATTGTGATTAGGACGACCTTATTATTATAATATTAATATAAAGACTATATAATGGCACCCGAAGGTTGTCCTCTTAAAGAATCAGAATGGAGCATGACTGAGTTTCTTTTGCTTTTTGATTAAAGTGACACCCGATTTGGATATTTAAACAATCAAAGATCAACAAGAAATTTGCTAACATTTTATGACAGTGGTGATCGTCAATTTGAGTTGATTATAAATGAAATTGTGATGATTAACAAAAATCGTGGTTGATGTAAGTTAACAGCGAAAAGAAAGTGAAAAAGTTGCAATAACTAAATAGATCAAGGTTAGAAAAGGTTCAAGTAACAAGGAAGAAAAAATTAACAGATTGGAGAGAGAAAAAAAATGAATAAAAAGAAGTAACAATCAACAATTAATTGATTGGAAATCTTAATTGTTACAATGATCAACGAATGTATGAAAGTAAACAACTACCGCCATCCAGTGAAAGAAGTAGAAACATTTCAGCTCTGGAAAACTGGATAATCTCATGTTGGATTAGTTTTGTCTAGAGTTGAAAGTTGAGGATCAATTTGAAACAGTTACTAGTCAATAATGACAGAGTAAATTAAAAATCTATAATCCAATTGGTTAACAAACACTGATGGAAACATAAACAAATGACAAAGATGAATGACACAAATTCCATCAAATTGTGTTGAGTGATTTGTGAGAAAAGGCTAAAGTGATGACCATAGAAAACAAAGTGACTGTCAACAGGCTAAACCGAGATTAATACAATCAAGTGAAGACATTAAGACGATCAATCTAAGATCCCCCAAGGCCAAATAGATGATCACACAAAGCTACAAACCTCCATCATTGACGGTCTCACAAAGAAGAACCCGAATTTGTGACAATCGTCGACGGGCAAGGAACGACCAACGTTGACAAACTGTGGAAAGAGGGAAAAAGGACAAACCAAAATAGAGAAAGAGAGAGAGAGGAAACAATTAAAAGCTAATCGTTTGAGCGTCAACATGATTGGTGTTGATTAGAAATTCAAATCACATTTCCAATTGGAAACACACAACATAACATGTAACATGTTTAATGCTGAAAACAATATTAAAACAATAAACAAGATTCACTTACCAACAGAAACGTTTATCAAATCTTCAACCCAGATAATTTTATTAAACACAATCTCCAGTATCTCATCGGGTAATTGGTTGATTCCAGTCATGGTGATTGTTCAGTGAAAATGAAAAAAGAAAAATATTCAAAACAATAATAATAAAAATGAATTGACTATAAAAAGAAAACTCATGAAAGAGAGAGAAAAAAAAGAGAAAATCTGAACCACACAAAGAGAGAGAGAATGAGAAGGAAAGAGAGAAAAGAAAGAGAAAGAGTCAAGGAGAAAGGGAAAAAAGAGAAAGGTAAGAGAGAGGAAAAGACATCAGCCCCTCATCTCGTACTGCCGATGACCATGATGAAGATGATGAAGATAAAAGATGACGATGATTATGGTCAATGGAGCAAATTAATTCCGTCCAACTGAATGAAAAAGATTGAAAGAAACACAAAGAGGAAGAAAAAAAATCAACATCAACTGAAAAAAAAACTTATTCTAAACACGAGAGTAGAAAAAGTTACCTTTTCTCTCTCTCTCTCTCTCTCACCTTCATCTTCTCTCTTTCTCTCTATTACCTAACCTTTTCTTTGCTTTTCTTTCCTCTTTCTCTTCTTCTTCTTCTGCTTCTTTTCCTCTTTCCCAATGTACGCGCCATTTTCGAATTGTTAAACAGTTGACCTACTTTTCGTTTTTTCTTTAACTTTTTTTTTCTTCAAGTTCTTTTTCCGTTTCGATTACGTTCAATTTGTTTAATTAAAAAAGAGAAAAAGAAAATGTTCTTTTTGAAGAAACAGTCCCCAACAACAGTCCGGTCTCAATATAAGCGTTTTCTTGTTGATAGAGACACGAAAAGAAAGAAAGAAAAGAAAGAGAAATGATGTTCTTGTATCGGTTTCAGGGTCATCCGGATAACGAAATTAAAGGCGGAGTAATTATCATTTACTATAATAATTACAAGTACTATTTGTCCATAACAATATTCACCTCGATATTTTGGCCTCGAACTGAGAGTGTACCACCTTTTTCTCATCATTCGCCATCATCCTAATCCAGTTTGAATTGTTGCTCAAAAGGAAACCTTGAAGGCCTTTAATTTGTTTAATTATCTTTTTGTCAATTACTTTCAATTTAATTTTCTTTTCTTTTAACAACAATGTTTACTTAATTTCAATCATGTTTACCTAAAAATTATCATCAACTTGATCCTCTTCAATTTATTATATTGTTTACATGATGATCAGTTTAATTTCTGATTATCAGGCTAATTGGTTCATGTTGATCAAATTATCAATATTTGTTTCATCGACCATTTTATCAACACTCCTTAATTGTTGTTAAATCATCAACATCATAACCAATCAATTGTAGTTTCTTTATTTAAATCTTGTGAGGTTTCATGTAAATCCGATTAACTTTGAAATTGTTTATTCGTGTAAAGAAAACAACAATTAGTAAAGTTGAACAATTAATAATTAGTTGGAGAGTAAAAAATTTTAGAGAAATCAAATGGTAAACTCAATAGAAATATAATCAGTTCAATCGATTATCTTGTTCTAAGCTGATTAATTGCTCTTAAAATTTGTGATGAAAATCAATGAAACAATTGGAATCATTTTCGTTTCAAATTTGCATCTTATCATGAATTGATTCATAAAAAAACAGATTAATCAGATGATCACATTGATGAGAATAGAAAATGATTCAAGATAAACACGTTGATGAATCGACATGAATTGAGACAATATGATGACCAGGAACCATCGCCAATCCTAAACTACGAGGCTCCCCTTTCTCTCCACATTCTGCAATTTAACAATTGATCAATCAATTAGTCTCGACAATCAGAGTGATTATATCAATCAACTTACCTTTATATCTAAGATACTCAAGACAAGAACCAAGAATTACATTTCTATGGTTATCGGTACACAAAAAGATTCCAATTAAAACTCTTTTATCACTCATTTCAATTTTCATCGTTCGATTGAGCCAATTTCGCAATTTAGCTTTAGCTTCATCAGGAGAAGTCATCGTTTTGTTGATTGATGAGAAGCGAATCACAAAACTGAGTTACAATTAAAGGGAAATTGTCATTGAGAGCGAAAAGTAAACAATGTTTACAGTTTTCTGCATTCAGGTGGTGCCCTCGAGCGGTTGTTCATTTTAATGGAAAATAGAATAAGATTTTTGAAAAAAATTCATCAATTCGATTGATGATTCATCGAAAGTTATTTTCTGATTCCATGACGGGCTCACACTTCCGGGTTCTCCTTCAACAATCCGTAATATCCTTTCCCTTTCTAAGAAACCTTCAAATCCTTTTCTTGGATGTTTCTTAATGATACAAACTTTTCCTCAAATTGATCAACTAAATCAACGATTGAAATTAAAATCACTTCAACTGATCAGCTACAAAACTCTATTTTCGAAGTACATTGTATTCTGATAAATCTCTTCAGATTATGTAATAAATTCTCAATATTCTGATTGACTTCATGAATGTCATTCTTTTCATTATTCTGATTTTACCTTCATTATAATCGAAGGACGATAGATTGTGAAAACTTCAGTTTCTTTGTAATTTGTGAACAAACTAATTAATTTCATTCAAATTTAGTTGAAATTATTGTTAAGCAATAAATTGATGAATTTGAATATCATTCTATTTGATTTACTGAACAATAGACATTAAAATGACCTTGATAGCAGATAATCAAGGTCTCACTGATGGTTCATGATTCTGTGGGCTATGGATCCTCCGTTGAATCATTGATTTAATCAATTAATCGTCAGGAGTTTTTGCAATTTCATGCATCAAACATTTAATTTTGTCTTTATATTATTAATTAATTAGCTTTTGAATTTCATTAGATATGATCAACCTTGTGAAACAAATCTACTTATCATGAAGATTGTCATTAATTGTCAAAAGAGTTATAAATTATGTTTCTGGCTGGGAAATGAATCCATAAAGATCGAGTTCTTGATTATTGACAATAAAAACTGATTAAACTGTTCAATCAACTAATCTCCATTTTACTATTTCTCATTACGGGGATTAATTTAGATATCATATTCTAGGAAAGATTTTTAATATCTACCTTATCGCGTTTCTATTAAATCAACTGAATTGCAAACGCAATAATTAAAATAAATGCAAGTTTAATCAATCACTTGGATCAAATCGATACATAAATGGTTTTATTCACTTGGTTTTGATCCACCAAATCGAGCCATTGGTGCAGCGATTGGGAATCGACTGAAGTTTTCCGATGAGATGAATTCCTTGACACCAGGCAATGACTCGATTCGTGCCAAATAATCGTGAATCGCTGTTTCATCAGTATACATCTCTGGAACGAAGAGTCGATTGTAATCAAAGTACGAGTACATCATGAAATCAGCATACGTAACCCGATCTCCAATGATGAACTGATTGTCACCCAAAAATTGAGTCAACTGAAGTAATCGGGGCTTGATTTTGGTGATCATTTCACTTTTCCGTTGTTCATAATTATCGTCAGTACTAAAGTACCAAATGATGACAGCGTTCATCATTGTGTCCATTGCCAATTGTTCAATCATGTCCAATTTGATGTTTTCTTCTTCCGATTTACCAACCAGCCCGTGTTTACGACCTAAATAACGTAAGATCGCAATGCTCTGTAATTAAGGGGAAAATACCGAGAAAAGTGAGCTATTAATTGTAAATCAAATGAAAACACAATCAAATTAAAGTCACATTGACTTTAACCTTCAATTTAAATTAATTATAATCATCTATTATAATATGGTTAACCCTAAACAATTTTAGGATCATGATTATCTGATTGATCATCTTAATCATCTTTAAAAACTGAACATTTAATCTTCACCATTTTAGTTAACTAATTGTCTTACCTGAGTGATTTTCACACCTTCGTCCTTATCAATATAATAAGGCAAATTCGGGAAGTCGAGTCCGAGACTGAATTTCGTATCAAACCAATCGTTGGCAAAATCAGGCGGAGGTCCAATGGTGTAAGTTTTCATTTCGTACTCTTGACCAACATGAGCCAATAAAAGTTGAATAGGTTCACAAAGACCTCGAAGTTTCCAATAGCCAAGAACTGGAGCCATAACTGTTTGGAACGTTAAGAAGAAACTAAAAAATTGAATGTAATCAAATAACACAATCAACAATTAACTCACAAGATGAGAGTGTTTTCTTTTTATATTAATTTACAGCAAAGGGTGTGATTAAACTAATCGATTGTAATCAACACTCGATCGGAGTCTTGATCGATTGCAATTAAGTTTTCTCGTTCTTTCATTAAATAATAAATATAAACGCTCTGGTGATAATTAATTTTTTCTCAAGTGAGAGAGTCTCTATTATTCCGATGTACTTATTTTTAACACCAAGGTTAAAATAATCAATGAGAGAGTCACTAGTTAGCATTGATTCACGTTCAACTTGAGTGCAGTCTCTTTATTGGTGAGAAAAGAGTCCAGTAATTTAATGTTGATTTAATGTTCATCAAATTGAATGGACTACAATTTATTTTGATAGTATTTAGTTAGACGGAGGATTGTGGCCCCACTTTGCCCTTGATCCGATGATTGGAAATCGTTTAAAATTTTCATCCGTAAAATATGATTTGATGTTAGGTAAATTTTCAATTCGATTGAGAAAATGAATTAAATTTTCGTGACAATCAAATAACTGAGATCTAAACAATCGGACGTAATCCAATGTTGAATATAAGAGAAAGTCAATGAAAGTCACTCGATCTCCCAAAATGAATTCATCAGAACCCAGAACTTGCGATGTATGTTCGAGCTTTTGTTCAAGGAAAGGAATCAGTTGCTCATTGAATTTGTCACATTCTTCTTGAGTGTCCACATACCAGGCTCTCCACAGTGACGACATGATCTCAAATGCTCCCTGTTCAACTATATCAATACGAACATATTCCTCTTCAGTTCGAGGGCCAAAATCATGTTTTCGAGCCAAATAACGGAGAATAGCCAAAGTCTAGAAGACAAAAAAGTTATTGATCACCTACTACAATAAACAAGGAAATCAATGATAATTACAATTTACCTGAGTTATCTTAACATCTCCTTCAATATAATAAGGTACATTTGGGTAAATTAATCCCAATCCCTTTTTGTCAATCGGCCATTCATCACCCAGATAATCAGATCCATCTCCTTGTTTGTAAGTTTTCAACTGATAGGGTTGATTAATTTGTCTCATTGTCAACAAAATGGGCTCGACGTTGGCTCGATATGTCCAATAACCAATAATTGGTGTCATTGTAACAAAAAAGTTAATACTGGAACAACTGAAACAAATTCACAATGAACAATATGTCTTTTTGGATAAAACCTTGTAATCAGGTAAATTGTTGACTTTCCATTACCTTACCTACTTTTATACCTGCTGAGATTAACGTTTATTTAGCAAGATAATCTTCTTATCGAATCTTTCTAATTGAAGATAATTTGGATTTTAGTGCTGTGCAAAACAAATCTTAGTTGATAAAAAAATCATACCTCACGCGCTTATGTGTTGGATAAATTTGAATTGATTTATTAGCTATCGATAGATACAGATCAGTTTGAGGTAGTAAATGGATTGATTTTGAAATGATCTGATTGTTTGACAGAATTGTTTATGTCAAATCGTAAACTAGTAAGTACTAAGATTTTATCATGTTGATTGATTGTTTCCCCATCTTGCATTTGGTGCGCAGATCGGGAATCGACTGAATCGTTTACTTTCATGGTACTTTTTGATTTCAGGGAGAGACTCAATTCGATCCAGAAAATCCCTGAGATTTTGATTGCGACTTAAATAATCTTCATCATAAAGTCTGATGTAATCAAGTACTGAATAGAGTAGACAGTCAACATAAGTCATTCTATCGCCAAGAATAAATCGATTTGACCCAAGGGCAGTTGATGTTTGCTCGAGTCTTTGTCTGAGATATGGATGTAAATGAGGTTTCGCTTTGTTCAGTTCTTCTTCCGTATCAACGTACCAAACACGAAAACAAGTGTACAACATTTCATGAGCCCCTTGCTCGAAGATGTCGGAACGGATTATCTCCTCTTCAGATTTGGGTCCAAAATTATATTTACGACCAATGTAACGAAGGATCGCTAAACACTGTAACGAAAACAGTCACCAAACTAATAAATGGTCCAAAAGACTGACAGAATTAACCCTTACCTGAGTTACTTTGACATCGCCATCAATCAAATAAGGTATATTTGGATAAGTTAATCCTAATCTCTCTTTATCCACTGGCCATTCATTACCAAGATGATCAGGAGGACCACCGAATTTATAATGTTTGATTCGGTATGATTGCTTGAGTTGATGCATACACAATAGGATGGGATCGACAAGGGCGCGAATAGGCCAATAACCGATAGTTGGAGCCATAATTGACAAGGACAATTGAATAACAAGAGTAACAAACACCTAAAAACAATCAAATTGAATGACAAAAAAACTCGTTTTCCTTTGCTTTATATTAACTGCTCTTTTTTGATTACCGGGGATATTTGAATTGTCAACAATCAACTTCACAATTTAAACTTTTAATTTACATCTGTTTGTATTTAAATTAGATATTAATATTAAAACGAAAAAATCTATTAATCATTGGTGGTCTCAAAATTTAGTGCGTAAATCAACACGTGAATGAAATTGACACCTTGGTAAAGCTTAATAGTACTTTAATTCATTGACATAATTATTTAATCGAAGTCATTTACGAATTTATCAAAAGTTTATAACTAATTTCCGCTTCCAAACTTAGCCATTGATCCGGTGATAGGAAATCGTTTGAAATTTTCGTCTTTAAAATATGGCTCGATTTCTGGAAGAGCTTCGATTCTGTCAAGATAATCTTTTAAGCCTTGATGTGGATCAAGTAGTGAACATTTGAAGAGTCTTATGTAGTCTAATGTCGAGTACAAAAGGAAATCATTGTAAGTGACTCGATCTCCAAGAAGAAATTGATTCGATCCAAGAACTTTTGAAGTATGTTCGAGTTTCTGTTCCAAGTATGGAACTAGCTTAATGATATTTGCTTCATAGAATTGATCATTATCAGCATACCAAGCTCTGAATAAGGATAAAAGCATCTCCATGACACCCTGTTCGATTAAATCAGAACGAATTGTTTCCTCTTCTCCTTTGGGTCCTAAATCATGTTTTCGACCCAAATATCGTAGAATCGCCAAAGTCTGTGTCAAGTTGAAAAGTTTACGATTAATTGGTTTTCACAATAGAAAATCAATAAAGGACAATTGCTTATTCGATTGTATTAAAAGTAAAAGTCAAAGTAACGACAAAATATTGTAAATATAAAAATGAGACTGGTTAAGTTTTCGTTTGATCAATTATCAGTTTTACTATTGATTTGATTTCAATGATCACTAAGATTAAGGAAGAACTATTGACCCAACCTAGTTGGTTCGAATCAAGCATTTGATCAGCGTGACAGGGGAGTTAATTAGTTACCTGAGTAATTTTAAGGTCTCCATCAATATAATAAGGTAAATTCGGGTATTCAAGACCTAAATTCTCCTTCTCTTTGAGCCATTCGGATTTATCGTAATCTGGAGCACCACCAAGTTTGTAAGTCTTGTACTCGTATGGCTGTTTAGCTTGTTTCAGTGTCAACACAATGGGCTCAACAAGCGCTCGAAGATTCCAATAGCCAAGAATCGGGGCCATTTTCGTTGATTTATAACAGATAAAAACTCACGGCAGTTAAACAGACTATTTACTTAAACACCAGCAAACTAAACCGATACAACAATTTTGTCCTTGGTATTTATATCAATATGATTATATTGCTCTCTTTCATCCACTCCCATCTCTCCTATCGCCCTCTTCGGGTGTTTCATCAACATCATTTTCTCAACAAGTGTCAATCAACCTCAATCGTCATAATCTATTGTTCAGTCTATGTAATCTAGTTCCAAATAAGCTAATTGAGCTCAGAAATTCTGTTTCATTATCTAAAGACCAAGGTAATATTACAATGGAATCTCAATGTCGATTGAGTTTTTCACTAGTCATTACCTTTAGTGTTAAAAGATTAGCATATTACACTTCAGTTTTTAGATAAAAATTGTAGTCTATCAGATAATCGAATTGATTTGAGTTACATGATTACAATTAGTGTAATTACCGGTGCAAATAAATGGGTAATTCTTATGTTGAATTAACCATATATTTGTTTCAATCTAGATGATCAACTAATTTGAATGAGACTTTGAACTCATAAAATGAATACACTGATTAATTTGCTCTCACTATAAACTAGACTCTAAATCTTATCACCAATTCAAGTTAATTGAACAATAATATTTCATTTTCCAACAAACGAATCACTATTACATTTAACTAATTCATTTTGTGGGAATTATGTAAATAGAGATTAAAGATAATCAATATTATAACAATTCTGACTGACAACTCAATTGAATCTTTCAAATAAACTCATGAACATGAATATACTTTTAAAAGCGTAATTGAGTTTAATTTATGTTTGAATGTTAAATTGTCAACAGTTTAAAGATTCTAATCTCCTCAAACACCAGTAAATTAATCAACAATTATAATTGATTTGATTAAACCTAAAGGATTATATTAACTATTAATAAATTGAACGATAATTACAACTATTACCTTCATTTCGTTGCCAATACCTGGAAACTTACAATTAGTTGATTGTTCCTTTTTGCAATAGTAAACAATCATAATGGTGATTGACTCAGATCAGGCTAATTGCTCAAATGAAAACACAATTAATCATTTAATTGAGTCATACATTTAATTTATTAAAAAGAAAATCAAGATTTGAAAGAATAGTTTGTTCTCATAACAATAGATGGCAGCACATCTTTCGGGTTACAAACAATTAAATTGGCAACTAATTGAATCTTATTTAATTATTTGGAAGTGATTAATTGATCTTCCTACCCAATCAATAGTCAAAAGCTATTAATCAACTGGAAAAAGTTGCAATAAAATTAAAATTAAAAAGTTCTAATTCAGTTCATTTGATTTAACTTGAGTTTTTCTATTGTATCAAGCAAAATGTAAATTAAGTATTAATTAAGAATCAATATCAAAGTAATTAGTTAACCAACTTGAATATGAATACTTTAATCATCTACCAATGATTTAAAATGAAGCCTTTGAACGGGAAAAATATGAATAAATGTTTAGGCGTTGAAACAATTTAAAAGATGAAGATTGAATTTAAATTATACAAATTGCAGTTTATCGTTGATGATGTTGACATAAACAATTAATCAACAATCAAGAGGAAAATAGATTAGGAAAGATGAGCCGATCCCAAGGAAAGAATAATCAACATTTGAATCTCTTGAATTAAAAGATTAAGAGGTAGGATAATGATTGCGAATTAACTGATCATTTAAAGTTTCTATTCCAATTCATTGAAAACAATTAAAGGTAAATATTAATTATGATAGGAAAAGAAAAAGAAACAATCAATTTGAAGAGAATGTTAATGGAAAAACTTGAATTTTGAAAAGATAATTTCAAGATAAATAGAAAACTGAAGAACCGTTGATAGAAACAGTTACAATTAAGGTAGATTATTGTTCAGGTTACTTGATTTCAATTCAATTTCTCATTCTGAGTGATTATATCTCAACAATTTGCATCAACAGCGAAACTCAAAAGTATTTTGGTTTCTCTTTTCGCTCAACAAAATGATTTATTTGATTAGCGTAGGATTGGGAGATTTGTTTCATCACCATCGTCTTAATCACAATCAACAGTAGCAATTTGAATCAATGAATACAAAGCCTCAAGGGTCAGTGAGACAATTGCGTGGGTCAATAATTGATCATCGACTCCTTTTCATCCTTGTGACTCTTTTTTACCCTCTTTCTAAAATATTATCATCTTCATCTTCCTTATCATGAAAATCATTCTGAATAACATATACAATGAATTACGTTTCAATATCATTGAATCATTTTCTAACAAATTTAGATCAACAATGAGGCTCTGTAATTAATCTGAGGATCAATTAATCGTTTGCTTCTGAGCTTTTTCCAAGATAAATTGTATTCAACTGAATATATTGATATTTGTTCATTTTCTCAAAATTATCTAACAATTAACTCATTACCTGAACTTCATTTAATCATGTTTAACCCACCTGGAAGCTCAATTAATTATAACGATAAAAGCAATAGTAAAGCAAAGTAAGTAAAACTTTGATTGTTATTGATAATCCGTTAAACATGATTACCTCAACTTTGATATTAATTGTTATTATTATTTTGCTTTTGCAACTGTAATCATAACACAAAAGTCACATCAATTTATTTTACCGTTAATTGTTGATACCACCATCAAAGTATTGATTAAGTTGATGATGATTATCATCAACTCGCAATCAAAATGCCTCAAGATTATCAACAAATAATGACGATGATGATAAAAACTTTTGCTGGTCAATAAAATTAATAAGATTATCCCCTTAGTTGAACAATGGTTAATCATTTGGCTTGAATTGTACTTTTACGATAATTAATTATCAAATCATCTTCAGGTTTTAACAATTTACAAAATTAACGTTAATCAAATGCGGAAAAGCTAATCAAATGTGTACATTTAACTTAATTGAAACTAATCGTTATCATGGTTTATTTGTATTTCCAACCTTGAATTGTATTTTAATCGCTGTGCGTTCAATTAACTGTTATCATGGTTTATCTTTCCCTTAATTGGTCAATTTGTAATTATCTTTGTTTAGATAATCAAGGAAATGTTCAGTCTTAGAAAAAACAAAAGAGATGAATCTAATCCTCTTATCATCTTCCTGCTCTCTCTCTCTTATTAATCCTGATGATGAAACTGATAATAAGAATGATAATTACGAGATGATGAACAAGAAGCGTGCATTTGGAATATGACAAGTTGAGTTTCCACTGAATGTTCATCTTACAATTCATGAGGTTCTCGCTAATTGTATACAAAGTTTCACTTGTAATTATTGCCTCTCATCAGTGGAAAGGTAAGGCTTCTTAATCATCATTAGCATTTAAACTTCGTCAGTTTATCAGCTAATAAACGATTAGAATATAATCAAGAACAAGAAAAAGGGATTGAAAGAGTTAAATAGCAACTAAGCAATCAACTCATGCCTCTTTTACCCTTGAATATCATAATCATGATAATCATCATGTTAATTATTCTCAACTAAGGTTAAAGCAATCAGAACCAGACCCATATTGGGTTATCCCTTATTTTATTTTCCTCTCTTTCAACCCTTAAAATTGCATCGCTCGTACAGTTAATTACTCTTTCCTCCATCATCTTTGCTCGAGCTTTTAATTTCACCCAAGTTCTTACAATAGTTCAGTAGTTTTTCATTTGATATTTTGCTCGTTAAGCGTAAAAAAAATAATATTAAAAAAATGATCTAAATCATCCTAATTGTTCATCTTATAAATCAGTTTGACCGGGATATTATAAATCATGTTGATACAATGATTGCCTTTATTATTAACATGAAAACTCAACATATTATCATGTTTATTGGCTAATTATAATTCCTGTGAACGTCCGATGACAATTAAAATTAAACATGAATCAGTTTTTTGTGTCTCACCAATCAACATGTTGATCTCTTAACTTATCATACGAAAGCCAAATTATGGGTTCCTCATGAAGTGTTGACAGTTTTTGTTTATCTCAGATTTTGTTTACTTGTTTTACTGAAGAGAAATGATGATGTTGATTATGATTATGATGACAATGAGACCGATGAACTTGTTAATCGGGTTGACAGAGCGTTGGACTAACGTGAGAAGATGCGCTTCAGCGTCCATTTGACAGAGAAGCTCCTTTTTTATGGAGATAAAGTTGAGGCTATTTTCATGTTTCTTTCATTCTGATCGAATGATGATAAACATGATTATCATGACAGATTACTAACCTATCCTTTCCATATCTCTATTGTATTTTAATGATATTAATAATGATACTTTTATCTGTGGCGGTCTCACAGGTATGTTAGCGTACCAACGTAACCTGTAATTAGTTAACATGATGGGGATGATAATGATTATGATGATGAAGATGCTTTCAACAAAGTTTGATCAAACAATTAACGATAGTGTAATAAGGAGTAAACAAGAAATATTGATGAAAAAGGAAGATGAAACTAACAAGAAACGCCTCAAATTGGACTGAATTTTAATACATAAAGATGGAGAATGATGATGAGGAGTAAGAGAAAATGATAGAAAACAGAGAGAGAGAGAGAGAGAGAAAGAGTGAAAGAAGATGAGGCTTTCAACAGGTACACGTTCCGAAGTAAACAAGTTCTCATTCTCTCTCTTTACTCGCTCAATCATCTTTTGCTCTCTCTCCTTTTTCTCTATCTCTTTGTTATATGTTCACGCTTAGAGCTCATTTATCGGCTCTCATGGTGGCCTAACCTTTAGTATCTTTACCTGCATCTCTCCCTCTCTCATTCTCTATCATCAGAAGCGAAATCTCTACTCCTTCATCTTCTCTGTCTACAAGAGAGATCATGAGCTTAGTAATTTTCACTTCGTTAAAAGGTCTTTTCTTATTACCATCTCTCTCTTTTCGTTCCTTCGTTACCATGTAATCATTTTACTATCGAAAAATCATCTCCCTGATACGAATTCCTAATAGAGAAGAGAATTCCAGAGAAATACCTTAAGGGAACTTATTATTATATGAAAATATTCATTTACTTTGTTAATCTTTTATGATTATTGTTCCTAAAGAACGAAAATT